TCGGGCGCCGTGATTAACGGCGATGGCTCCCGCTGGTGGGACGGCGAGGGCACCAACGGCGGCAAGACCAAGCCCAAGTTCATGTACGTGCACAGCCTCGAGGACTCGACCATCACCGGGCTGTCCATCAAGAACACCCCCGTGCAGGCCATCAGTGTGCAGGCGACCAACGTCTACCTGATCGACATCACCATCGACAACTCGGACGGCGATGACAACGGTGGGCACAACACCGACGGGTTCGACATCAGCGAGAGTACCGGCGTCTACATCCGCGGCGCGACCGTCAAGAACCAGGATGATTGCATCGCCATCAACTCGGGCGAGGTATGCTCCCCAGCGATTCTTGGAGGTTGGCGTTGGAACTAATTGCCTCCAGAACATCGAATTCTCCGGCGGCACCTGCTCCGGCGGCCACGGTCTCTCCATCGGCTCGGTCGGCGGGCGCAGCGACAACACCGTCAAGAACGTCACCATCACCGACTCCACCGTGACCGACTCGGCCAACGGCGTGCGCATCAAGACCGTGTACGACGCCACCGGCTCCGTCAATGAGGTCACCTACTCCAACATCAAGCTGTCCGGTATCACCGACTATGGCATTGTCATCGAGCAGGACTACGAGAATGGCAGCCCAACCGGTACCCCTACCACTGGTGTTCCGATCACCGACCTGACCATCGACGGTGTTACCGGTACCGTCGAGTCCGACGCCGTGGAGGTGTACATTCTCTGCGGAGACGGCAGCTGCAGTGACTGGACCTGGGAGGGAGTGGACATCACCGGCGGCGAGACGAGCTCCAAGTGCGAGAATGTTCCCTCGGGAGCTTCCTGCTAGGAGCCTTATCGGATGAAGAGTAGCGTTAACCTGTTGGTTCAGTGACAACTGAGATAGTATAATATCAGAAATTCTGATGCAATGTCATGCACTCCTAAGTTCGATAGGCAAGTCCGAGGCATCCAGTGCCCAAAGTCTTAGTAGTTGAAATATTCAGAGGTCCTCGAATTTGAACATGTCGCTGTAGGTAAACCCGATCTGACAATGATGTCCTAGCGGGTGGTCTCAATGCAGATGAAACCGAGGAGTTGATACAACTGTTCCATCACGGGGCAGGGCGATTGCGAAGTCGGGAGCAAACGACGCATCCCTGAGACAGCATATCCGAGAACCGTGGTGGCAAAGGTATACATGCACCTTGGTCAAACCTGGAGCTCATCGCACTCCTTTCCCAAACGAGTAATACTTCATTCTTAAATGCGTTTGAAGGTCGAGAAATGATGAATCTCGAACTGTCTGTCTGAGGGCCAATCAGCTGCTCTGGTAAACTCGCAGTGCATTCCGGAATGAGTCTAGCTGCGTCCGCTTTCCAACAAGTTAGTCTAGTTAGCATCTACGGTTCTCCAAGCGTGGAATTTTTGTGGCTCTTTGTGGATCGCTCCAATTTGTGGTCACTGGTATGTAATTGCCGATGGATCTAGTTATTCAATATCAAATCGTAATTGGTCGCTCCTTGTCAACCCACAAAGCATTTGGTTGATGTCGGCGATCGGCAGTTGGGGAATCATCGTGAATGCGGGGTTAATTGACTCCGGGGTAAATTCAGAAACAATATTGAGGGTCATTCATTTAAATTCCAGGGCTATGAAATTGAAATCTCATTTTTGAGGACAGGCTGTTGTAGGTAAGCACCAAATTCTGCGGATCGGCGCGTACACGGAGCGAGATATTATGCATATGTCGGAGTCAAGGGATGGAACACAGATTGCTGCAAGTTGGAGCCAGGGGAAGCATGCACGCGTCATATCAAGGATATTCGCAGCACATGTGTAGACTCCGAAAATACTAGTAGTGTATTGAGCCTAGGTTCGATCCATGCGTTGGGACTTGGGAATTTGAGTTGAGATGAACTTGATAAGCCATGGCGTGGATCCACAATCGCGGGGATGGATCAACGTCCCTGATCCTTCGCAGCGCTTATCATGACATTATGTCTCCCACAATAATAAACGTTTCAGAACCGAGGTATGCCGATCCATGCGGGGGACTTTCATATGCCCTGTGCGCAATAAGGCTGGTCTGGATTAATATATAGGGGCAACCCAGCTTGACCGTCCAGACTACCAGACATTCCTCGACGGAGACCCTCGCTTGAGACAATGGCGCCCACGAACATCCCCGAAGGATTCCTCGGAAATCTCACCGCAGACCAACAGAAGAAACTCGAGCAGTTATGGACTATCATCTTGAGTCTGTCCGACGCTCTGACATCCACTACTACAGACACAAATGAGCCTCAGCACCGACGCAACTCCTCCCTCGCTCGGACCAACACGGCCGCCTCCAGGGGCAGCACCGCCACTACCCCCGCTTGCTCTGCTCAAGTCTCCCAGCACCTCCAGGGGCTCGGGCTGCACGCCCCCGAAATCAAACAAGTCCAACACATCCTGACCCAAATTACACCCGAGGAAATTCGAGATGGACTCCTGAGTACCGCGAAGCACGATCATCCAGATGTGCTGCTGCTGCGCTTCCTGCGCGCGCGCAAATGGGACGTCAACAAGGCTTTTGTCATGATGCTGGATGCCATCGTGTGGCGCATGAAGGAGTTCCACGTCGACGAGGAAGTCATCGCCAAGGGCGAGCTGCATGCGCTCAAGGCGTCGCGAGATACCTCCAACGCTGTTGCCGCAAAGAACGGAAAGGACTTTCTGGCGCAGATGCGTATGGGAAAGGCATACGTGCACGGTGTCGATAAGCTGGGCCGGCCCATCGTCGTGATCAGAGTCAAGCTGCATAAGCCCGGTGCGCAGAGCGAAGAGACACTGAATCAATTTATTATCCACGTTATCGAGTCCGTGCGGCTGTTGCTGGCACCGCCGGTGGAGACTGCTGTAAGCGGATCACTTTCGGTTTTGGCTGGACGGAACTGACGAGTGCAGGCTGTTGTTTTCGATATGACCGGATTCGGTCTCTCGAACATGGAATATCCTCCCGTCAAGTTCATTATTAAATGCTTTGAAGCAAACTACCCCGAGTCACTGGGCGTGCTGCTCATTCACAACGCGCCATGGGTGTTCTCAGGTACGTTCGTTCGCTATTGCAGGAACGATATCGACTGACGAGACCAGGTATCTGGCGCCTCATCAAAGGCTGGATGGATCCCGTCATTGTCTCCAAGATCCAGTTCACCAAGACCATTGCCGATATGGAGAAGTTCATTCCCCGCGACCAGATCGTCAAGGAACTCGGCGGGACCGAGGACTGGACGTACGAGTATGTGGAGCCTGATGAGAACGAGAACGACAGCATGGAAGACACGGCCGCGCGTGATGCTCTGCTGGCCCAACGCGCCAGCATCGGCGACGAGTTACTCAACGCCACCTCCAAGTGGGTTACAGCCATCAAGAACAGGGATGAGGAGGAGACGGCAGCTGCCAAGGCTCATCGGGATGAGGTGATTGAGCAATTACGGTCGAATTACTGGCAGCTAGACCCGTACGTGCGTAGCCGGAACTATCTGGACCGAACGGGGGTGATCCGAGAGGGAGGCAAGATCGATTTCTACCCCAAGAGTCAGCCTCAGTCGGATGTTGAGGTGGCCAAGGTCGTTGAGGTCGAGCATGTGGAACAGACTCAGGCGCAGGTTGTTAATGTCTGATTCGTTTCCTTTCTGTATGAATTGTGTGTTCGATATACCAGTTTCGTAGCTTTATTTTTTAGAACATGCCCGCTGTTTCTTCATAAACGCTCACCAAGCTCGTTGCATAGTAACAGTTGCCGATTTTCATGTTTCAGACAAACACAGGCCCAAATACTCCTGTCCTAGCAGCTCCGTCAGACTCGAGAGGATAAGACCTCCGAACTTGACCCCGAAAATCCCCGCATCTTCATTCATGAAGTCCAGCTGTCCATCCCAGAAGTGTCTCGCGCTTCGCGATGATTAGTGTCGAAATAAAGCCAACCTCTAGAGAAGTGACATAGCTCTTGAAGTCATAACTAAGCTGGAGTTCTTCAAGCCAGAAGATGGAGTACCTGATACGGTCGGAGTCTGCAAGAAGTGTGACTAAACAAACATGAGAGCCTTTCATGTCAGCCCTCCGGTACGGCATTCCGGTTCAAACGTATAACATTTTGTTGGAAGTGACAACTCCCTTTATTCAATTGGATCAAGGCAGAGGCAAACCGAACTAAGGCCGCAGGGTCAACAGCGGGATAGTTGCAGCCGCTGTATGCTAGTACGCCAGAAGGACAGTTTGATCCGGTCTATGACTTGGAGCATTAGCACATGGGTCACCCAAAGCTACCTTAGATGTTGACGAAACGTAAGAAGGCAGTCCCGTGTTTTGATGCGGGAGCGTCCTTGGTACTTACCTTACTGTGGCACAAACAAGAGAAGCATTTGGTCAGGGCTGGCCAATCAGAATAGCCGACTCAGGGGCAGCCTTGCCTGAGGCAGAACTACACCAGATGAGGATGGATTGTTAGAGCTGGCGATAACGAGCCACTTTATTTGTATACAATCAGGAGACAAATTCCAAAACTCTTTGAGTCCAAGTGATGCAGGGTGGACTGTTCCTGAGGAAGAGTGAATGTTTCAGAGTCAAATGAAAATGAGTCATGAGCTGTCGAACAAGTAAAGACAACCCAACTCGATGAAGTAGATTGAGATATAGAACTGAAAAGAATGACGCAATTCCCAGAGATACTACCAGAGCCTTTCACTGCCCAGACATAAGACCACTCAGGGATAGGGATGGGAATACCATGGTTGTGCACAGAGAGAAAACTAGGTAGCTATGACCGCTGCAGCCTGGGCAACCATGTAAGGCATCTCAACCTCACCTCTGGTTCTTTGACTGACTTTTCTCTCACAACAACACATCATCAAACGTCCAACGTCACCACGTTGTACCATAATCTTCATCAAACCAGCAACATATCCCGAAATACGGAAGCTCGTATATTGTGAATTGCAGGCTTCCCTCCTGCACGAGGCATCATGCCTCGCAAAGACTTTCAGAAAGACCTGATTGGTGCAAAAGCCCCAGGCAGCTTCCCTCATCTGAACGGTGTCAAAGCAGGAGATCATGATGGCTCTATCACTTTTACGTTCGCTGATGCCTCAACCGGCACCAGGATTGATTTTCAAGCCATAGTATCAGGTAGGGCTTCTTCAGGACCTTCTCATAGCCGGGACCAACTGACATCTCGGTAGATACCCAAGACTACCCCGAAAATCACACGTACTTTGTCTTCACCACGTCCGAAGATCCTCCTTCAGGGGTCGCTACAGTTCTAGAAAACGTTCAGTCCAGGTTTTCAGGGGTTTCACTTGAGGATTTCCTGACTTACATCGACGAGCTCGTCCAAGATGCGCTGCGGCAACCGGATGTCGATGACGATGAGGTGGGCTATGAGGTTGACGAGACTGACTTTGATGACGACGACGGCGACGACTGGGATATGGAAAATCAACCGGCATCTGCCATTTCGGAGACAGAAGAAAAGGATCTATTGAAAACCCTGCGCTGCGACCTTCGCGCCGTGAAAAATGCGGGTTTTAAAGTGGGCTATCTGGGAACACTGACAGGAGCTATTATCGTATCAGTCTCCTGTCGCATCGGTAGACTAGGCATATCTGAGGAGGCCATGAAAGCATGGAATGTTCGGGCTTCGGAATACCTGGTTCTGCTCATTCGTTATCCAGGGACCTATCTGCATTTTCAGAAACTGCTGGCGCTCGGAAATGCAAAGTACACAGCAACCCAATTCCACGTCGGATTGTGTGACTCTTACAAGCCAACTGCTGAAGACGCCATCCGAGCCTTTCAAGGCGATATTTCACTGCCGGAAGAAGGCTTAACAGGGACCGCCCGATTGAGATCACTGTTCATCGAGCAACCGCTGGATTCGCTCCTGAACGAGAGATTCCTCCGGATTATGGAACTGCGATATAGTTTAGGCCTGTCATGGACCGGTGCTGAGCTTTACATTCAACAAAATCAGGGCAGGAAGCCGGAGGATGGCTCTCTACACGACGACTATTTTGAGCCAGACACCTGGAGTGTCTCCGCACCGGCCCTATTTCAGGATGACCATATAGGCCAAGGACTTGGACCTGATAAACTGTCCCTACCATTAATAGCGATGCAGTTCACTCTTCGCCACTTTGTCAAGTGCACGGAATTCTGCCTGGTTTGCCATTGCAAAATCCGCGACAGTTTTGAAGCAATCAAGCCGTACGTTTGCTCCAACGGTTTGTGTTTGTTCCAGTACATGGCGCTCGGCATGGGGCCAAGCTTGGAACATGAGATTCAATTCCAACCTAGCGTCGTCGATTTACTCATCAGTTTGACATATGCTCGGGCAGTATCCGGTGGGCTCACGGATCTTCCCACAGGCCTAGGTCTAAGGGTCCCAGGAGTCCTAAACATGAATAGGCTTGACGAGATTGAACGCCATCTGACAAATCCAAAGGACAGAAATATTTCCCAGGTTCCAACCTGCTACAGTGGCGACCTGGTACCTGCAACAATGGCATGTCGCCTGGATAAGCACACGCATCTGAAACCCGGAGACTGGGTGGTCATTTTTCAGACTGGAACGGCTCTGAAGGACGGGCCCTGGCATTGTCGAGTACAAGCCATTTATGTAGGTGCTTGTGATGTACAGCTCGTACAGCTCTCCTCTCCGGTCGTGAAGGGGCAGCAGCTCTCAGCATCCGAACTTCTGCCTGGCCCGTCACATGTCGTCAAATTCATAGTTTATGAGAGAAATTTCGATGACCTTGACGTCAACGATAAAAGAGCTGCGGTCAGACTGCTCCTCGATACGCTCCCTAGCGTTGACAAGATGAAAGCCTTCCTTACGGACTCCGATAACAAAAAGCTAGCTGCTTGGAGGGATGTGATTTCTCCAGCAGCACTTAATGTGCTACGCTGGGTCGTTGCGTCAAACCGCTCCTTTATTTTAGAGGATGATACTACGCATTCTGATCATCGAGTGTCTGGAATGGAGTCATACAAGCAATTTCGGCTTGTGCAAGGGGCCCCAGACAAAGAGCGGCGCTTCAGAGCCGCCGTGGCCGCTAACGCTGCTATTACCAAGACAGATTACCCGACTATCTTTGCCTGGCACGGAAGTCCAGTGTACAACTGGCACAGTATTCTTAGAGAAGGTCTGCATTTCAAAGAGATTATGAACGGACGCTCCTATGGGGATGGGGTTTACCTGTCTAATAACTTCCATACATCCGTTGGTTACACACGCGAAGGACTCGACTACGCCTGGCCTCAGAGCAATTTGAAGATCAGGATGCTGGTCTCTCTAAACGAGCTGGTCAACGCGCCAACTCAGTTCAAACATACCAATCCGCATTACGTAGTCACTCAGTTGGACTGGATACAGCCGAGATATCTCTTCGTCAAATGCAAGGGTGCAGCGCCCAGCGATGGTACAACAAATGAAAAACCATCAGCCATGTACAAACAGGATCCGAAGTATCCAGCCCAGGGGCCAAACGGAACTCCAATCTACATTCCGATCTCTGCTCTCAACAGCCAGCGAAGAAATAGCCTGGGGGTTGTTAGCCGAACCAATTCTGACCTTGCCATATCCGCATCTCCTGGAAGAAAGAGGAGAAAGCGGGATGCCGATAAGATGCCTACCCCTGAAGGCTCGAAAAACAACACAGACTTAGAGGAAGATGACGTTGTTAGTGTGGCCACAGCAGCCGAGGATCTTCAGATTCTTCTTTCAGACGCTGAGGACGAGGTAGAGGAGCCTCCTACAGTTCAGCCGTCCAAGGGCAGTGTGAAAAGCGACTTCGAACCCGGAACTCTTAAAAAGGAATCTCTTCCCTTGCTCACACCTCCCCAGTACGCGACCACCCCAGCGACTAAGGTTCTACAGCAACATCTCCAAGCGACTCTCAAAGTCCAAGCTCGAGAGCCCCTTCACGACCTCGGCTGGTTCATTGACCCAGACTTTATAACCACAGTTTATCAATGGATCGTGGAGCTGCACAGCTTCGACCCCAAACTGCCGCTGGCAAAAGACCTCAAGCAAGCTAACATGAAAAGCGTCGTGCTCGAACTTCGCTTCCCACCCGGCTTCCCCATGTCTCCTCCATTTGTCCGCGTGATCCGGCCGCGGTTCCTGGAGTTTGCCAATGGCGGTGGTGGGCACGTCACCGCCGGCGGGGCCATGTGTATGGAACTTTTGACCAATTCAGGCTGGCTCCCAACGGCATCTATCGAGAGCGTGTTGCTGCAGGTCCGAATGGCAATCACTAACACCGAACCGCGTCCTGCGCGTCTGGCGCTGAACCGGTCTCGCACGGACTATTCTGTTGGCGAGGCGGTTGAAGCGTACAAGAGGGCATGCCTGGCGCATGGGTGGCAGATTCCGGAGGATATTCAGCGGCTTTCGTGGGCTTAATACGTTTATTATTTTATGCGACAATGACCTATTTACGAATGTGGACACACGCCAATCTATTGCTTACATCTTCTTGAGGGTGCGTTGATATCCTAATCTTTACTCGATAACATAAAATGACATGAAATTGCTTTTATCGAACAGTGCTGCAGTAGAATACCCGTTCGGACGGGGGTATAGCATCAAATATCTAACACAGCTAGAGACACCACAATTCTTGAAAGGTCTTTAAATGCATAGTCTCCCACAATTACCTTTTAAATTGAAAATATGTAATGGAAAGAGAAGCAAAAGTCGCAAACCACGCCGCTAACGTGAAAGCCGCGGAAACATCATGCGAAGCAAGCGAGTAGATAAGACCCAACGCTGCGCTTGAAATCATCACTAATAGGGCCAGCCATGCAACAGCAGCTTTGTTCACGCCTTCAACGATATTAATACCCCATAAGATAGTCTTGTTACTAGGCTCCTGGGAAAAAGACAAGAGTAATTTCTTCGGAAAGAGTTCCAACCACTGGGCGTCTCGGAAGGCATGTCCGGGTTCGAGAAGCTTCGTCGCAAAAGCTTTACTTATAGCCCACTCTTCGACCTCAATGGGACATGGGGAGTAATGCCACTTCTTCATGCGGACTTCCTGCTCGGGGGGAAGGGAAGGGGCCCGTATATTGAACGGCGTGGGGACTTCACCAAGAGGCATTAATTTGAACTGCAAGAGAATTATCTGTCAGTGGCTTAATATATAAGGAGATAGATGCTTGATAACTTACAGAGACAAAGTTAATCTTCTCCGGCTTGTAGAGGTGCAAGTCACCCAAACACCAGGAGAGCCAAGAAGGCATCTCCACTGATCTTAGGAATGGTACATTGGAAAACCCTGATTCTTCTGTCTTAATAGCACGGTAATTGAGGCGAAGACTATCAAAGAGACTTTGATCTCTTGCGTAGAACGTCACATCGATTTCCTTGAGAATCTCAGATTTATGTGTGCTGAAACAAACAAGAAGATATTTCCGGTCCATCTGGCGGATATGATCTGGTATTATTGCTGACACAGTCCGACCAGGCTGATCATGTTCCCTTCTAGAGGACTGGTTAGAGGGGCTGCCCACGACATGGGCAGTCGGAGGCACGCTTGGTGTCGTAACGAATGTGCCACTTGAAGACGGCCCTGGAGAAGACGAATATGAGGAAGGAGAAGAGGAAGCAGCTGACGTCTTTTGAGCAGATGCTCTGAATCTTTCTTGCAGTCGCTCTGCTGCACCATCCACGCGCTCTCTGACATCAATGTAGAGAGGCTTTCCGAGAGGACTCCTCCATGTTATGCGTTTGAATCCTTCTGGAGCCTTCGGCCAAAACACGGGTTCCAACACGGCAAGTGCTGATACAAGTCGGCGCACAAAGGTTGGCGCCATCGTTTGAGAACTGGTCTGGTTTGCACCAACCTCGAGCTGCTGCAGAGATGTTTCAAGGACTGAAGAAGTACCTCTCCGGTCTGTGTCGTTATTGTCATCCATCTCACAGAAGATGGGATCGCTCGTCTCTGAAAGTCTATTTTGGGTAGAGTCATCGAGGGCCTCGTCCAGTACCCCAAGCCATTTCCGCAACTCGTCCACCAGAGTGTTGAATGCCCTGGATACAACCATAAAGTGTTCAACCTCCTCGAGTGTCTGTAGAGCAAGGTCGCTCTCAGACTCCAATTGATCGGAATCGCTGTCAGATAATGCCTCTTGAGGGTGATCAGCGGAATCGGCGGAATCAGCGGTCTTTTGAATTGGATCAGACGGGGTCTGTTGATTGGCTGGCAATGACTCAAGAAGCTTGTTGATTCCTCTACGATTGGAGACGAAGTCATACTTTATTTCTGACACCATTGCCCTGGTAAGCTGTATCGTGACTCGTCGTGCCGCTCCTTGAAGAAACTTTGCGACTTCAGTCTGGATGTCACTGGAAGCCTCAGATTCCAAATCACGCCCATAATCAGATATTAGGCGCTTCAGCCTTTTTCTTAACTTGCTAATATTGTAATTTGCAAGCGCGATCTCAAAAAGAGGACTCAGAGTTTCGTTTTTGAAGAACAGGTATGCTATCTCCAACGCAGGATTTGCGGTCTGACTTGACGAGGACTGTGAAGAGGCTATTGAATCATCCGAGAAAATGGTTTCAACGTCGCTTTCGTCGCTGACTGATGCTTCCTCTGTCGCGCGAAATTCGGCGCTGACTAGCTGATTTCTCATGTTTGCTGGGAGCTCACCCCCATTCCGTGCTAACTCCTGAAGAACTGCCTGGTGAAGTGAGATGTTTTGCACAGCCGAATTTGGCGAACCAGTATGAACGTTAAGAAGGTTTGCTAGCTGGTAGCGGGTTTGAAGGCTGCTGTCCAGGCCAAGCAAGTTGAGAAGGTCAACTATTGACTCCCGCCAACCCGGTCCCAGCCCCTTTCGTTGGGCAAGAATTTCAAGTGCAACTTCGGCTTGTTGCATTTCGAGGATGCTCTTGTATTGAACTGAGGAATTGGTAGGCGCGTCCACCACTGTTAGTTCTTTCTTGTCGCCAGGAAGTTGTTTCACTGCCGCTGCAGGATCCTGCCAGACTTCGGTTTCGTGAGACTCTGTATATTCGCCTAGTCCGTCCACCATGGTGCTTTGCATCTCATCCAGCGACAGACGGGAGATGACCTCTTTTGCAAAACAAGCTGCTGTTGCTGCCGCATATCCATGGAACCATCTATTCCTATGCGAGTCTGCATAGTCACATATACCGCGAATGACCAAACAAGGAAAGCTGTCCAGCAAGCTTGCTGCTTCATGCTCAAAGCAAAGCACTTGGTGTTCTTGTGATATCTGGTCACGAAGTAGGCCATTATCGTAGACGCTGTTTCCTGACGCAATGCGTCCATAATGTGCATGCGGCCCATGAGAAGGCCTTGGGGGTCGCCTGATTAGTCGGTCGCGACAACAATTGGAGCAATCTAGTAAACCCTGCACATGTACATGTTCATATGAGGTATCGAAAAGTAGGTCTTTCTCACTTCCTGGATAGGAAAAGAGATTAATCAACAGCGGATGTCTCTTCAACAAGTTGCTCAAAGCATCGGGCAGTGGGCTGCCACGAATAAAAGTGTCGTTTTTAAGGGAGCGCACCGCGTTGAGAAGTGTTACTGATGGCCGTGTGGTTATGAAACGCACACGAGAGCCATGCCTTTCCGGATCGTATTCCAATATGGCACCGTTTCCACGTTCGGAGAGCCCGACCACGATGTCTCCTAATCGAATATCGACTGCTTCGCTGGGCGCGCCGCCTCCAATTCCTACCAGTAGAGCAGCCTGAATCTTGGGGAACGCACATAACAGTTGTGCGGTCACGGTAGCTACTGAGGCAGTTCCATAAACGCCAGGAGGGAGAGACGCGATAACTACCCCGTAACCAGAAATTTTCCCAAGCCTGTAAATATTCGGGTCAGAAATTGGCCTCGGTAGACTCTCGTGCACCTCGTCTAGCATGGACATCGCAGCCCTCAATTCCACGGCCAGAACGGAGATCCATGCGACGGTGTAATCATTGCGAGAAAAGGGCTTCGACATTTCTTTGAAGCAGCCGCTGGGGCGCGGGAATAAGTGACAACAGTTGATTTCGAGGAGCTAAAAGTAGCAAAGCTAAATTTCGACGGCAATGGGTAACTCGAGCGAGGTGAAGTAAGGAATATATCACTGGCCGTACGCTAAATGCGGTGGTCGTCTATATGAGATGTAGGCGGTCTTCTGCTGAAGATATTACCAATGAACAAGAAGAAGCAAATTTGTGGTGGGCAAGGCTTTGAGCAATAGCTGAAAGTGGCGGAGGCCGGGGAAGTCCTTTAATGGGCGCTTAGATACATTGAGCCAATGCCAGCTTGTATGGGCACGCCAACCTGGCGCGTCCAGAGGCCCAGTGCTGGCTGCATACCTGCCCCTGCACTTTTCCCGATAGAGAAACACATAGTTTAGTCCCAGTTATTACGTTAGATTTTCCGCACTGGAGGCAAGAATGGCATGAGCGAAGGGGATACTGCGCTCCTCAATTTCATGCGAAAGAGAAAGGGAATTAATGATATTACCAACCCAGATCACCTCACCCTGCGCCCTCGGCGAGTTATTATACCGTAGCGGTCGCCTCTTACCAGTGCATTGGTCTGTTACATAGCCTTGTTCTTTACCCTGTCATTATAGGACGGCTTACGCGCATTGGGTGACCTAGAAATAGCTTCGTCACTCAACAATGGGCTATGTCTGTAGCAGAGGATATCTACTGTCCTGATCTGACAAAAGTCCGCTGTACATGACTGACAAGGCTGACAACGCAGCGGGGATTCTTGATAGGCAAGGACAAGTCTGCCTCAGTCTGATGGGTGAATACTCTCACTGCCCAGCTGGAGGATCTTTATTGTGAGACCGGCTCAAAGCTGATAACATAAACTACCAGGGTTCCCTATGGGGTTCTGCTGTTGGAAGTGGGTCGTATACTTGACGACTCGGTGCTGCCATCACCGGAGCAGGTTACTCTGGTACCTATATTCTGCGCAACCCGCAGGATGAGGTAGAGCCGACTTTCAAAACTTTGAATTCAGGAGAGTCAGCAGAACAGGCACTATAACACATCGTCGACATGATTTACCAACGCGTGTTGTATCTGGGATGTTCACCACAATATAAGGATGCTTGCCGGGCAGCACTGGAGTATGTTCTGCTGGGACTTACAAAGACGCACTTTAAAAGCTGAGAGTTGTAGTTGACCTGGTTGAGCTTCGATTACCAAGACCTACCGCTTTTCTATAGTGATGCAAGGGCTAGATTGGGGATCGCGATCCGTGGCTAAGAGTCTTGGAGTATGACTCAAACTGTCTAGAATTAGTGGAACGCTCGTATTTGATTGGTGACTATTGTAACGTCGCCTTCGATCAGCCAACAGTGGGTACCTGGATCTATATAACTGCCCTATCACTTTATTTATTGCCATCTTCCCCACAGTACTGAACAATCACTTCACAACCTTGCGGTATTTGCTCAACCAAAATCACCAGAAATCACAATGTCCACCACTCCCCTCCAAAAAGATAAAATTTCAATCCGCCGCGCGCATGAAGAAGACATCCCGAGGATAAACACCATTGAAACCTCCGCCGCACAGCTCTTCCGTACCGTCAATCTCGCCTGGATCGCCGACTCCCCCCCCCTTGACCCGGGAACGCTGCGCTCCATGATCGCGCAGCAGAACCTGTGGGTCGCAGTGACCTCGGACAACACAGCAGTAGGCTTTATCGCCGTGCAAGTCCTAGACGGAATGTTGTACATCGCCGAGATGGATGTCCATGAAGACTGGCAGAGGAAGGGTATTGCTCGGATGATGCTTGAGGAGGTGGAAAGGCAGGCGAGAGACAGGGGATATGAGTATGTCTCTCTCACAACGTATCGGGATTTGATGTTTAATGGACGGTTCTATGCGAGGATGGGGTTTGAGGAGGTGGATGTGGACATCGCTGGCGAGGGACATGGACGGGAGTTAGACGAGCAGGCGCGGAGCGGTCATGATAGGTCCAGGAGATGTGTGATGCGGAAGAGAGTCGCAGTGTAGCTTATAATTGGCGTATGTTATAGAAATCCTTTGTTGGCTTACCTATGCGAGATATTCACAATCTACGCTCCGCCTCCTGACAGTATTGACATTATGTCATACTCCTCCACTCGAAGAGCGACTGGTGAGCGATGGATTCCAATCACACCGTAGTGGCAGAATCAAGGGAAAGTACTCACATTCCTGTAAAGAGTAAAGAGTCTGAGAGGCCACAAAGCAAGGTAGAAGAGGTTAACAGAATTCAATCGAGAAATAAGCACAGAGGAAAAAGAGGTTTGTTGTAAAGAATGTGAGAGTGAGGGAGAAGGTAGATAGGGGAGTTAGAGAAGGGCGGTTGGAAGTGAAGAACTATAAGCAGATTGTGAATGCTAAGCATAGTGCTAATCTATCATCCTCTGAACCGCTAATCTTGATGGGATCTAAATACATCAGTGCAATTGACTCCGCGCTAAGGCTTCATATCTCCCCTTTGCCAATGCATACACCGTTTCCAACCGGGGCATGCTCACCGCATGTTTCCGAGCCAGTCTTACCGTGTTCCCAACAATCGCTTCGACTTCAAATAACCGACCCTGCTTGACATCCTGCAGCATACTTGGATCACGTCCTGTTCCTGATTCCGCCCGACGTGTTGCTATTTGAAGCCGAACTCTCGCCGCCTCCTCATCCACCCCGGGGACACCCAGCTTCTTCGCCAAGGCCACGATTTCCATCATAATCCCCCAGACAAGTTCATATGCGAAGGGCTCAGAAGCCAGGAGAAAGTCACCGTCCGAGCACATGCTCAGCGCGCAGATAGGATTCCACGACGCGTTGAGGAGCAGCTTGGTCCACCGCGCGATTTGGATGTCGTCGTGAAGTTTGGCCTCGCCGCCGCCTTCATTCATCAAATCAACGAGCTTGCTGGCTGCTGCCTTGTGTGTAGCGGGTGCACTGGCGGGATAAGTTCCCAGTTCGAGCATGTTCAGCATTTCTGGGTAGTCGATGACCCCGGGACTAGTCTGGGTGGTTGGGAGGTAGACGACACCACTGAGGACAGGATTCTCCGGGAATTCGTCTGCGATATCCTGCTCAATCTCTATGCCATTCTGTGCTAGGACGATGGCAGTTTCTGGACGGCCAATAAGGGCCGGTCTGATCAGATCTGCTACTGACGGCTTACTGCCGGGAAAGCATTTCGTGGTCACCAGGACGTAATCATATACTGTGTCTTTTGGGCATTCAGCAATACTGCGAACGATGTGATCTGGCCGATATGTGACATTGCCGAATCGGACGCTTTTCATTGTAAATCCCTTGTCCTTGACGATGTCGTAGTTGGACCGACACACGGCCGTCACGATGCATCCCGCTCGTTGCAGTTGGAGTAAATGAATGGCGCCAACGCTGCCGACGCCAAACAGCAGAATATGAGGTTTTGATGCCATGGCTGAGATGATGGTGGGAAATTGGGGGCCGTTATACTCCAATGACGGTCACTGGGTGAAGTTGCAAATTCGGTGAGTCAATCTTATCCCGTTCTTGGTGGGGTTGATTATTTATCTCGGGTCCCGTCGGCTCAACACGAGGGCAGCTTGCTTTCTCGTTCCTCTTTTTTCTCCCAAATGCCACGATACGAATTTCAGGCCCTTCCCCCAGAGATTATTTCCTTGGTTGTTCGCTTCGTTGCTGACGTCCATCCTCTTAGTGTCTTTCGCCTGCTACGAGTCAACAAGCAATGCTTCGCCTTGGCTCTATCAGTAGCCAAGTCACTTGTCTTCCATACAGTCCGCTTGCAATTTTGTCACCGTGAACGCATTGAACATCAAGTTGCAACGGTCTGCGCCAAGTTGCAAAAGGCTAATGCCTTTCCTCATGTCAGGCGGTTGATCATTGAGGGCTTTCTCTTGCAAGATCCCTATGAAGCGGAGGATAATGACGAGTGGTTTCCACCCCGAGTCTCACGTTTCTCACCGTTAAATCGCGATCCGCGAGATTCGTATGAGTTTGAAGAGGAGCTCGACGGCACAGGATTGGACGTATGTTATCGCGACAGAAACATAGACTATGAATGTTGGGATAGTGTCGCGGAGTTGATTAAGAGACTCCCTGCCCTTGACAACCTTCACCATTTGCATTACGAACAGTTTGCCCCTTGCCTGCTTCAGGCATTGCATCAATACCGACCCGAATGCAGACTGCATTTGCATTCATTCGTGCTGCGGACTATATGGGAGCCTACCGCTGAGGAACATGAATATAGCCTAGTCACCTCGCCGTCTCTGCATAGTCTCACTCCCTACTATGACACAGATAGACCAGAAGGTATTTGGCAGAAGCAAAGCTTCGTGCGAATCCTGGGCCTCGCCCCCAACTTGAAAAAGATATATCTAAGGGCAGGCGATGGTGACTATAATGCGTCAGGAGCGGGAATGGCCAAATTGACACGAAACACAAGCGACGAACATCCAGCCGCAATAGAATGTCTTCGAGTCAAACACACCTACTTCACCATGCTTGCCGCTGCGCTGGAGGAATGGGCCCCGCTCATTGATTTCTCCACCGTGCAGATTCTTGACCTGGGGTCATCCATCCAGGGGGAAGCTCTCGCAGCCTGGGCAGACCATCTTTGTTTTCCAGCCCTTCGAACGCTGCGCTTGTTCCTTGGTACTAAAGAGGCCGGAGCAGAACAAGCACCCGAATTTTACCAGCAAGCAGCAAGATTTCTTCAAAGTCTACCCTCGCTATCAGAGATACAGCTGATTGCCTGGCACTCACAGCTGTCGATAGGGACGTTGGCGAAACACCACGGACCACGTCTGCGCAAGCTGTCTGTGGCTGGTCTGCCTTGGCAATGCTTCACCGAGCACGATATCCTCCAGCTCGGCAGATATTGCCCTCTACTGGAGAAGATGAGCATCCCTATCCGCCGTACCCAAGGAGACGCCCGGGAAGTGGCTCTCTACAAGGCGTTGGGCACAATCAGGAACATGAAGTTCCTCGACCTGGCATTGGACGTATCTGATCCGACCTTGTACCAGGAGCACGCTTCCATCGATCCGGACTGGGACGACTTTGACATTGAATTCAGCGAAGAAGATCTCGGAGGCATCATCCGGAGCTGCAACGGACACCTCCGGAAACTTCTGGTCAATACCCTCATTGACGAACCTCTTGCGTCCTCGATCTTCGAGGTCATTTCAACCGCAAAGTCCCACGACGCATCACTCCTTGAGCGGCTGACCTTGTCAATACAAGGGCAGGCGCACCAGCACTACCTCCCGCGATGTGACTTTGCCTGTCTTGTGAGGTTCTTCGCTTCGGAGTGGACTATCGAGCGCGATATTCGCTACGAGCACCGGGACAGATTCGAAGCGCGAATGTCTCAGGATTCCAATTTCCAGTTTTCTGACAACGATGGTGTGTCTCGGTGGGTTGCAAACGTGTTTTTGCGAATTTGGCCTACCACACAAGATGAACTCTTCGATGACATTAGGTATTGGGATGTTTGGAAAAGTTTCCCACTGGCTGTAGATGAGACGCAATGAGATCAAGGGGAGAGGCAGATGTAGAGATTCTCGCTAGAGTATATATATGCAGTAGTAATTTGAAAATTAAAGACAATCAATCCATGAATGTATGAGATGTCAATACTGCTTTAAGCCTCAGAATCGATAAAACTATAGTAGGTCAACCTTGTCCTCCACTGGCTCGTGTAGTATTCACCACTTGTAGTTTCTTTCAGGAACATTCCTCCCGTTAAAACAGGTAAGTAGAAGTTTCCTGCGGAAGATTTCCTTCTGACCTCATGAAAGCAATAATACAGTTATAAATAAATATGCTGAAGAGACATCATGTCAGACACATCCATGCGACGAATCTCTTCCAAACCCCCAATTAAAAGCCACTTTTGGCTCCTTGCCAGGCGTTCGCCGCTTCTCCTTCCAACATAAAATCTCCAATCCGGAGTGAAGGAGAAGATCCTTTGTCTTATCTCATTCATCGGCATATTGACGACCCTTCCGGGTGTTTTTTCACTAGTTTGTATCATCAACTTGGCGACGCCATTCTAGATCTTGAGACCGTCGTCGGAGTACAGCCCTGGAAGTCTGCACTTCGCTTCACTACAAAACTAGGCATCGTGCCGTGGGAGTTCTGATAGCCATGATCAGAGACGGGAACGTAGCCTCATTCCTGACTCGACACCTCCATATCGACGGATTCGATGATTGTGTCTTGTTTGGTGACTATGCAATAAAACGAGCACACGTGGCTAACATCGTGTGTGTGATGGAAACGTACATGCATTAACGATGGCACGCATGAACTGTCTCCGCATTGACTGTCCATTGACCGAACTTCACCGAAGAGCTAACACGTGATGTCAACTTGAGCCTTGCGCGCCGTGAATCGAGGCTTCTCAGCCTTGTCATGCCGAACCACTCATCTTGTGCCAGTTCACATCCACCCCAGCGCAATATCGGAATGCCTTGCTTCGGGATATGGGGTGAGTCCACAAGGCGAGGGCTTTTGACAGGAATGGGCGAGCGTCGCGCTGCAAAATACTGTGTGCGTGGATGGCAGAGCGGGGGATAAATACCGGGAAGTGCACCAGACGAAATTGCTGAAGTTCACTTGTCCAACTTGATCCCTCAAGCGAAAGAACAGTTGTTGCTTCTTTATGTACCATGACATCTCACCCCCAGGTATCTCCGTCAGCTGAGAGCGCTCTCGGCGGTTCCCAGATCGTTAAAGAATTCTTTCACCAACTCAATTTGCTGGCCTCATCAGCAGGTTCTAAATATGTCTCATCACTTCTGGAGGAGAACTCCAACCTTCAAGGAAAGCTGGAACAGGCACAGGTGGAGCTGACTAAATTCAAAGGAGACATGGGTGAATTGGAGAAAAAGAAGCAAACCACGACAGAGGAGCTTCTTGCCATGAATCGAAAGGAAGTTACCAAACAAGACGAGCTGAGGAAGCAGATAGAATCTCTCAAGACCTCACTCGAAGATCAAAAGGAGCAGGTCACTGAAAAGCAGAGTGCGTTCAATGACCTCAAAGCACAATTTGATAAAACCCAAGAATCCTACCTTCGTGAGAAAGAGAAAGTCGTCCGCGCGCACAGTGATATTACCACACTCCAGCAAAATATCAAGGAGAAGGACACTACGATCGACAAGATGAAATCTGTAGGGTCGGAGCTCAAACAGCAATTTTTGACTGTCAAGAAGACTGCAAAAGATTTGTCCGACGAAAACAAAGGCTTGAAGCAACGTCTTCAAGCTGCTGAGGAGCAAATTCGAAAATTCGAAAATCTACCGGCGAAGTACCATGAAGAAGATGAGGAAGTCATGTATCTTTACCCCCCTTCGGTATCCTGTCTTATCGGCTTACTCCTCTTAGGCTTGAAAGGTTTAAGAAATTGTGGGAATATGCCATCAAGGAAACGTATTGCCATCTGCAGAAAGATCTGCCCGCCGAAGCTTTTGAGGTACGTGGAGGCAATACGACAGTGACGTCCTTCCCACGTTACTAAAGACGAGACTAGAATCTACAAGCCTGGAAGAAATTCCAAGAAAAAAGCGATCAGGCATTACGACATCATATCCCACTTCCGCTTTCCAATTCTAAGGAGGCAAAACAGATGCGGCTTGCGGTGATCCTTGGGATTCTCTCGAGAGAAATAGACAAGTATATTTTCCAGCCAACCTATATCTTGCCGGACGACAGCCAAATCCGAGAGATGTTAGCCAACCTGGCCATTAGCGAGAATGAGAAGGAATCATTTTGCCGGTTGTTGCTATTGTCAATCGATTGGCCAGCGCAGAAAAGAGAATGTGAGGCAAGAATACAGATCGTTGTGAGAAACGTTGCGTCCTACCTCTATGGGTTGCTGACAGAGACGCAATTCGATGAATTTTGCCTTGGTGTTCAGAAAATTGTTTCTCAGTCCGCTGAAATCTGGGAGAAATTCCAGCGGACGAAGCAGAAATACGAAACAGATTTTGAGCCCATTCAATGGGGGGACCTTGAGTGGGAGGAATTTCCGTTTCCAGAGGCCGATGGTAGCGAGAATCGACGGGCGGAAGGTACGCCAGATGAGAATCTACTCACCGTGTTTCCACGGATTTCGACGGTAGATAATGATGGACGTGCCCCTTTGACTTTCGCCATCCAAGTGAGGAGGTCATCACCGGTTTGCATCGCTGCAGGGCAAGAATTGGCACCACAGATTTCAGGACCTCTTCCTAGAAGAACGGCATCCAGCCGACCTCGGAGAAAGACAGTCACTGAGAACACTAGCAATGGCCCTTTTTTAGGTGGAAAGGCGCAGTAAAAGGCGTGATGCGGCGAATGAAGCTCATACAATGAGTCTGCGACATTTACCAGAAATAAGTGCTGACTGGTTGCAAGACAATAACCGCAAACGAAAATAGCGTGGAATTATTTCATCTTGACCCCTACGCCAGGTGCTCTTATGATCAGTTGACCACGGATACCTTTTCATTCTTTCTATTAACAGGTGTAACTATCAGAGAGAACACATTGTAATTTCATCGAAATGAATCTGATGCCATTAAGAATTCAATAATATGCCCTATATTTTGTGCGCCGCAGACAGCACAACCTAAACAGGAGAGCTAATGGCAAAGAGCGCAAGCACACTGAAGATGATCATCACTACAATAAATTTCTTATTTAGTGGTTCGCGACTGCTAAAGTCCCCAATCTCTTCCTTCGCGCATGAAACTTATGCTCTTTAGTCTCAACTGGAGCAATTCATAACACTGCGAAGTAACTCTTCCAAGCTTCTGGGCCGTTGGCACATCTCTCATAACGGAACTGTGAAGCGCCATTTCAAATTTACGCCTTTAGCTCTATGGCGTTTCGTCTGTCGCCTTCTGGAGTCCACGGGATGCACTCGAGGCCAGCCGATTTAGCAAGTTCGCAATAATTTCCTCCCACCGAAATATACAAGTGATCCATCCTTGAGATAAATCAGTGCCTTTCAACATGCATTACTGATAGTATAACCACCTTGAATGGGTGTTGTGCGATGCCCAGGTTTGACGCCTAGGACAAGTCCGAGGACTCATTATTCGACGAAGTTTACGAGACCTACATATTAAATTGCAAAGTGCTTAAGAGGAGAGACAGAAGATACAGGATTGAATCCTACGACTATACGCTCTTTAACCATTTCATCTTATTTCAGAGCTCCGACGTGTTACTTTGCGGCGGCTGCCTTCGAAATAGCTTGGAAGTACGGATGTCTGCGGTCAACCCGGCGAAAGGCTGTATCTACAATGGCATAGGCCCCAAATGATCAAGATCGGCTATGCCAGCTTGTGACTTCGACGTGTCAGAGAGCGAGATACGAAAAGCTCTATCTCTATCAAAGGCGACTCTTGCCAGGTAAGCAAACGATGGTTAGTCCCTTCAGGGCACTGGCTGGTTCATGATGAATGTGCAGATCTGAAATTTATGACGGCCCAGTATGAATGACAGACATAACAAAGATCCTCCGGCCAACAGGTGACTCTCTGCTAAAGGATGAGGATCAGCTCCTTCGTGGACTCATATTGCCAGTTATGACTATATTCATGGGAAGGAGAACATTATGTGTGAGCAACTCATGCTAGAAGTTGGACTCAGTCAAAAAGCAGCAGGGAAAAAAGATTGTGCGTCCATCTGTGAGTGAGCGCAGACAGCCAGAGATTAGCTACAGCCACTTTCCAAACAATTAGAGCCCTTGCATCTGTTTTCACTAACATTAGGTATTGGGCTGCTTGGAAAAGTTTTCCTCTAAGTTTTCCTCTAATATCAAGGGAAGAGGCAAAGAAATTCTCACTAGAGTATATATGGAACAGTGGTTTGGCAGTTAGAGACAATCAATCTATGACTCTATGAAATGTCAATAATTCACAAAATGATAGTACGTCAGCCTGGTCCGCCTGCTGCTCCTTTCTCTTTCCATCTGCTGCCAGTCTTGAAATATGTTTACTAATGGCGATGTCAGTGGGCTTTTATCATTATTGTTTTTAATCTTCAATCGTCCGTTCAGACCATAAGCTATAAAGATCATCAGGGCCTTTAGGACGGGATCAATCTTCGGGTATAGATTCTTCTATCTACTCCTGGGAAAGTAATCTTAATGCGTAGGTTATGATTGAGGAACACAGGTCCCATGATGATGTGCTAGAGGAGGAAAGAACGAAGTGGTAGCGCAAATATTATGCTAGATGGGCCTAGATGCTCTGCACGGGGGGGATTTAAGAAGTAAATGAATAAATAAATGACTTCAACGGTTATAACACATCACAAGGAACTTGGACTCGGTCTTCATCCATCTCCTATACACCCAGTCCATCTGGCAAACAGACTGAATGGATGATATAATCGCACTCTGGCAGGCCATTAGGAAAATTGATTCGTGTTCCCAACTTCGGAAATATCCCATCTGCCAAATAGATATTAAAGATATTGCGCCGAAAGTCCAGAACCAGAATATTCAGATATCTCTCACTCGATATTAGTGCTTATCATAGCCCATGCTCAGCCCCGCTTCGGGCATCAAAGCAGCTGTGCCCCTGCTCGGTGAGGCTGAAGCTTGGCTGTGACATAACCGCTATTCATATATTTAATCGACAACCGAGTCGCCCACATTGCCCGTCTGAGGAACTGCTATCAACCAATCACGAAGGCTGATCCACTCGCTCTCGCATCAGGGATTGCCGGGCTGCTTTTGCTGGGTATTCAAGTCACCCAATCTTTGGTCAACTTTTACGCTACATATCTCAACCAGTTGCTTGCTTATGTTAGCTCTATAGGGTGATGCATCATAATATGCATTATCTGGATCAGATGTACATGTTACCGAAAAGTAGGCTGTTCTAGATCTCCTGGACTGTTCAGCTAGCCACAATATGGGCTTCATAAATCGACTGGGTTCCCGTAGCTACAACCAACAAGCAATCGGTCCGTGCTGAGCCAATTTGACGTATGGAAAATCAAGGGGAAAGGGGCTGGCTGAGTGTTTAACCGAAGGAGCTGCAGAGCATCAGCTGTCACCTGTGGGCTCCGCCAGAAATGTGGAGGAAGGTCCTGTTGTATCTCCCAAGCAATCCAAATGTTGCCAAACACTCAGATCAGACCTAAAAGCCCAATAATTTATCGGAGAATCCCTTGTGTCGAATACTCTCAAGGCTAGTGCTATATCAAGGGTAGGACACGAATAGCTTGACTACTGGCCGACATAGTCGTCGCCTCCAGGCTTCACTTCTCGGTCCTCTGATTCTGATCGCCCGATGTTGATCCCTTGGACAAATAATCGACTGAAGGGCTTCGCCTACCCTTCGGCAAAAATTGCCTTCTGCCTCCCTAGTATCGCTCAGCTCCGGCCTCATGCAACCCTGTCACAAGAGTCTCCCATCACAACAGGGCCATTTGCTTGACGGTTGAATCCTCTTCCTGCTACACATTGAGCATATACGAGCGACGCTAATGCAGCTTATTCACATATACAGGTAACCACAATCAAGTCACTTGTTGACTGACCAAATACTTAGGTCGAAGATGGCAGGGACGATGAGCCCACGAAACTATTTAAGCATCGTCAATCTGACATCTCGAGCACCTGGGAGATCATAACATTCTCTTCCCTCAACGATCTCATTCATACATTGATACTGAACAACCATGGTCAGATACGCGAACGTCCTTGTCCTTGCAGCAGCTGCCGTAGCTGTTGCTTTTCCAATCTCCGATGTGCTCACTGAGAGAGCAACAACATCATTCCTGAACGTCGTCCCATGGTACCGTGCCTATAACCCATCCATTCAAGACCATTTCTACACTCCCGATCTCAGTGAATGGAACAACGCTGTCCACAACCTTGGGTACGTTGCTGAAGGCATTGCATGTCGCATCCATTCTACTCAGGAGTGGGACACCGTTCCATTCTACCGGATGTACAATCCGAGCATATACGATCATTTCTACACCACATCCAAGCCAGAACGAGACAATGCAATCCAGAAGCTCGGATATCATGATGAAGGCATCACGGGTTACATCTATCCAGAACCAATCCCGTTTGCAGTCCCGCTCTACCGCCTTTACAGTCAGTCAGCTACCGATCACTTCTACACAGTATCTGGGGCTGAGAGAGACAACGCTGCTGCAAACTTGGGGTACACTGAAGAGGGTATTGCTGGTTATGTGATTCCCCCACAGTAGGCCAGGCGATGCTTATTGCTTTGAGGGAAATGGACGGCCAATATGCTGTCGCAGAGATCGGAGGAATGATTTGGTCCGGTGCTCATGATGTCGACGGGAAAGATGTTCGAGTTCTTTAAGCTATTTGAATTGTGTTGGAATGAATTGTTCGCATTCTCGGAAACTGTAGTCTCCTCTAGAACTGAGACCCTTGGTTCGTGAAATGTCCAGTCTATAGTCTTGCGTCATATGGTCAACTCGAGATATTAGACAGCAAATATCCTCGTCTGGCATGTAACGCGTCAAATAAGCCGCTTAGCATTTTTGTTCCATCTTAGTTCGGGTTGCAGAGGAATTGGTTCATAAAGTTCATTGTTCTTAGATGTATAAGAACTCAGTCTAGGTGACTCCCAGAAACACGAATTGATCATGAGCGTATCCCCACCACCGAGAACAAAGAAATCCCCTCAACAACTCTGCTGCCAAGACACACCACAAAGCCAATCAGATTAAATTCCTATTGATGACCTTTCATGGCTAGTCCGAAATCCAGAGATTCCTTTATTTCCCTTACGCTTCTCTTATTGTGTAGTGATTAGATCATCTGGCATATAGATATATTGTGCCGAACGCCACGGGCGTCGCACTATCACTGCATCGTTTCATCCTAAGTTACTTCATGGGATTAGTTAATTATCCAAATGTTTCTGAAGAACTATCGAGATTTCATCCATAGCGATGCCACTGACGGGGAGGCACTCATAAGTGAAAAGCAATCTGAATACCTGCATGAAGCAGTCCCGTTCGGCGCCAGAGAGTATCAGCGGCTCCGAAAAATCATTACCATTCAATATATCCTTATAGTCTCGCTTTTAGTCTTCGCTATTGGAGCTGGGGTTGCAGTCTGGACGAATCCAGGATTAGAAATACCTGATATGGTTTACTGTAAGCAGCTTATCGCTGTACAAGTTCACAGCTAATGAGATCTAGCTCCTGCTCAAGACGTCATCAGATACAAGAACATCGTCTTCAACTCCGGCTGGGGAGACCAAAAGTCCATCTATATGGGTCCGCCATCGGAAGAGAACAATAAAGCGTGGGATGATCTCCATGTCGGTAGGTCGTTGCCGTCGATGCACTGCTAGGCTTAAGCTGAGTTTTCAGCGCCGGCGATGGTCAAGATTCCTGCGATCGATGCAGCTAAATTGGTTAATAAGACCGTCCCAATTCCTGGCGATTCAGGAGACAGTTCGGGGTACTATTTAATTGGGCTCGATGTTTTTCATCAGTTGCACTGTTTGGTATTACTCCTTTGTTGAGCTGGTGAATCAATCTGACATGCGCAGGATATGCTCCGCAAAGTACTCTGGGGTGTTGATATGCATCACACCGATGACGAGGAGGCTATGCATCACCTAGACCACTGTATCGAAATGATACGTCAAAGTCTCATGTGTTCAGCCGATAGCAACGTCGATGTGTGGGCGTGGAATGAAGAAAAACAGATGGTTACTGTGAGGGCGGATAATATACACACTTGTCGGGACTTTGAGGCTATTCGGCAGTGGGCGCTCGAGAGACAAGCTGGAGAATTTGATCGGACGATAAATCTGGTGGATTCTTTGACTGGTGCGAGCGGGTTCTTCGTTCGAATATCATCTGCTGACAGTGTATACTCATATATATGACGCTCATGCTCCTGCTCCTGCTCCTACATAATATGACAATTGAGTCCAGTTTGTGAAATGACGGTCCAGTCTTGTCCAGCTCGTATACTGGCAGCCAGTTAGCTAGCTAGGTCAGCGGACGTCAACGGTAGACGAACGGAGTCATCAAATTCTCGCGACAGGACGATTCTTAGCCGATTTATAACAATTATAGTTAAATAATGCACTATCGTAGGCACATCCCATGGATATAACTAGCATAAATAATATGTCAATGTGCATTATGACCATGGTCTAGTTCCGAATATGACAACTTAGGGTCACCTGCATCATAGACATAGGTTGATTCTTAGTATACACCGCTTGCGGCCACCTTATACTAAACTTTTCTCTTCAGGAAATTTAAGCGGTCAACAGTACAAAATTCATAGACAAGAGCTTCCACTAATTATTAGGGTTGCATGACTTCAAGACTTTCAATTTTTCCGGGCATTACGTAGATGATCTTTACTGCGATAATAAGTATCGCTCCTGCCCTCGTTCTTTTGGAGAATCGTATTCTTTCTCCCCACGGCCTATCTAATTCTTGATTTATCTACACAATGAAGCTCTGGCAAATTATTCCAGCTAGCTCCCTCTTCTGCATTGTGGCAGCAGTTCCTGCCGGCACTATCCCCGGCATCACATTGCAGCCACAGCTTCCATTTACCCCAGGCTTCAGTGGATCAGGCGGCACCCATAAGCTGACCTTGTCTCAGCAGCTTCTGCTTGCCCCTTCTCGGTATGCGAAGTACCAGTTGCTGGCAAACGAGGACTTCATGTTCGATTTTGGAAATAGTTCAAAGAACAGTGAGCTTAGCTCTGGCGGATACCTGGTCGATGCTACTGGCGAGACATTTCCAGCCCTCATAGGCCAAGGCGTCGGCATGGCAGTTAGCATTATGGGGCCTTGTGGCTTTAATACTCCTCATTCTCATAACGGCGGCACTGAGTTCAATCTCCCATTCAACGGCACGATACAGACGTTCATGATGCTTGAGCCACCAGCTACTCATTCTGGCGCTACTCCTCGAGTGGTGAATTTGACGCTGAACGCTCTTCAGGCGACTATATTTCCACAGGGCTCAATACACATGGAATTTAATCCTTCCTGCGAGACTATAGCCTTTGTGGCTGCTTTCGGCACTGATGATTTTGGTCGAACGCAGCAATTCGAATCCCTCTTTAGTCTGCCTGACATCGTCCTCGAAGACGCTCTTGGGCGTACTCTTGATGAATACGAGATCGATATGGTCCGGAAGAAGATCCCTGGTCCAGTTATTCTTGGCGTTGACGAATGCATGCGAAGTTGCGGGATGTCCCGACCCCCCCGACGCCATACTTAATGCTGGTCTCCACAAGCCTCTCCTATGTTGCTGTAATATATCTGGGTTTTCCAAATGAAACCTCTGAAACGAAATGCTGATGTGCAAGGCAAGGTAGCACGAGAGCAGCGACGATTGAATGCAGATTAATTCATATGTATTGTTGGCTCTTGTAGGGCTGCACCTGGATACGAAGTATTTTGTTATTGGGTAAAATGTCTTCAGTAAGAATCAAGAATTCAAAACTAAGAAAGCAACCACTTTATACTGGGATGTCATCTTCAATCCAGCATGTGACAAATAGTAAATAATGACCTTCACATAGTCATAGATACTGTGCTGTAGATACTGCGCTGACGGCAAAGGCCTCATTCGAGGGATCGGAGCAGTCGAGAACCCGTGTAGACGTATACTCGCAGGAGGCTCATGATCCTTTGTCCGGTAGGTAATGAAGGTGCTGTTACGACCGCTTTCAATATTGTTCAGCTGGTCACTCGTACTTTGTAGGAACTTACCACATCGTGGCACACAGACTGGACTGGTCAGTGTCTGATCGGTGGCTCGTATGCGGGTGATGCAGGCGTGAGTGCTTATGGAGGGTGAATTCCCTGGCTTTCCCTACAATTCCCCCTTCTCGTATTTAAAACCTCAAGGAATGCTTCCCATAGGTGGACCGTGGACATAGCGTCGACGCTCAGCCTCGTAATGGCTGTGCTAATAAGCCTGAGTCATCCCCAGGGTACGACATACCATCAACATCCTGCTATCCATCATCAAACAACCCTCAGATATTCAACATTATACTCTGCCATCCAGTGAATCTTGCGCCAGACAAGTGATCAATATGAACCGACCAAAAGCTTCTGAAGAGGCAGCACCTGCCTACCATGAACTATTCGACACGGAATCTGTCAATCAACCGGCAGCGACATCTTCAAGGACGGTAAGCGATTCCCCGACCGCTTGATGTAGATAAACACTCAGACTGACTATCTCAGCATCAATACGCTGCTGTCCCCCATAATGACCTGGACGAAAATGCAAACGCCGCCAGCTGTCACGATGTGGAGTCTCACCCTCATGAGTCCTCGCATCCTCTTACGCAGCTAGACCCTACAAAGCCACACTTCCACTGCGAGACGTGCGACCGCCAGCTCGAGCGCCGAGAGAGATTGGAGAAAGAGGATGCAGGCTGTCGGGTGGTTGCACTGGTGTTTATTGTGCTCATTATCAGTTTGGCATTGCTGGGGATTGTGATCATTGCACGGACGGGGAAATAAATGGATTGATGTGAACTATAAGAGCTGGAACCTTGAGATCAAAACCTCGGTAGAATGGAAGCGATTAAGTGGATGACTTGCGCGTGTTCTGAACTCAAATTATTATCCGTTCTGGCGATGACGTCTACACTCTTGTTAACGCCTCCCTCCTACAATCACCTTCGAAATCCCTAATCAATCTTTCTGCGGAAAAATATCGTCAGGGAAACTGCAATCTCATTAAAGACCATGTCTGAAAGTAAGCCATCTCTGCAAGGCTCATAGTATGACCCGCTGATGTCGAAGACAAACAAACCTCTCACCACACCGGATTCATGGACCGGATGTTACATCGCAGACATCATGGCAACGAACAAGAGCAAAATGATCGCAATGAACAACGTGACCAGCAGCCTGATGTAGAGCCTCAGGAGGGTGCACAACCCAATCCACATGTCAAGGAAGGCGAAAGGGACAGAGTTGAAGACTCTGTGGGCGAGGAGCGGAAGCTAATGCAGGAGGGAGACACATACGCTGGACTTATGTAGGCTATTCTGTGAAGAAGTGTGTATCATTCACTGCCATGGAGTTATGCTTGTCGTCATTCTACCTTGGGTATCAAGTGAAAGCCTTTCGGAAGTGAATTCTTTTGTAGTTAATGAATTTCCTACGTACACACCAGCAGAGAAGAATCTCACATCTAGTCAAATTTATCTTCCTCTCTGTATCTTCACTAGACTTGTTAATCATCGCAGGCGACTTCGCCTCGAGCTTTGGCTACGACGGCGGCATCTCCAGGTCGTCGGGACGGATTTACTCGACCAGCAATGACCTCACAAAATTCGGCCCAGCGATCCTGATTTCGACGCTGGATTTGGTATTATTGAGGCCAGTGCGTTGTCAACGCGATCGAACGCGACGAGTCTTCTGACGGAACTCGTCATGGAGGCGATCTCCCTGCGCTTATTGAGCAGGCTGCATCTGCAGCGAAGAGGAGTTTTGCGGTGAAGTACAGGATCGATCGATTGGTCTCTGGCGCGGGCCGTTAGTTCTTCTGGCAATCCCGGCTTGTCGGTGACCTCGTTGGTTAGCAATGGGGCGGATCCTATGCCGTCGCTGGCTATATTAGACGATTTGCGTCGGCTAGTGCCCGGCAGGTAGCCTTTAGGGCATATACAGCTACACAGCAAAAATCCAGAGGTCTATTTCAGAGGAACTTTGACGTGCATGACTGGCTCGCCGTCAGCAGCGGGGGATACGCGCTGAATCACTGGCAGAGTTTGCCTTTGAAGTGGATGCGCAGGGGAAGGCAACGAAGGTGGAATTAACAGCTTGGAATGTAATTCTTCATAGATAGCTGTCTATTGGCTGTCCATACTTCATCAAGCATACATGCCATTTTCTAGTTCCCCAGTTCCAATGCTATACGGTGTAGTCAATCAAGAAACCCACTGATATGACAACACCGGAATGGTAAACTCCTCCGCCGTGCACGTCGCGTTGAAAAACGCATCATGCACACACTCGAGCTCAAACTCCGTCGACCCAGAGTACGTAATCTTACTGCCATTGTTGCAGGTCAGCGCATGCCCATCCCCAAGCACATACTCCATCCGTCCGGTGGAAGTCTCATAATTCGAGCTCCCGTAGAACGAGACGATGCGCCCGAGCCCGCGGTCCTCATAGCCGCAGTTGCTCGCCCCGTTGCCGATATCGTGCACCCGGTACCCGATGTACTGGTCGTGGCACTGCAGGCCGTCGGTGAAGTCGATGTCGAGTGTTTCAAGCGGGCCGTAGCCCCAGGGGTGGTAGTTGGGCATGCCGGTCCAGCAGAGGTGGACCCAGGAGCCGTTGCAGGTGGCCTGGTTGGGTTCGCACCAGCCACCGGTGCCGGGGCAGAGGCAGCCGTAGGCGTCGATGTCGGCTTGGTTGTGCACACAGTCGAGGCTGTGGGAGCCGTTGTACCACTGGAAGTTGTTTACGGTCCAGGTGGGTAGGGGGCAGCCATCGGGGGGTGTGATGGACTGGGTTAGGGCGGTGGAGGTGACGGCCAGAAGGCCGGTGAGGAGAGTGACTAGGGTCATTTTGATTGTAGGATTGTGTTAATGATTGAGGGGAAGAAGGGGAAGGATAGGTCATACTTATATACTGTAGATTTCTGCACAGACTGTGGAAGTGGGATGCAGAATGTAACCTTGTGACATGGCATGACGATCTGAATCGACAATGACCTGATTGTTGATACAGAGAACAGGGTTCATGATCGAATCTGACTCGGTTCTTCATCGCTTCCGCAGTCTCGAAACCACCGGGCATTGATTCGCCAATCAGCGGTAAATATTTCAGACACTAGTTAAGACATGTCTTGAATTGACTGCGGTAATTGGTACAACACATGCCAATGTCCTTACTACCTCTTACTTAATCCTTAGGCCTCCCATCCTTCTCCATTAAAATCTGGACAAACACACTTAAATCTCACGGGTGGAGCTTATGATGCTTATTTTAGCGAGACATGCAGTAATGCATTGACCACTTATGCGTCCGTATCACATTGTGACATGAAGGCATATGTTATGTTAAAGATCCGTGTAGGCTGGCAGAAAAGGAGCAGTCATCTGCCCTGAGCGCCAAGCTTATGGGAACCGGATCGCGAGATAAAACCATCAGGCTCTGCGACGACTGTGGGTTGTTTTCTGAGCCTTCAGAGCCATGACAACAGCGTGCGGGAGATTGTGCTTCCCCCAGCGGGCAAGTATCATCTCTCTCTGTCGAACGAGAAGTCGCTGCACTGCTGGGACCTGAGGCAAGCCAGAGTTACTCGAAAACGCTCATTACATATTAATAAGCTGCGTGAAATGGGCGCCTGGAATCGCACCGAGTGGACCCGTATCGAAGAGTCAGTGTTCTAAGAAATCGACCGGGGAAGACAACCTTTTACCGACGGAAAGGCTGTCCGACAGAGGCATACAGGATACTGCGATCAGGCGCCTTATCTCTGCGGCAGGCTGGGATGGGAAACTGAAGATCTTCGAAGACCGAGTATGTTGATATAGTAGTGTACAGGCGATGGAGGATTTTGTACATTTTTAGCCCACTGCTACCTGAAACTTGGCCCATCGGCTATGTAGCATATCGGACGATCTCCCGAGGAGAAGCCTCAGGAGTTTTCGGAAATAACTCGTTCTGGCTGCAGCTTAACTGGAAGTCCCGAATATCTGAGCAACAGGGTCTACTGATCATCGTTCATTGTCTGTTTGCGTATGCCTTCCTCCGACCATTCACCCTTTTCTCAAATCTACTCGGAGACTTGACCATCGACTGCTCTGCGCAATCTCATTTCGACGAGAGACTTGCCGCGAGCATATTGCTGGCCGAGATGAACGCCTTGACTATCACTACCTGGCTTCAATACGCATATTGGATGTACCTGTCGCGGCCGCATTAGCTCTTTGGAAGAGCTGTGAGTTGGGTGTCAATGTGCTTAACCCCAGAGATAGCAGCCTAATTCATTATATGCTGATGGACTGCTTGCGCGCTCCTTTTTTCTTTTTCTTCTTACTCTTCTTTCCGGTGTACGACCGACTCGGCTCATGGAGCAACCTTCCTGGCATTGACTATATGCGTGTATGTCGCAAAAGGTGCTAGAAAAGTTGACCGCAGGTGACCTCGTTCGAGCAAGTGCTCTACCTCGGTAGCCAACGCATTTGCCCAACTCGATGAATAGTACTAGCAACCACGACCAAGACCCGCCTACGTTTGGAATCAGGGAACGGTTCGTACCTAGAACGCTCAGGTTTTAACAAATAACTCGGTCCATCCACTTGGGCACGCACCAATCTACGATTTTGATCCTAGGTCTAGAATGTTTTGGGTGGGTGGAATGTCGAGCGGTCTCAGTTGCTAAATGCCGTACACCTCTCATAGACCGGTTGCATATACATGCTCAGAGAAACGACCTACCCGCTCAAACTGCTGAATAACTCTGATGACGGGTGCTCACATCAGGGTATGGAAATTGCATCAAGCCCGACACGCGCTAATAAGCAAACTAGTCGAGAGTCACAAGCTTGAAAGGAAAATCGACAGAATACCGGGTGGTAGGTCACTTAGAGTCCCCATTGGGAAATGTGACTCAAGTCCTTTCGGCTGGCAACTGTAGAAGCTGTATAGTCTTACCCATAGGTGGTGATTACTCCATTTATAAGTTCAAAGGCAAGGCTTATAGCAAATGACGCCTAGACCCGCGCATTAGACCACAGCCACACTGCCCCTATACACTAATAGAGGTACATGCCCTATAGCCTAACTATTCTCCTTTTAAAGACTCGCTAAACTATTCTGGAATAAGACATGTGCCCTCTCTTTCCTTTTCCCTCCCCCTCTCCCTCTATGCAGCTCCATATGTGTACACTAAATAATCCAGGTTTAAATTTGAGTTCTAGGTTAGAGTTGCATAACCGAACCGCTAAAATCGAATCCGACCCATCGGCTATCTTCTTCTGACTTTGAGATATACTTTCAATCATCTTCCAAAATTAGCTCAAATACGGCTGCATTCTTTGACCCTTTAAACACTCTCTTCAACTGGAGTGCTGGGTCTGCATTGCGAAACACTGCTAACCAGCCTTTGAGGGATTTTGAGAAGCAATTCAGGCTTGCTATCATGTGGAAGTCCAGCTCGTTCAGAAATCGAGACACATATTCTTCCTTCTCAGGATCAAGAAAATCGTGGATAAGAATCCTTGAATGGCCAGGTTTCATCGCCTTGACGATGTGCTGAAGAATAGTGGCACAGGCACTGCGAGCGGTAAGAAACTGCCAATTAGAATYGTAATCACATGTAGCAGACGTCTCCTACCTGGACGGGTGATCCATCATGACATGGCTCAATAAATAGACGTCGGCGCCGTGAAGCGGTTGCGGAGAATACACGTTATGTGCCTGCCATTGGATTCGTCCTCTGACTGTTTCGGGTATATCAACAGTGGTCTGGGCGCTTTCAACAACGCTGCCGAGGTCTTGTACTATGAAGGACATGTGGGCATACTTTCTTCCCAGTCGGATCGATTGCTGTCCTTTGCCGCCTCCGATATCCACTATCTGTGCATCTGGTTTCAAGGTGTAGAAGGGGTAGATGCTCTCAATGGGATCGTCGAGAGGAGTGTTGTAGTGTCCAGCCATGGCGGTCGCGAAACGATTTCCTCGTTTCAGATCCACAGAGTCATAGTACTCGTACAAGGTCTTGTCAGCTGCAACAGCAATTAGTATGGCACTGTAATTATTTAAAAGCCTGACCTACTGTTAAAGGTCAGCTGGAATGCTGCCTGGCGATGATTATCTGGTATCTGAAAGTTGGATTGCGAGAGACTTCGTGAGAGATGAGCTCCGGTTACAAACCCGTCGTCAGTCCTAATTTCTTTAGAATGGAACACTTTTAGGCTTACTATTGAGGGACTCACAGGTAATCAATAAGTGATGAGAACTCAATATCCAAAAGGCGTATTGAGCGAGTATTATGACAGTATAGATGTGATTCGACTTCATCAAAAATGAATCGCTTCACACATTGCCGCATTACCCTTTCTGAGCGATGTTAGTATGGTATACATCAAAGCAGTGTGTCAGGAACGTCAATACTGATCAGATCCATAGAGCCGCCGGTCCTCTCAGTCAGCTGTGAGAGTGAAATCGCCCCGGGGGCTTGGGGGACATGATGATGGATTTTCATTTCCAGAACAAGTGAGAGAGCGACGCTGTCAACATATCCCCATGCAACATTTGCAATCCATTCATGTGGTTCCGTCAACAGAGCTGTCAACTCTTGGCATGCATCAATGACCTCCCGAATCTGACTTTGTTCTTTATCCGGCAGGGTAACAGAGCCAGACTGTAGAACATCCTGAACTGTGCGAGGTGCCTTTTGCGAGATGAGGGACGATAGAGCTTTCACTCTCGCAAGAGGATTGAGGGTGATTGTCATTTCTTTCAGGGGGGTCACAAAAATATTCTAAATGCAATAATATTGAGACTACAAATTTGTTAAGTTAAAAGTGACGTCGACGACGATATATACATCTCAGTGAAATTCCCGTCGTCCTTCGACACTCTAGTGTCTACACAGTTACATAGGATCTACACTGTGGATGCCATTTTATCCATGGTAGCTGCATATTTACCCACCTTAGCTTCAAACGACACATCACATCACAAGCTCACATGAATCCAGGAGATCCTAGATTCGAAGAGACCTCCTTACTTGTGCGAACGAGAAGGGATAGGAAGTGGAGCTGCGTCTTGCTTATATTTCTGACTATAAAATGCAATAATCAGAAACGGTGTCAGACTCTGTTGGAAGGAGCATGATCATCCTCCAGGCTCAGTTTTTCGATTCAGTTAGCTAACGCCACTTTTCCGAGACGGTCAGCTCGACATGGCCTTCCCCGCCACCACTGTCGTGATTGTACTCCAATTCCTGATATGCTTGGTCCTATACATCGTGATATACCGTCTTCTTTTTCATCCTCTGGCCTCAGTACCTGGACCTTGGCTGGCGGCTCTCACAAGCCTCTACCATTTTTACTACAGTGTAATTCGAAGAGGAGACGTGGTCAACCACCTCAAGTTCCTGCACAAGAAATACGGTGAGAAATGGGCATGAAGCTATACGTAACGTATGTGCTCATCTCAAGGACAGGTACTGCGGTAAGAATAGGACCAAATGAGGTTTGCTTATCCCGCACTTTGTCTGGGTCTTGATGCACCCCAACTCTGACCCCAGAGTTTCTTCGATAGGTCCATTTTTCCAGCACAGATGCATACTTTGATATCTACCACTCCAGAGACACACATAAGGATCCGGACTTCTACGATGCCTTCTTTGTTCCTGGTGGGACTTTTGCTACGTTGGATCAAGCAGAAGCCAGGAAACATAGGAAGCCAATTCTACAAATGTTTTCCCGCAAGGAGACGCTCAATAAAGAGGAGATTCTCATCACTCAGGTGGGTAATCTCCATTCCTAATCTAGAAAGAGCTTCTACCAATGGTAACTAGGCTGAGAGGCTTTGCAAACTGCTGCATGCGTCAGCATCGCAAGAGAAGTTGATCGATATATACATGGCGCTTCGGTGCTTTACAATGGATTTCACAACACAATATGTATTCGGATTCACCTTTGACTCGTTGGGAAGTGCAGGTTTTCAATGTCTCACCCTCAAAGCCTTAGATGTTTTCCTCGCAGGTTTCTGGCTGCAGGGTCACTGGAGCTTGTTGCGAAGCTTGACCAACTACTTCAGCCCCTGGAGCCTGCAGATTCTCTATCCACAATGTCGGGTGCTGTTCGATCGGGTGGAGGTCTGTGGACCCATATTCTTAGTTTGTGGAATGCTGACGACCCCGTCTAGGCTCTACAAGGTTGTCTTGATAAGATTTTGGCTGATGATCCTAGCAAAGGCGGCCAAGGAAACCCTATTCCATTGTTTACAGCACTAACCACTGTTGAGAGAGATCGTCGTGTCCCGTCGCTGAATTACCTTGCCGTCATGTCGGACACCTTCACTATGATTTTTGCTGCCGCCTATGCGGTCGGAACGACGCTCACCGTTGCCACCTATTATACCATGCACGATAAGCAGCTTCTGGCCAAACTACAAGAAGAGTTGGCCGACTCCTGGCCAGACCACACTCAGGAATGTCCATCTTGGTCTGTACTGGAAAAGTTACCGTACTTTGTGAGTTGCCTGGCTGGATGCAGAAGGCTATGTAAAAGGGGGCTGATGATGTGGATCTAGACCGCCGTGATCAAGGAAACACTCCGCATAACAGGGGGCGTGGTCTCACCGTAGGGCCCTCTTTGTCTGTTCACTAAATGAGGCGAGCATATTCCTAATGCGCGAGTCTCGTACAGTATTCCACGCATTACGCCCCCAAGTGGGATGACAATAGCTGGGACTCACCTTCCTGCAGGAGTGTGCCTTTCCTTCTTTATAACCCAGACTTTGAGATAAATCACCGTGCTAATACTGGACAAGATACAGGTATCCAGCAGTAACTATTTCCCCAATCATGACGAGGATATATTCGAGCATCCGGATGATTTCTGTCCCGAAAGATGGATCCGTGGAGGCAAAATGATGCAGAAATGGGAGCTTGCCTTTTCAGTGGGCCCAAGGCAATGTCCTGCGATAAGGTAGCAGATTCCCCTTTTAAATAACCTGTCTCATTGCACCATCAGCCTCTCATGCAGCCGGTAGTTTTTCCATGGCCGCCTTGCATATATGCCTGGCGCACATCATTCGGCTTTTTGAGATCGAATATCAAGATCATGGGTACGTGATCTCACACCCTTGCATACCTGGCACTGTTCACAAAATGGTTGGGCAGAAGACACCTGAAATATAAGGACTATTTTGTGCCATTGATTGATGGCCCTCATCTGCAAGGCAGGGTGAAGCACCGAGTGAGGGTCGGCAAGCATACATGAGCCTTGAGTAGCGGTCAAGGATGCAAGGGTCAACTTTATTCGAGTAGTAGCGATCAAGGGTAAGCTTTGTCCCAGCTGGTCGGATAGTCAATTGCCAACAGGCGCTATTTGCACATTGGCCTGGGCTTGCATATTCTATTTCTCGCACTTCTCAAATCTGTACCGTTGCCAGGATGCTGTTTCGTCAGAATAGTGGGCAAAATTCAGCGGAGCTCCCTTATTTAAGCTAGATCTTCTCTTCTATTGATCGCACAATTCAATCCTCAGTTACATATATTTTCTAAGAATAACTGCGTTATCAACACAATGACACTCAGCGCGGAGAAGCTCTTCGATGAGCTTGGTCAGCAATATGAGGAGTCATATGTCAACAATTCTGGGCTTGAGGATGTCATCGACTGTGCTCTCAAGGAACTCTCACCAAAAAGCCAAGTTCTCGATGTAGGCTGCGGAACTGGAAAGCCAGTGGCAACTCGCGTTGCCCGCGCCGGCCACGATATCCACGGTATTGATATTTCGCAGGAGATGGTCAATATTGCCTCCCGCCAAGTCATCGGCCGGTTTGAGAAAGCGGACATGACGACCTTCCAACCCTCCATGCAGTACGACGCTATCTTCACCATCTTCTCCATGTTCCAGCTCTCGCATAGTCAGACGTACTCAATGATGTACAAGTACTCCGAGTGGCTGAAGACTGGCGGGCTCCTGGTATTGGGAACCATACCCAGCACCAGCCTAGTGGATGATGAGAGTTTGTATGATGCCTTGGGAAAGATTGTCCGACATGCCGATCTTCTCTTCATGGGTAGGAGATTCCTCGGAACAGTATATACTAAGGACGGATGGCAGGATTTGTTCAGGGCTGCGGGCTTTGTAATCCACCTCGAAAGATCCTTTGCCTTCCACGCGAAACCACCGTACGACAAGGAGATCCAAGATCATTACTTGATAATCGCTAAAAAAGTTGTCGATCACGCGCTTATGGGACCATACCCGCTCCCAACGTCATATCGTGGCCCCCATCCACTCAGTGAGGCTGCCTGGGCCCCTTTCGCAGAGCGGCTGGTTAGAGATGAATTCGACGCAGTGTTGGAAGTAATCAAAGGGAATAAGAAGGTCTTGGATGTTGGCAGTGGTTATGGAAGTAAGTATATCCTTCTGGCATCTGAATACACTTCCCACTAACAGATCGCGGAACTCCCAATCGCAATGGCGAAACGCGGAATCGAAGCATACTCCCTCGAGCCTAATGCGGACCGGAAAAAGGTGCAGATACAACAAGCTCAAACACAGGGAGTTACAATTTGCAGCGGCTCAGCAGAGAAAATTCCCTTCTGCGACAGGACGTTCGACGCTGCCGTGGCCATGTGGATCCTCCACTATGTAGATGATCTCGACAAATCACTACGGGAGATAGCACGCGTCGTTGATCCCAGCAGTCCAGATTCTCGAATTGTCATTGTGCAGGGCGCTCCGGATAATGAAGTGGTCAATTTATTGAATGACGTCTGCGCCCCCCTTAGTGCACAGAACACCGCTATTGACCATCAGGGGTATCTTTTGAACGCCGCGGCAACAGTCTTTGCTGAGTACGGTTTTGGCGATGTTGAGGTCTTCCGTGTCAATGCGTACTGTGCCTTTCCAGAAGAAGATTTGACGGAGAGATGCCAGAAAGCAGCTGAGGTGTTGGCGGGTTTCTGGTTCAGGGACGATTCGAATTTTGTGCAGATGAAGGAGGCGCTAATTCCGCATTTGAAACTGCATTTTAGGGATCGCCCGTATGCGATCAATGATGAGGTTGCTATTTTAGTGGCTAAGCCGTTGCCAAATTGATCATCCAATTTGGACATCGGACTGCTATTTGACAGAAGTCAGGATCCACACACCATTTACATGGTTACATATCCCAAGGGCGTAAACTTATAATCTTTACATTCTCTTATACAAGGGGCTCCCTCCTATGTAACTATGCCGCCTCCTTCAGGAGCCAGTTCATTTACTGTCTAGTTTATATACTGTATCCAACCATATCTGTGCCTTGGACACAGTCACTTAAAAAGCATGGCTTCTCATAAGCGAATGGCCGCCCTTTCACCAGCGGAGACACACTACGATAATCCCTCGGATGAACTGGGTACTGATTGGGAGGCGATTAGCCGAGATCCACTCAAGCGATTGGCATTTCAATGAGAGCGTCTTGAAGATGAACTCACAGAGGAGAAACAAGGGATTCTACTACAAGACAACCCTAGCAGCAGAAGTCACTGTCGCTTCTGGGGATGCGTAGCTGCCAAGGTAATCGGAGAACCCAATGTCAGACCTGCATTTCGCTTCAATCTCAAGGACCTTTCTGGTCGATACTATGGTGAGTTCTAGCATCCTGCAAACAGCTTACCCTGTATCTCATGAGCCTTATCACCGAACAAGTACTACCATGTCTCATGTATGGAGCAATTATTTCCCGATCTGGGTGCCGGAAATGTTGCGTGTACTAGACATAGAATATATCTTTGATTCTTTGGGCCACTATCGCTCTGGGCTGAAGACTCTACGTAGTTGAACATCGTGTTTGCGTCTGCAGCCCAAGGCACCAACAACTTTCTATATCTATCATTCGCTGACGGACTCTCATGGTTTGAAACATTGTGCTGCTGGGATAGGTACGGAAACGACGAAAATGAGTCATGAATCCTCCAGGATACGGGGATTTCTGCTAGATGATGCCAGATTCATGTAAGTATCTAGCTGGGTGATGAGAGGAAAAAAGCTCTTGGGAGAGATGGGATCGCTCCCCAGGGTGCAAGGGTCTTTCCTGAGAACCAGGTCACTTCTCCTGGGAAGAGTTGGTTCTCTGGCGAACTGTCCGGCTCTTCACAAGACAAGTCTGGCTACTCCTTTAATCGCAAGAAGTTGCATCATCGCTACCACAGACTACAGTACCTTTGAAGCAGCGCCTCTCATTGAGCGACTGCGCCAATATAAAAGAGACCCTTGCCATCACCCTACAGCATTTCTCATCCTTTACGCTATCATTGTATGTCGTTGCCTTTCGATCCCGCTGTGTGACCAAATTTTTCTACAAAACACGATGCCCCACGCCGGCGAGACGCCCCGACTCTCATGGGATCTGTTAACTGTCTGCGATATTGCGGACTCTCTCCTGCAACGCAGTTGTGTCGGAGTTAACCAAAGCAGAACCTCATGCAAGATCGTGGTCTCCAAAATGTCGCAGGAAAGCGCCTCGCACTAGCTTGAGATGTCTGCTATGTGTTCAACGAAGGACACGTTGAAGTCGAAGCTGCAAACTGTCGCTGGTCTTCTCCTCTACAAAAGGCGACATCAAGACCAAGCCTCTCAAATCAGTCGGAAATGGCATGGTCGCCTCGACCTGAAGGAACTCTTCGAGAGACCGGGAAACCGTTTCTCGGCCGGCTGAGCGGCCAGAGGGCCAGACTCCGAAGCCTGGTGACGGCGTAGCTCGCCTGCTCGATCAAGCCCATTTCAGCTCCCAGCGGAGATCCCGTATGTGTTCAAAACTCCACCGTACCAGGCAACTTGTACTCTTAAGGATCTCTTCTAGACCTTAGATATAGTATACGTCGTATTATAGCCTATGTCTTGCATCTACTTGCGCATATTTATTATATAGACATGGACTAGTTCATAATTAGTTATGAACTAGTCAGTCTAGATACTTATTTTGCCATCCTTATATAAGTAGTGGGGGGCAGGTTAGGTATGGTCTTATCTAGGTAAGTATTATAGCAGCATATACTTTATTATATTAATCTATAACTGGTTTGTAACAAGTCCAGAACTAGTTGAAGACTAGGAATCCTTACTGGACTCCTCCTTGCTAGACTCCTCCTTAGGGTCCTCTTCCTCACTCTCCTCTTCCACGTCTTCAGCCTTGTCCTTTTCATCCTCTTTGCGAAGTAGTCAAAGTTCTCGCACCACTCCTTGCTCTTCGACGAACAGCAATCCAAAGGACTAGTTAGGTTGGAACTTCGAAGATTACATTTGCCCTCCTTCTTCTCCTTGCATGCATCGCATGGAACAGGATTCCACATGTCCTTAAGCATTTGCTTCATATTGGTCATGTCTCAGGATGCTCCATGGTTTGAGTAAAGCAGGATGCTTCATGGTATGAACAAGCCAGGGTTAGTTGCGCTGTCCGCGTTCGAGCTCTGGAGTATGGCGACGATAGGCTCACGGACCATTCCTGGTATAGCCCACTTCTCCACTGTCCTCAGATCCAGTGTGTTCGCGGCTGGTTTACTAAGTTTGAAAAACCAGCTTTCCAACCGCTGTAGAGCATGGCTTGCCTCAGTTGTGAACGCTGCATTCTTGGTATAACCAGGTGCTTTCGCCAGCGTGGCCTGCAATGCGTACGCTGGCCGTCCCCAAGGATATTTGGACAAGTCCTCATTTCCAAACAATTCTTCAGCTGAGCATTCTTGGTTATAAGAATGGTATCAAGCATTTAGCATAAGGGATTTCACTGCACTTGAAATCCGCAACCTCTGGATCGATTAACTGGGCCTTTAGGATTTTTCCTGGCGGAGGTGAATGGTATATACTTGTTGCAGCTGCAGGCAAGTGTCAGGGGATATAAGGAGTATCTTAAGCCTCGTCCGAAATGTTCATATTCGCCCTTTTCATCCTTTTCTTGGAAACGCGCGTGATCGACGGGATAAATACCTTCGTAACCACGCTGGTCCCCATGGGTTACAGGACCCGCGCCTGCTCGACCACATGGGTGATGAAGCCCCATATGGTCTCGCTTCGAGCCCAATTCAGCTCCTTGTTGAGGTACGTCTATACAACATCAGCAAAGGAACGGGGATAGTCTTCAGCATACAATGCGCGTACAGTGCCATTGTCGTCCACACGGAGGAAAAGTAAATCGTGGCCGTCTGTGGCCGTCCCAACCATTATCAGGCGCCGAATCACGGCCGGCAGGGCTGCGCCCAGGTCGGTGTCGTAGGCCGGGGGACTCTAGAGCCTTGCGGAGGCCCTTAAAGTGTGCCGAGACCCACCGCCACTACTGGTGCTTGACTTGCTGGCCATTGAATCCCATTTATCAGGGGCCTGGGCTCGTTGCCTCTTTCGGCCCGGCCCGGGCCTTGGTGGCCGCCATGTCTGCCTGGAAGGCTTCGCGCTCGATCATCTATATAAGTTAGCATCTGTTCAGTAAGTATCAGATCTATATGCCTAATACTTACCAGCTCTGCCTAGGTGAGATCCCCCAGCGCGGCCCGGCGGAACCCTGGTTGCAGTAGTTGTAGTTGTTCGTAACGGGGGCACTGTAATAGGCCTGAGTTATTTACTGTCCTTGTTCTTGTGACACAGTCAAGGTAGTCAATATCTGAACTCAGTACCTAGGTGCCTTGCAGAACCATTCCACAACGACTAGCGAGTAGAGGAGGATGTACAGGCCGCAACAAATAAAGAAACCGATCATGAAGTAGTTGCCGTCTGTCGCCATCCCCCAGACCTCTGCTTGTGCAGTAAGTTTGTGCGCCAATGGATAATTACTTGAGGGGTCAGCCAATGTCTTTCTCCCATGCGTCAGGGGGTTAGGCTTGACATACTCTTGTAGCACAGGCATTGGGTATGCCTGCCTCTTTGCCTCTACGGCAACAAGGTTGGTCCCCATGCCATTTTTATCTCCCTCATACCAGACAGCAAAATCTACTTTGCCATTGAGATTGCGGACGACGTTGTCGACCTTGATAAGGAGCGACAGTCGCGTCTCCTGGTCGAGGAAGACAATGTCCCAATTCTTTGGGTCCTGGGCTTCCCCTTCGTCATCCCCGTTACATCCAGACTGCTCACAGATGGCTTCTATAAGCATAAGGCTGACCAGGGTCTGGGCGAAGGGCTCGACCTGGGACTGGAGAAGGTCCTACCTTGCGGTCCTTGACTCGACCACCTTTGACTCTGCGAGTGAATGACAAATCAAATCGTTTTCCTTCGACCTGGGTCCGCCCACCCCGGTGAAATTTCATATCGCTCACGGGCTCCGTGAGGAAAGCGGTAGACGTGTAACGTCGAATATCTATAACGGAAAGTGTTAATATCTATTGCAACGTCAACTGTGGCAATGGAATTTACCGTCTATTGATGCGCATTACACACCAGTCACGAACACAAACAACACAGCTAAGGCAGCAGCGCAACCAAGTCCAATGCTTTTTGCGGTAAACGTCGCAGCGAGGGATGCGTTACTGACGCTGACAGTGTTGGACGACATGTGTATGGGGCAGTCCGAACCACCACTGTAATAGCCTTGAGTTAGTAACTGTGCTTGATCTGTCTAAGAGACTGTCAAGGTCGTCAGGATCAGAACTTACCAATATTTGTGGTGGACAACCTCGACTAGCACCTTGACGAAGGGTCTGAGTTGTTTTCCGGCCTCTTCGCCGAATTGGTTGGCAAACTATGTCAGACAGCCTCAAGATCCTGGCAGAAGACCCAGAAGAGCAGGGTGGCTACCCTATGGTATTTTGGATTCTCAGCGGTGATCTTGCAGAGAGCCGGATACTCTCATGGATGAGGTACCAAGCTAGTCATGTATCTGACGAAGATGAATCCCTATCAAGCAACGAGACAATCAATTTTGTTGTAGATCTCGAGTTGTTCTTGGCAACGTTTGCTTAGATGGGAATGGAGGGAGTAAGTACCAGCATGTTCGAAGCCATATCATTCACTGCTTCCAGCTGTAAGTTTCATATCCAAGTTTTTGTAAGACATCAATGTAAGATATTCACGCTTCCTTGGTGTATATACTTTCTCTACTGTGAATATTTCCCAAGCAATATTTCTGGCTCCCCAAAATCGTCATATCATCTCTGTGTCGGAAACCTGCTGCAAGACCCTCCTGAGAGAGCATGGTACAATCTTGGACGACGGCTTCTATGAGCACGAGGCACTGTTCGTTTCTATGGCTAGTTATAGGGGCTAGAGGACTGGCAGAGCTTTTCTTTTAAGAAAGGTTTATAACTTATTACTTATTTGTTGGACATGGATTTGTCCTCTCAAACTGTAACTATCATGTAGTGGTTTCGAAAACTACGAAAGAAGACATGAGGTTAGGTTACTGGTTCTGGTTAACACGGTGTTGATCATTGATAAAAATATATAACGAACGGGGCAGTGATCTGGGCGTTCTGAACAGACTAGAAAAGTGGAACATGTATATATTATTCATGTCAAACACCGCTGGATTCAAAGGACTTCCGGTCGTCATCAGGCGTCGTATATTTGAAACTCTCCCTAGGAGTTATCAATCTCTTCTTCCGGGACTCCAATTTTGGCTCGGCCTAAGGCTCTTGGATTAGACACCATCCTTGGTATCATCACAGCATGTAAGCGAGTACCTACCCAGTCAAAGAGCAACCATAAACCGAAGGTCAAAAGTATCAACGATACTGCAATTGGAAGGAACCATCTCCAGTCGGGATTATCTTTCAGAAGGTTTATGTTCATCCCGAAAAGGCTCTTGGGGAATGTGTCAGTAATCAGGAAAGACATAGATCAACTGATTGGTTGTAAATACACTTACTGACGTAAACATAAGGGGAAGGAATATGAACTTAAGAGTTAGCCTGCGAACCGGTGGGTTTGAATTGACTTACAGTAATCCAAGTAAGCCGTTTGATGCTCTTGGCCTCGCTAATGGAGATCCATGCAATTTCCTATCAACCACCGGTCAGATGGATCCAGAGTAGATGGCGAGGTGCACTCACAATCTGTAATAACTCGCGAATATTTTGCTCGATGCGCGCAAGTCCTGAACTCACCTCCTGATCCATCTTCTGGATTATTTCTCTAAGGGGGCCCTTCTGATCACCATGTTGCTCGTTTCGCAAATATGAATCGATATCCACCACATGTGTGAATCCAGTAATGTGGCCTTTGAACCATCTTTGCAGCCTAGCGTGTTGTCCTGCCTTTGCCTGGAGGCGCTGGAGGACGGTTTGACTTCTACCTTCTTGTTCGACCTGGTCTACTCTCTTTTTCGCCAATTGAGGAAGAATCAGGTCCGTCCGGGACTTTGGGGATCAAGGCACACTTACAATAAAATTGATTTCATCCCCCATGACCGATACCATCTTCCTCCATTCCCGGGCAACCTCAGTCATCAAACCTCTGAGAAGCTCTCCATGATGCTTAGGTACTTCAGAGTTCGAAAGCGTGCTGATGTATCCATATGCAAGTTCATGCCCCAATTCCCTAATGGCCCAGGCCACCTCCAATGGAAATCGCTCAGGCAAAGATACGCATAGCTTGAATAGCTGAGTTTCACCGCGCTGGCTTGGACACTTTGGCTGAAAGAATCGACAATATTCGCCATATCCACGACTTAAAACAGGATCGTCTTTGATCTCAGGGCTGCGAAACTCTGGTATTTTCGAACCTTGGAAGAGACTGGCAGAGTCAGTACAAGGGGAAGAATTTCGCGAAAGACTAGATGGCAAATCACCGTAATTGGATCTCTCCAGACTGCAAGCTCCACAGCTCTCGCGCTTCGTCATAGTCACTGATCAGAAGAAGAGTTTGATAAGGGGCCTGACGATTGCTAGTCAATTGGACGCAGAGCGGCTTTGGTTCTCTGAGTTTGAACAGACTTTCAGTTGGGATGTCAGCGAGCTTTGCCCTGTATCCGACCAGAAGCTTGACAATGTCCTCATTGTCGATTGCATACTGCAACGGCGTTTTCCCGCTATTATCCCGCTCATGAACGGAGGCGTTTTGACTTTGGTAATTTGGGTGGAGAAACTCCTCAACAAAGCTTTTTCTCCCCTCATGACACGCAATGTGGACGGGATTCTGACCTTTAGAATCACACTTGTTAAGGCTGTATCCATGTTCTAGAAGCTTGCGTGCGAGCTCCAAGGCTTGCTCTTCACCCATATCATTGGCTTCGTCCACCAGAATATGCATCGAAATTTTGTCTTTCTCCTTGAGCAGGTCGACCATGTCCATGTTGCCAATCTTCAATGCCTTTATCAAGGGGGTCATCTGATGTTCCGTTTTATCACGGACGTTGGGGTCCGCTGTGAAATGCAGAAGTTCTATAACAATTTCTTCGTCTCCGAATTCCACAGCCCACGAGAGAAACGTGCGCCCGTCCGGAAGTACCTCGTTCAAAACGGAATTTCTTTCCAGCTGACTTATTAGTTTTTGTAGGCCAGCATCTTTCAGGAAATGGTTCGGGAATTGAGATGGGCCCGGCTCCTGCTTTCTTTGCCGTGACCTGGTCTGAAGGAATCGTTCCCACCAAGCACAACTACCCATATGGGCGGGGTGTTGTAAAAGATACATCATACAAGTTGGCCGTCCTCCAGTTGCTGCACGCATCAGAGGAGTTTTCTCCTCGTCGCCCTGCGTGTTAGTTTTGAAAGGACCAGATTCGACGACCAGCTTCACGAAATCTTCATTTCCTATAACAACAGCCTCAGCCAGCGGAGTGTTCCCTTTGTCATCTGTTAAACTCGGATCTGCCCCAGCCCGCAGGAGGAATCTAATCATGTCATCATAACAAAAACGGAAATCGGACGGAAATCGGCGACGTCGGCTTCCCGTAGCAGCCCAAAAGAACGGGGTGCGGTTTTGATCTTCTCGAATATTAGGGTCGGCCCCTTTTCCCAGCAAAAGTTGCACGACGTCATACAGGCCGTTCTCGATGGCCAGAGAAAGGGCAGTTCGGCCATCCCAGCCCTTCTCGTCCACCTCCACTTGCTCGTTCTCCAGTAGCATTTTGACCGCATAAAAACTTAGTTGAAGGACTGCTTCTCTCAAAGACTTCGTTGCATATTGATGCGAACTGAAATCTTCCATGTCCCGCAATTGCTCACCCTCTGTTGATCCGTACTGCTGACCCGCGAGCGATTCGTCTTCGGAATCGGGTACTGACTGGGGTGGCGATGGCCGGTCGACTTCAGAGTTGTCCATGTCCGGACCATCAAGAGGCGTAACTCAATAATGTGCTGGCGGGAAATGTCGAAGACGATGCATCGAGAGCAGAGACGCGTTTCTGACGTGGACGAGGTCAGCGGCTTATAGCAGGATCCGTGGCATGGCACAGCCAGCGGCCAAGCAGCTAATGCAAGGCTCTGCTGCTACTTGGGCAGCTATCATGCACACTAACCTTTCAGTCAACGCTCCATCAGCCTTGCGATGTCAGAAACAGCCTTCTTGTTTGCAGGCTTCCTGTAGGCGTACATTCACCCCATCCATGTAATAAACTCCAGCCTAGCGGATTAGAGTGAGTTACAGACTGCACCAGCTGGGTGGGATTCGGATGGTGCCAGACACAAAGGTTTCAAGATTATTGAAGTGTAAAACATGTTAGGTTCTTCCTGCGAAGGAAACTTTGTAGAGTATTGAGTGGGCGAGCACAGTAAAACCTTTAAAATTATAACTACATTCATGGCTGTATCCCCAAATGCTCACGACAGTCCCCTTTACATCTTGATCTGGTTGCGCCCTCAGACAGACATCTCTCATCGAAAAAGATGAGTTTAACTCTACCGTCAGCCACCAAAGCCTGTTAATCTCAACTCGCATAAATCTAAAATAGTCATCAAAGTTCCCTGTTACAAATGTAGGATCAATTATAGTGATAAATCAAATCCCTTCCTTCGACCACCCCCGTGCTTACTCCCCTCTGGATCCTCAGCGGTTATGATTGAATCTAAGCACTGCTGGTCAATAACCAGACACACTGTATACCGCGGCATGACCTCCCCTATTCTAGCCCCTTGAGATGCAATAAGGTCCTTAAAATCTTGGTGAATCTATGCAACTAATGCACCATCTTAGTATTCTTTATCCTCAAGGATAATATTTTTATATATCTTATAGACAAGCCTCTCAGGAAAGCTATACTCCTTAGCCTTTGCATACCAGTCCCCCTTAACATAGTCAATTTACCAGTGGATATAGCATTGAATTTCCTCAAGACAGGCAGACCAGACCTGATCAGACTCAGGAGTGTAAATTGAAGAAGCCCCAGGTCCACCCTTCGCGGTCAGCGCAACTGATTAGCTTCAAAGCCGAGCGCTGCTCATCTTGATACCAGGGCTGCTGATACCAGCGCTCTTCTGTGTCGCTATCAGTGAATTTAGGGTGCGACCAAGGCGCTGGCCAAGAGGAATGATGAAGAAATGATTCAGGGGAGGATTCCCCTCTTTGGAGTTTGCTGGTTGGACCATGTTATGGTACAGAGTCTGAATGTGATAAAATAGAAGCCTGTCATAGAGGAAAGCGCAGGAGCAGAGTTTACGAAGCTAGTAGAGATGAGGGAAACAAGGGGCGTTAGTAGGGGAAACACCCAGTTTGCGCTAATTTGGGAATTAGGAATCATGATTGCGCTTTAAATCTACTACCTGTAGCAGAGGTACATTTGATCTCTTGAATTTCATTCTATGTTACTCTAAGTGGCTTATTCTGGTTAAAGATTCGGTGTTAGTGCTGCATGACGGTTATATACCCCTACTACGTATTTGATATGCCTACTATATGATTTTGTACAAATAGTCCGCCAAGAGTGTTGATACCCACGGCTAAAGCAGCCCCCATCTTTCTAGAGAACCCTCTAGCGTATCCGCAGGAAGCTCTTGGGCTATATCCATAATGCCACACATAGTTGGCCTGACGCATTGTCAACATCCATCTACGATAAGACTGGGTAGACGAGTGAACAGCGATAGAGAGATTTCTCATCTACTTATTCCTATAATTACAAGGACAAGACCAAATCCTTCAACTTCATGAAATCAGGAATACCAAGGCCGGTGACGGGATCCCAGCCCTCAGTAGCATTCCAGTGAGCGTAGGGGATGATACCACCACCATGGACTGGCTTGCCGGTCTGTGGGTTGATACCATCACAACCAACAGAGGCTCCGGCCGTGATGTCCTTGAATCCGTCCGCCAGTATGGTATAGAGCAATGGGTTCAGGAAGCCAAGGGTAGACTTGCCGGCGCGCAGACGGGCGTCGTTCAACAGACCGACAATACCGGCAAAGACGGGGGCGGCAGCGGATGTGCCGCCGGACTTGTATTGTTTGCCAGTCAAGACGACGCGGTAGCTACATGCGGTTAGTACGCGGATGTCTGGATGTCAGGGAAGCAGGGCCACGTACTAAGGAGTCAGGCTGTGGGTGGAAACATCAGGGAATCCACGGCCCCTGAAGTTGGTGTACTGAGAATAGTAGTCCTTGGTATCCTCGGTAATGTGGTTTTCGAGGTAGTCCTCCACCGCTAAATACTGGTACCAGGGACGGCTGAAGTAGTTGCTGAATCCGCCCGAGCTGCCGTCCCAGGCAACTTCAGGAGCATAGGACTGTGTACCACCCACTGCGGTGATGAAAGGGCAGGTGCCAGGGAATTGAGGGGTGAATTGGGGAGTGTTGGTGCCATCGTTGGACATGCAAGCCGCGCCGATTCCTGATCATGTTAGCACGGAAAAGACCACCAGAGGATCTGAACTTACCGGTGTCACCAGATGACTCGAGCACCGTGATACCACGAAGACCCATCAAGCCGATCAGGTTGCACACTCTTCTGGCATAGTACTCGGGAACAGTCTAATAGATCAGTCTCCAGTCATGTAACGCAATTTCAAGGGCGCTCACCTGTTCATCGTCACCATACGAGTTGGAAATCACCTGAGGAAGCTGGGAGTTGGGTTTAGACAGCAAGTACTCGTAGTACTCGAGGTAGGGCTCATTCTGGTTGTCTGCAGCGGTGGGCTCGTCCACATTGGGAACAAATGGACTAAATCATTTAGCATGGTTTCCTTCACTGGGAGAGATAGGCTTACGGTGAACCGCCAGTGATAAACTCCACTACGGGCAGGGGGTGGCTGACGGCTACGATCAACTCCACGTCCAGATTGGCCTCGCCGAGGGAAGCAGTAGCCCAATTCTGATCATTGACACCTCCGTTAATCAGTTCAACAGAGAAGTTCTGGGATGGGATCTTGAACAGCTGCTCATAAGCAGCCAAATCCGCATAGTTGGCTGACTCATTCAAGAAGCTACCAAAGCCGATTCGACTTCCCGAAGATGGATCAGGCTTGTAGTCGCCGAGGTTGTACATCTCCACCAGACAGTCGGGAGTGATGAGGTTCGCGCAAGAGTCGTTGGCGGCTGCCCTCCTAGGAAGGGCTGGAAGCTTCACTGTGTGAGGTGGCAGTGTGCTCTCTCGTTGCTCCTTGCCAAAGAAGACAGTGGGAGCAATCAGATCGATCGAGTCCGTCAGGCTGTCGGGAATGGAGTACTGTGTGGTACGCAGTTTCTGCGAAGCACCATTGCGGTAGTAGGAGAACTTGGTGTCGAAGAGCTTGTTTGCCGTTCCCACTGTGGTGGCAAAGTTCAACAAGCTGCCCTGGCGAGACACTTGAGTAATCCCAGCATCCTTCAGCCATTGGATGACAGCATCATCGCTTGCAGTAGGGAATAGGGACTCAATGTCGGACTGGTCCAGCCACTGGCCGTACTCCGCGTTCCCCGGGGTCGCCAGTGTCGTCAACTTGGACTCGACCTGGTCGAGGTTCTGCCGAGCAAGGGCGACTGAGAGTGTGATCGTGTCGCTCTCCGATGCATCCTTGACGAGCGTCCAGCCGCTGGGAACAGCTGAAAGTTTCTCGTGCACCACGCCAAAGGCTGGGGCTGCGAGGGAACAGAGCAACCCTGCGTAGAGAGTTGAGGAGAGCATCGCGGGGATGACTGCGGAGCGAATAGAGAGATAATAGACAAAGGACAACAATCCGGATCGGCAGCCGATCGATATTTATATTTACATGTCAGTTATCTGGGAAGGCGAAATTATCATTCCATGTGACGGCAACCGGCATGATGCAAGGGGGTCGAGGCCAGAGCGAGGATATGCGCATCGCAATTCGCACCATGCAGAGTCCAGCACAGCATTGCGCGACTTTCTCTGCAGACGCCATCAAGTAACTAGTTTCATACTATTTAATTAAGTCCACCGGAAGACMGTAGGAGTGGCGCGATACTAGTCTTTGAATTACTGGGTAGATTAATAGCAGGTTTTTGGTTGCCTATTCGAGGGGCTGGAGTGCTTATCTTGGTCAAGCCAGCTTAAGCATTTTTGCTCCACCCCCGCCAATCATTCCAAGCCTTTGCCGGGGTTCCTGCCAGGAACCAGCGACTAAGCCGAGGATTGGTTGTCTTTGGGTTGTGGGACAGAGAAAGGTTACATCTACTAGCAGATTAGCCATCTTGCACGGTCGGACAACTGATCAGCCGAGGGTACTTTGTTTGGAAGCTCAAGAAATGCGTTCAAAAGGCTCAAGATATCTGGTAAATCCTGAGTAAATGAGCAATCTCACTGGCAAGGACCATAATGAGGACATACCTCTATCCAAAGCCTGAGTCATGCATCATAGTTTAGTCACTTGGTCTTAACTGTTGATTGACAAGAGGCGATGCTGTCAAAGGTCCACATTGGGAGGCTGGTTGAATCCTTCCACTAAGCCATTTTAGGAAGGTGCCTGCATGTTTGGTTAATCGACATCATGAACCAGGATAACCATGTCGTTGCGGTTTCTATCGGTAAAAGATTACTTGGAATACGAGATTTGTTGTCTCAATTGGGCCCGATAAGATCAACGTTGCGCACCAAACATCCGAGCCAGTGGTGTTCATATGAAACCCGTCAGATGTGAACAATTAACTAAAAATGAAGTTTAGTCTGCTTCTGCTCTATGTAGCGCTAATTAGTTATGTATGCCAAGCAATAGCATCATTGGTCTAGTGGTAGAATTCGTCGTTGCCATCGACGAGGCCCGTGTTCGATTCACGGATGATGCATTCCTTTTTGCTCCTTACCTTTTTTCCGAGCCAACAACTGTCCTTTTACCATTGAGTTCGTCTCATTTTTTAATCATTGCCTTCGTCGAATTAAAAATTGCCGTACGGAGTACTTCACAAAGAATGAGCGATGTTAGACGATTTGGCGGTCTACCTGACTAGCTCAATCTATATATTTCCCCGCCGGCCCCCTACATCTGACCATATTGACCAGCACTCTTCTGACACAAGTGGAATATCATATGGAGTGCGGTGCTGCAGGAACTATGTTCATTTCCTTACCCTATTGTGTCACTCGTCGTTGGTCGAACATACTTCGTGCCGCTATTTGCTAGGAGGAGTTCCCATGGACAGTCCCGAATCTGGATCGATGAGTACACTAAACAGCGCACGATTAGGGAAGAGAGGACCTACCGACGACAATCTGCTGTCCAGTCATGGATGTATTCTTTGCCAAAGTGACAAACATATCCGCGCAATCATCGAGGTCGGTCTAGTAAAAAGTCAGCAAGCAGACGAAGATACCGAGGACAAGCGCATCACCTCGTGCTTTAAGATGGCTTTTTGATTGAGCCACTCAATCGTCGTCTCGCCGTACTTTTTACCCTATTGTTTTGTTAATACCGAAGAACATGTGAACGGCAACAAGGAAGGGCGCACCCAATCCGTCAACAATAGTCCCGGTAGAACAGCATTGACACGGATTTTTGGTCCCACGGACAACGCAAGATGCTTCATGAGGTGCAAAGCAGCGGCCTTGGTCACCGAGTAGCCCATGCTGCTGCCGTCCGGAGTGATCCCCTAATCATTGTATATGAGACATGGCTTATACGTCCTTCGAGGGGGAGAACGTACAGCGATAGATGAAGTCATTATATAAACCCCACCGTCCGCATTCTTCTCAAATATCGGCTTAGCCGCTTGCATGAGTTGTAAATGCGACATAACGTTCACTTTCCAACACTGCATACGTTAGCATATCGAGTACGGACAGCCAGGCTGCATCTTGCCTTGTCCCATTCCTCGAAAGACAAGGCATAAATGTCCCGCCTATCAGCGAACCGAGTCCACCCAGCATTTGCAATAACAATATCCAAGCCCGATAATTGCTCATTCGCCTCTTGAACAATGCGTTGATTGTCCTCTGGGAGTTCAGAGTCCTGTATAACGAATCACGTCAATTCTAAACTATAGTGTTTTCGGAAATTGACCTGACCCCTTGGAGAATAATGGACTTGATGGAGTACTCTTTCTCTAATCGACTGGCAAGATCTTCCGCAACCTCATGGTTTGAGTGGTAGTTAATAGCTACATTGCACCCCTCAGCTGCGAATTTCTGGCATATCACAGCACCCAAACCCCTGAACCAGACGTCAGCTTTGGAAGGCAAGGAGGCCTATGAGATGTTACCTTGAGCCTGCCGCGACGAGCACATTCTTCCCTTTGAGACTGTATGGCATCGTGTATCAGGTAGCAATCGGAGGTGGACGTTGTCTGAAGTGAGATGACTCCGTTGATGACGGGGAGCAATGTCGAGAAGGATGCGGGGCAGATCTGGCCCCACCATCTGTATGCCGAATCTGTATGCCGAGGCCTGTTCAGGGATTCCTCGAAGGTAACGAGTACCCAAAATAAGCGGATGAGGTGTATGGTAGGCTGATTGAAGTGACGTTTGGTGGGGAGGGAATTAAAACTGCTAAGGTTCCCTAGGCCCAGGACTGAACCCAAACCCGCTGAGCGTTCAGTGAGGGTTGGTTCTGATTTTTGCGCTCCAAGTTATGCAACTCTCCACCAGCCGTGAGGAGATTGCCCGGAAGATCTTCAAGGTGTAGGAAATTGGTCAGTCAGGTCATAAGAATGGAATAAGCTCTTTAACTGAGCGTTCACCCGAAATGTCTGCCTAGTACGCTACATGCCAATCTAGCGGTTTCAGCCCAAAACTCCTGCAATAATTCAATTGAGCTTTCCCTATTCCTCATTGAATAACTAATAGCAGTAATAAGTCTTTGCACCTTGCTGTCAAAAGAACTCTCAAAACATCTTTCTGATCACTATCCCATCTCTCACGCCCTCAGACATGTCCAATTATATTCTTAGGCACATAGGGCTCTTCCAAAAACTTTACCTCGTCTGCAGTCAGCTTCCTTCCGCGCAGGTCACAGGCTTCCTCAAGTCTTGACAGTGAGTCTAACCCGACAATTGGTACTGTTCCCTTGCTGCGGAGCCAGGAAAGCGCGACTTGGCTCATCTTCCAGCCTTTTTGTTCTGCTACGCGCTCCACCCGAGAGATGATTTCCTCGTCCGCCTTGGTAAGCCCACTGCCGACAGGTGAAGGTGTTTGCGCCCTTGTGGACGTTCTGTCTCCGAGGGGTCTTGCCAACTTGCCACCAAAGTTAGGTGACCACGGGATGAGCCCCACGCCAGTTTCATTGCAGTACCTAATCATTTCTCTCTCCTCCTCTCGGTAGCACAGATTGTAGTGATTCTGCATGCTGATAAACTTGGTCCAGCCGTTCTTCTCTGCTGCGGATTGCATACGCGCGAATTGCGTTGCCCACATCGAGGAGGCACCAATATAGCGTACTTTCCCTGATACAACTAGATCGTGCAGAGCTCGCATCGTCTCCTCGACTGGCGTACATGGGTCAAAGCGGTGAATCTGGTAAAGATCGATGTAGTCGGTCCCCAGGCGATGGAGGGACGCTTCAACTGCCTTGAAGATGGCACTTCGGGAGAGACCTACGCAGGTCCCAGTTAGCGCATGCACCAAGTCACTCATTGTTGGCAAGCCGATTCAAATTGGGCTAACAGTACCTCCTCTATTAACATAATCCTTCATCTGTGACATCTCTTGCTGGAGAGGAGGCGTAAAGATATCCGGCTGATCAGCCACGTGAATGCAGCATTTGGTCATGATGACAAGTTTTTCGCGCGGAAGGTTATGTTTCTTCAATGCTTTTCCAATGACCTCCTCACTGATACCGTTTGAGTACATGTCTGCCGTGTCCCAGGTGTTCATACCCCTATCATAAGCAGCTTTGAGGATCTCGATTGAGTCATCTTCATCTAGTACCTAGGGTTAACCAGTGAGATGAGCCGAAGGACATCGCTCCGACAATTGGGACAGAGACATGGAGGCCGGATACGCCGAGTCGCACGTACTCGACCTTGGTTTTGTCACGCCTCTCCTGGAGCGACGGAGGAAGCGAAGGAGCCATTGGCTATGGGGTGTATGTAACCGTTTCACAGAAACGTAAGATTTGGTTCACTGGGAGGGCTTCGGGGGCGTAATATTGCAAAAAATAGCTAGTGTAGATGTAGCGGAATCAGCTGTTGGCAAAGAGTAACTTAATGCTACATACAGCTCTCTTATATCAGTTCCTGGGCGGCAATGGTTCGAAATCACAGGTACCTAAAGTCCGACAAGGCCGTCAAACATTATATTCAGGTTTTACAGATTACGAATTTAAAGATGAGTTAGACATAGTCATTGCTTCCATGCCTCCATTGTTTGATAACTTTCATGATACTTTTCTTTACAAGGTGATGTATATGTGGAGACCTCGCACCCTTTTCTAGAAAGGGTTTAGTGCAGAACTTATATAGAATAGAATAATGCAATCCACTATGCGAGTTACATATCGTGACATTGGATCTGATCAAGTAGTACGAAGTTTAGTACCTGGGGTGCCCACATCTGTCAAAGAAACTAATCAACATCTCTCTGTGCCGCTGGGCTGAAGAGGCGATTTTGGCCTGAGTTTAAGTCTGGCTTCAGCGTTGAGTGATGCAAGATGGTGTATATTCATGACAATTTTAAGGAGATACGGGCGTTCAAATACTGCTTTTCAATTCTAAAATCCTGTAAAGATCAGAACCTGAATTCCCCCTGATCAGTGACGGATTCAAGCAGTGTATGACCCAGAATCCGAGCAACGGCCCTCAAGGCAGCCTTCAGCCAAGTTTCCTCCAGATGTGGAATGGATTCAATGCTAACGGCTACTGTTAATGGCCAAGCCAATGATCCTGCCACACTGGGATGAAGAGCATCAAATGATGCCATAGAACCCTCGCCCTTGGTAATAGTTTTAGGACCTCTAGCGTGTGTGCAGAAATTAACCTGGGACTGCACACCGCTGCAAAATTCTCCTGTATGCACGTTAATGTTCTCTTGGCACTTCCCCAAGGTTGTACTGAGAAATTCCTCCTCCATAGACGACGGAAATGATAGAAGGGATCGTTGGTGAATACGATTTGTAATAAGACGAAGGGTACGATATCGATTCCATATTGCAGCATGGCCGACTGAACCATAAATATGCTGGGGAAAGCCGGCAGGAGTAATGGCGCGGTCATTGGATTGTGACTGTGTCCAGGCCACTTCAAAATTCCAGTTCTGTGGGAGTATCCGGGGCCATGCTAGGAGGTCACGATCAAGGGCATCTGCTTCGATTGCAACAGTCTTCGCCATCTCAATGGTGTCTGATGCTGTCGCGTCGATATCTCTAAGCAGAGCCAAGGATTTATGTCTCAAAATCAAAACACGTATCATAAGTGATCCAGCTCCAATTCTGGCCCTTCCTCCCCCCAACTGGAGCCATCTTCTAACCAGTCAGGTATTTTCTCTCCCCGAAGTATTATTATACGAAGCTTTTTGGGAGGATATCAGCTCAACTCACACATCTCAATCCTTGGGGGTTAATAACAAGGCCCACTTACCAACTTCTGCCTAATCACTTTGTCCAACGCCAGGTTTGCAGCCCATCCTTTTTCTCGGCGTACGCTGACAAGAGCTGCTGCACCATTTTCGTGGCAGATATTCCCCCAGAAACGGGAGCCAACTTCGTCGGGAGGGCGAGATAAAGAAGGTTCTCTCAAGGAGTACATGACGTTCTCGTAGCTGCCCATTAGCATCATCGCTAATACCACCTGATATATTGTATTAGTGGATACTGTCTTCATCCCCTCCAGAGTTTGCTCCACGGTCTTTGCGTATGCCTTTCTGGCAATACAGAGGGCCGATCTTACGCCCCTGTTCCGTCCGAATACAGCGTTTGAATAGGCAGTCATGGCAAGGCGAAGAGTCGAGTTTGGCTCAGCGAGTTCCCAGTAAGGTAGCACGTAGGAAACAAACTCTTGTCCAGGCTCCGTCAGCATATTCTTTTCTAGGAAGAACATGTCTGCACAGTAATACAGCGAGTGCATCTCAAGCGGGAGCGACAGTCCTGGTTGAATGCTGCCAGGACTGTACACGAGAGCAACATCAGAACCCGAACTCGTGGGTGGCGGTCCTGCGACACCTCTTGTCTGGCGTGGACGTCGCGGACGGGCCCTTAGCAAATGTATTTTCACTTCTAAAATGTAAACCAGTCCGCTCATCGGAGTCCCACGTGCAAGTCCGATCAGCAATCCGGCACCTTCCACAGAGTGGTCTTGTGAAGTCACACTATTGTTATGTCATCATTTGTGAGACCCTTGTTTCACAGACTAAGACCTGGGTCCCTCGCCTCTAATGAAGTTAAAGAAGGTGACATGTCAACAAACTACTTTAAAGGGTAAATATATACACTCATAGCAAGCATTACATTGAGTACGCTAGGAGATATTAGAATATACAAGGCATTAAGCTTTACATCATGATGACGACCGCATTATGCACTAAGGTCCGCAAACATTGAAGAACAAAAATGTCTGGCACCCAGCAAGGAGTAACACTGGACTTACAAACTGCCAAGGATATAAAGCAGCAGTTGGCTAGACCTCAGCACGCAGTCTGGACACTCCCAATCCAGCCATCAAGTACTACTCCATACCGGATGCAGTAACTGCCAGTAAACATACTTGAACTAGCTGCCCTAACAGAATTAGATCATTCAGAATTTCACATTAATTTAATTATTATGGTAGGTAGATATCATACATTTTGACTGCAGTCAAATCTTATTTCTAGTTGCCTGCTTAAAGTCCTCACCTATGTGGTGTCAATTATATTAGTATTTAATTGATTGCTCGTAGGGAAATAATTTATCACTGTATTTCCAGGATATACACAGACATTTAAGCTAGGAACTGGCGCCATTTTGATGCCAAGGCATTGCCTGATCATAAGACTATAATGAGACATGGGATAGCAGTGGCAACAACCCATAGGATTCTAGAACTAATGCATCAGGTGAGGTGATGTTTCGCCACTAGAAGTAGCCGTTTGCAGACTGTCCCGATGATAGGATGCCGAGTGCAACTTGGTGCTGTTGATCTGGCACCCCGACCCATCGCTGAGCAGATTGGTGATTAGTGGGGCCGCTCAGTGGAGATTCGGGACTGCCAAGTCAAAATAGACCATATGCCGCTCAAAAATGAAAAGGCTTAAATATTGAACAACGCGACTGTGCGGTCTACCATAACCACCAGTCCCACAAGGACTGCTCCGGTGCAGAGCATATTTTCAGGATCATCAGGCCCACTCGAACGCTACTAGTTCGGAACCAACCGGCTCGGCGAAGCAGAGCGTTGGAGTCGGCATGTCCAAAGATGAGGCATACAATGCGTTGTACCTAAGATACCTGTCTGTGGTTTTAATTAAGCATTAGTGAACGGTAGTCAACGGTGGAATGAGATAGTCAATGCATCGGCCGAACTTTTGCAGCTTATGGTGAGAAGCTAGTTAGGTCAATTTTCTGAGGTTGACGGATCGTGGGAAGGCTGAGTCTGAGGAGACAGGTTGATCTATGAGATGAAACACCTCCGTTCAGAATAGGCTTCAGACCGTACTTTATTGGCGCTGTGGAAGTGTCAGCACGTCTACATCGTGGGTAAGGATAAGGTATTTGGCGGCGCTAGTTATTGTTCACCGGCTGACTTGTCATCAGCTCAGGAACCTTACTTCCATTGCACATGCTCTCGCCACAGTGGATGGAGAGCCAGTAGGCTACATACATCTGGAAATGGCGGAGGAATCGATTGAAAACTTAAGAAGTTTCGGTCAAGAGAGTCGAGTTGAGGGAATGTATGTCTAGTTTCATGAGTCAGTCTTTTTGGTCTTTATTCAGTATAGTCTAGTACACGGCAGTCTCAGGGGTCTTCAATTTACACAATGGAATAGCAATCTGCAAGGTTCCAGCTCATGACATGGCTGATGTGAAGGGTTCTAATAGTGTAAAATTACAGCTGTGTAGTCCTCATGCGTTTCACATACACTTGGTTGGTTGGTTGGTTGGTTTCATTTACCCTGACCCCTCGCATCGAAAGCGATATGCAGGATACAACAACTATACCTGTGTACGTACATGTAGAACGTTCCACTTCCTGAAAATGAACTTAGAGTCTCGTTGAGGCCTACCGTGGCCTAATTGCCGTTCCCAATGTTAGGCTGCCTCATGGCGCGCGACTCCAAAGCCGTTGTGACGCCTCGGCGAAGTCTAGCACAGCCTTAACCATTCTGGCCCGCGAGACAGTATCTGGATTACCTTTCTTACCTTCAGTTGAGCCTCCCAGCAGACTCGAGACGCTGCTAAACGCGCCCCTCACTCCACCCTGTAACTTCCTTCGAATATCCCTCATATCTGGACAGTCCACCAGCACATGGGTGACTGTTTCTTGTGCGCCGTACATGCACTGGTCGTCATCGCGGAAGCCAAAGCTCTTGGCGTAGGTAGATAACCAATTATGATCTGTGCGTAGCTGTGTTAACAGGTACGCCCGGTTCCTAGGCAGGCTCCCATATAGCCTCCTCGTGTAGGTTGCTGGTAGGGTGCCGTCAATCTTCCGTAGGTGGCCGCCTTTGCTGGACCATCTCCATTCCCGCTCCCACTGATTGAGAATATTGCCCGTAGGGGTGCATTCTCCCTCGAGAGTAGCGGGCGAAATGGGTGAGTTCTGCCTGGGCACGCAGCGTCCTTGGCTAGTCGATCCGTAGTGTCGTTTCCAGGATTGTTGCAGTGCCCTGGCAACTATTGGAGACAGAGCGCGATTCCCCCTGGCTTGGACCTCTGTGGCAGCTTGTAGGATCGCGTGCACGATCCGCTCGCCCGATTTGTTCCTTGGGTTCTGAGTTGCCTGCAGGGCTGGTGATTGCATAAAAAGGGCTGCAGCGTGAAGCTTAGGCTGTATATCTTCTCAGTCCAGATGATTATGGAGGGCATACGTGCGCTGGATTCTGATTCTTATCTCAAACCTTATTGATTCTTATCTCAAGTCTTATACTGAGGACAAAATCCGGTGGGCTCTTCACCTCGTTGCTTATTGCTAGTTACTGACAGCTGGGAGCTAGTTATGATTGTGATTCCTTCCGTTTATCCGAATGTCTACACCTCTTCACCGAAATATCCTGCGCAGAGGCTGTCGGCGACATAATGAAATGACATCGAGTAGAGCGGTCGTTGAAGTCGTTCTGAGATTGTTCCTGCTGTCGAAGTCCTTCCCACACCTGGAGGACCGCTTCCCATAACAGTTATCAACTGAGTCATTATGAGAGGTTTGGATACGTAATGCAGGAGGATGATGTCGCCTTGCCCGTTTCCTTTCATGACGTCAGACTTTTCTTCGGTCGTTGTCCGGACCCCGCTTCGGTGAGAAATTCAATGACCCCTTCCCCCGTCCTCAGGGATAGCTAATATGTCAAAAGGTGTATAGTCAACCGGCCCGACAAGGCCCGTGTGTCTCCTTTGATCCCTGCTTTCTCCTACATTCAAGCCTACTGGTTGAAGACTGAGCAACTCGGCACACTGGAGAGTGCAATCAATGACCTGCTAAATACAGGCTATGCAAACATCGTATGGGAATAAAGCCAAAGGCTTAGTCATGCTTAGAGCCATAGTCAATCGTCACAGAGAGCCTAACAGGACCAGCCGGAATATTGCCTCCAATGCCGCCGATATTACCATTCTCATTCGTATAGGCATTTCTGACCAAAGCAGCGTTCGACGTGATGGAGGAGCAAGTTCTTCCGAGGACATCACAGATTTCCATACCCTGTACGTGGAATCCGGCATTTTGAGCGACAATAGCAGATACGTCAAACCCTGACCAACCCGAGTTGATAGAGGATCCGAAATCAAACTCACCCCAAGTGGAGGCGTAGGCACCCGTGGAGTCAGTTGGAATTGAGCTTCCCGGAGCAGCTGCCCAGCCACCTTGAGAGTCATCGTTAAATGCAAAATATCGAACTTGTCCGGTACGCAGTGTGAACCTTTTGCAGGCTTTGCCGTACCACCCATTCATGACGCCATCAGTGCTGTACTTGTTCCAAATCACAACAACCCAATCATTTGTGTTGGAACCTTGAAACTGCACGACATATTTGTAATGGTGGGCATCGGATGAAGTCACCTCGATGATGTTGCTGCCGTATGGGATACCAATGTTTCCCTTGTAGCTCACATCGTGGCCAGTCGAATGGGACGTGCCACCAAACCCTGTCCTAGAGAATTCAGGACTTGAGGACACATCAAACCAGTTCGCATTAGAATTAGAAGGAAAGGGCTTTGCAGCTGACGACCTAGTCCCAGCCTTGAGGTATGGCGTAGTTGAGCCGATAATTGGTGTCGTGAGGGGTATAGCACCACTTAAACTTAGGGGAATGATAAGAAAGGCCAACCAGATGAGCATAATTCTGAAGATGAGATAGTTTAAAGCTAAGCCCCAGTGGAAAGAAGTTGAATTCAGAAATGAATGAAACTAAGAGATCGTTACTTTAAATACCATTGGCCTCTCCATTCCCAGAGATCAGGTAAAAGAATGGGGAACTCTTTCTTTTTCGCCTTCCCCTTTATAGTGCCCAGCATACGCCACTGTGGGATATCCGCTAACTAGTACAGGCAAAGGTACGCAGGTTTAGATCTATCTTTCGCCTTGCACCCTACGCCCGGCGCGATACGTCTAAGCTGCAGTCTTCCCACTAGGTGTGCGTGGCCGTAAACCCCAATGGTACATCTTGATTAGTGTACCAATAAAGTAAAGAGATATTCAATAGCGCAGCGCAGCTAGGATCTCACTGGTGCCCCGTCCACGTAGATACAGTGGCCTAACGGTAGAGAAGAGAGAAATGCTGATTTCAGACTGGGATTATTGCAAAATTCTAATTTTACTGAAGAATCGCGCATCTCAGTAAGAAGGAACTGTAAATGTGTTGTCCTATCAGGTCGTTAACGCTGAATCTACCTTGTAGCGATAGGACGATAAGTGATGGCTGATGATGATTCGTGACCCTAAGTGAGTTTGACCGTTAGGGAACAGTAGGAGATGTGGCGCAGGAGTGGCGCAGGCAGGCCTAGCCAGGGGTCGGTTGTCTGACTGGTCCATAGGACTGATAAGATTGTGGCGTGATCATTTTCCCACGTGGAGTCTAGACTTGGCTACATCCGCATCCGCCGCTGCCAAAAATTAATTATCATCCATTATCCTCCACTGCGAACTTTACTTTAAGAGACCAATAGTCCAATTTTATGGCCCTAGGCACCACTTCATTTAGTTAGTTGCGCGATTTATTTTACGCAGTCAACAGTATCCTATAGTGGCGCGTTGCGAGAGATATTCCCAAATGGCACACTCTGCCACAGCTGTTTTGCTTTCGGGGTGGGACAGATTAGGTTTTCCCATTCCGTGGCACCCAAGAATTTAGCCAGGGGCAAGAAGTTAATCTAGGGCACTTGTCGCACTCCGTTCCCTGGAGTCTGGATGGTATCGGTGCTCAGCCACAACTCTAATTACCCAGCAGAGGGGGTAGGATGGATTAGGGCTTCCCATTCCATGGCACTCAAGCGTTTAGCCAGGGGCCAGCAGTTAATCTAGGGCACTCGCCACACTCTCTTCCCTAGAGTTTGGATGGTATCAGTGCTTAGCCATAACTGTACTTAGCAGAGGGGGTGGGATGGATTAGGTTTCCTATTCCACGGCAGTCAAGGGTTCAGCCAGGGGCCAGCAGTAGATCTGGGGCGCTCCATTCCCTGGAGTCTGGATGGCATCAGTGCTCAGCAATAACTCTGCTTACTTAGCGGAGGGTATTTAATGAGGCTTCAAAGGAGCCTTTTCTCAGTTTTGTTCAATTCTGAATTCAACTTCTTTTCACTTAGAGCTTAGCTTTGAACTATTTATCTTCAGAATCATGCGGATCCAGTGGGCCTTTGTTATTATTCCCCTAAGTCTCAGTCGTGCTATACCCGTCACGACACCAACTGTCTGCTCAACTACGCCATGTCCTAAGGCTGGGGCAGCCTATACTGATCCTTCTCTGGTTGGACCCCTGAGCATTACAGGTTCCGTGCGCTGGGCCTACGATTGGGACATGTTCACTCGCGGTCCTCTACCGCCCAGTGTCGAGTTCGTTCCAATGCTCCACGGACCAAAAATGTTCAGTGGCTGGTCAAAAGCAATCAATTTAGCTCTTGCCAACGGCGCCAAGTACATCCTCGGCTTCAATGAGCCGGACGACTCTTCCCAGGCTAATCTATCCCCTTCGACCGCCGCATCCTACTATAAAGTGTACATCTCGCCGCTTTTTAACAAGGCCACCCTTGTTTCTCCCGCCGTGACAAACGGCGAGGGTACCAACCAGGGTCTGAACTGGATGAACTCTTTCTTGAGCTGTTGCACAGACTGCAACATCGGGGTTGTGGCGGTTCATTGGTACGGGGAGACAGCAAAAGAATTCAAGGACTTTGTCTTGCGGGCTATCCAGCTTGCCAAGCAACACAATATACAACATATCTGGGTAACTGAATTCGCGCTAAACAGTGATATGAACGGCGGCGATTCATCCGGCTCAGCCGCCTTTCTGAGTGAGGTCATTCCTTGGCTCAATGCTCAGAATGCCGTGAGTCGTTACGCCTACTTTATGTGCGCTGATGGCTTCCTCTTAAACGGCCGAAGCCTCAACGCTGCGGGTCAGGCTTACACAACTCCCTATGTGGAGGGAAAACGGGACGTCATTTGGAACCGCACGGTCTAAGGTCTCAACTTCCAATGCTTCCTTAGGGTCTTATTTCACACCCTTCAATGTTCCGTTTATCCTGATCCTGATCTTTGCTTAGGCAAAGTGAGTAGTATCTAGGGTGGAGAGGTCTGGGCGGGGGTAGACGATGAGATAGACGGTATACAAGCCTCTGTATTTTCTGTTGGGCAAGTCTTTTACGTTGAAATGTACTTACGCCTTTACTTTCGTATTCCAAATATTCCATACTTGCCTTGACATCTGCACAATAAAACATGTCATTTTCTGTGGTAGAAAATGATTTTTATCAGATAGAGTTGGGCCGTTTAGACGTTTGTTTCGCGCGCTTCATCGGCTAGAATACCTTTTTTCTCCAATAAAGATCCTGCAGGCCTGAATATAGCCAAATTTTAGATTGGGATTGCTTGATGAACTCTTCATATCCTCCATACAAAAGGAGCGACAGTAGCAGGAACTCAACTTCATCCTACTTTTCTTCCTTCGAAATCAAGAACACTCCTGTTACCACTGCATCACAGAATCAACAGACCCAATAACCATGCCCACACTATCATACATCAACGACAAATGTGCCAGTCAAAACACAGCGACCTGTGCCACTATTCCCAAGTAGTCATCTTCGCTGACATTGTCAAGTGCTCTGGCCAGGGTGGCTGGACGGCAAGTGGCGAGCTGGATGCCAACGGTGTCCGAGGTCAAGTCGATCTCGCGTTTCAGAATGTCGACCGGGTCCTCCAGGAATGCGGGTTGCGAGGCTGGGAGGATGTCTACTCTGTTCGCTCTTATCATGTCGATATGGGGTCATCGTACGACTCTGTGGCCGAGAGGCTTAAAGCGCGTGTGCCTGCCACCGGCCTATTGGCCTATTTGGACTGCTATTGCCGTTCCTCGGCTGGCCTTTCCGCAAATGTTGATTGAGATTGAAGTGGAGGCATTCAGGAAAGGGAACTAGTGCGGAATCTACGGAAGGGCGTTAGGATGGATGTGTATCTAGAGGCTCTCTGGGCCATGCAAGGCGAGGACTATTGACTGTCTCGATGTACTGCAAGCGACCAGTCGATACAACCGAGGCAGGATTACCGTAGGCCCGGGTTGATGTATTTGGGAGGGGTTTCGTACATTCTCCGACGTACAGTGAATCGAACTGAAAGTCCCCTTCTAAAACGTGTGGCTGGTTTCTGAAGCAGTTCTGGGACTCCAGACTAAACGGATAACTCGCGTACGCCTACGATTGATAAGATTGGTAGTCAACTGAGAGCACAGCACCCGAGCGCTCAATTCCTCTGCATTTTGCTTCGTTACCATCTGTATAAACAATCATAAACCCATTCTATCCAGACCGGCTGAAAGCAGCTTGTACGCCTCCTCCATCCTCTTTTCCTGCGCAACCCTCTTCTTCTCAGAACCGAGAAAATTTCTTGGTGTCCTCCGAATAGCAACCAAAGCCTCTTTCGTGTTTTCCATCGCATCCCATATAATTTCCTTTGCTACCTTGAGGTCCTGATCGAGCAATCATCTCACAATCTCTGTGTGACCTGACTCCGCCGCTAACGCCAGCGCTGTAATGTTCCGTCGATTTCTGTGCTAAATATCCGTACCTGGTACCTTCAATAGCATATTCACAATGTGAATTTCTCCTTCTTCGGCGGCGAGAAGCAACGGGGTGTTTCCACAGTTATCCACGGGGAATAAATCCACATCATGTCGCTGCAGGAGGAGCTGCACCAGTTCAGCTTTCCCGTTGAAAGCCGCTGAAGCGAGGGGACTCCTGGCACACAGATCTCGAGAGTTGACATTTATATCAGGTTGAGCTAGTAAAGTCTTCATGATCTCGGCATCCACACAATGTTGGTTAACTGCGCAGTGGAGCAGTGGTTGACAGTGGCAATCTTCGCTCGTTTTCTGATTGACGTGTATATCGGGATGCTCTAGAAGAGCTATGACTTTGCCGAGATCCCGTGACTCGACAGCAAAGTATAAAGCAGTCTTACCGTCGCGATCCTGATAATTGATGGGGGTCGTGTTGAGAGAAAGCAGGTATCGAACCACTTCTTCACCTCCATCCTCGGCGGCACGGAGCAAAGCCGTCTCATTGTAGCTGGACTCGTAGTTTTCCAGTGTGTTGGGAAATGCCTCGATTATAGTCCTCACAATGCTGGCCTTGCCGCCCATCAGCGCGCGTGGAAAGAGAGTGGACAACTCCCTGTAATCCTCCGATTGATGAAAAAGGCTCTGAAAGACGTCTCCCCTGCCCATAATGGCAGCCACTTCTAATGGAGTCATCCCAGGAACCCCTGCAGATCCTGCATGGTATATAGGTTTAGCCAAAAGATCCACCCCTCCGTCCATGGTATTGACGTTGATATCTGGTGTCAGTAATAGCTCCTCAACCGCATTGTCAAATCCTCTTGCGGCAGCCCAGATCAGCGGTGCTCTATTTAAACGGTCCCAATAATCACTTCTCCCATCCTCAAGAGCTCCCTCACAACATCCGCGTGTCCTCCCCCAGCAGCCCAAAGAAGCGGCGTATCACCAGCGTCATTCACCACGTCAGCGTCCACTCTAGCCTCCAGAAGATACTTGACAAGAGATGCATGCCCTCCCAAGGCAGCAAATGCAGCACAGTATCCCCGTTTCCGACAGTACGTATATTTATGTTGACACCCTTGTCGATCAGAAGCCGTACGCTCTCCTCTTGTCCACCGAACGCAGCCGTCATAAGAGGTAGATGGAGTGACTTATTCGGATCAGCAGTATTCTCAATACGCCACGCAAGCAGCGCCTCCATATCGTCGATTCTCCCCAAATACGCAGTCGCCATCAATGCGGCACCGCTCCATCCGTCCCTTTCGTAGTCGAGACCATCATCCATAGTTTCTTCCCAGCCCCTGCCGGAGCCAGGACACGATAGATAAAATTAGTCCCCGCCAGGCCGACAAACATTGATATCATCCCGCTTAGATAGCTCGTTCGGAGCTCCCCGGGGTCAATATCGCTCCTCTGCGAGAAAAACTCGACGACCCCGTCCGCCCCCGCATTGATCGTGTTGGCAAGCGGGTAAACACTTCTCGTCGCTAACCCTTGAAAGTCACAACTACGCCCCACAAGCGAACATAGTAACCGTCTTGCCATTGCCATCGTCGACGGAGTCGGCGCCCCATGGCAAATGGGAAGCTCGCGATCGATGAGCCCGACTCTAATTGCTGTGAGGAAATGGTCGATCACGATATCGTGGAGTTGTTCTGTACGGTTAACAAAGCCATCCTGATTAGTTTGATAGAGTCTAGGGACGTACTACTGACGAGTCGTAAGTTCAGAAACCAAGTTAGATCCGCGCGGGCGAGCATCACCCTCCTGCACTTTTTCCAGCGCCAGCCCCATCTCCAGCTGGGGGTGGTGCGGCCGAGGATATCGTGGAGGATCTCAGGCGGGAGAACGGCGATCATATTCATACTTGGGGTAATGTAGAGTGGGCACTTTTTGTGAGAAGACCAATCGACTTTTCTAACTTGGCGGGAAACTAATGCAAGGAAGGTTTTGTACTAAGTCACTCATATCCGTGTCGGCAGCACACCCACACCGTTTCCGGTGTGGGTGCACCTGGCACAGATAATTTATACTCCTCAATATCTGCGTGTCCTGCATTTCAACGCCAACATGATATTAACTATAGCACTGCTAAAAAAGCGTATTTTAAAGGGAGAAATTAAAACGAGAACCTGCCAACCTATATCTATACAGTGACTGGCCAGCACAAAGCTGAGATGAGGTACGTGGCGAGGACCTGGCTTTAGCCGCAGGCGCGTACAGTGCGGGCCTCGAGGTTTACAGCAGTATCCGAAATCAGATTACCGCATATATTCTCACTGTTTCCCGAACCCTAACTTGAAACACTCAAATCTAAATTTAGTTACTACTTCAACAAACCCCTGCGTGCTTGTATTGTTATGGCCATAGTAATAAATGAATCATTGCTATGATACCGTAAACCTCTGTACAATCCCGTAGAGATTCTGACAGAATGATTCGTGCAAAGAGAATAAACCAGAAGCCCTGGCGAGACCAGATCGCCCACCATTCTCATCTTCCCCATCGCACGAAGCGTTCGCCCGCGCTCGTTTTACATACAGAAAAGAGGGGTTTAATTAGATCAGGCGAATGCCATAGAACAAAACAGCATGAATTGACATGAAGAAATGGCATGAATCGGATGAGAGAGATCGGGAAGAAGCAAATACAAACTCAGGGTAGGTGGATGTTGCATCCGAAGTAGGCTAATACGAGCCACGTAAGCCTAGGTAGGCCCGAGAGAGGAAGATCTGTTGAAGATACAGTCCTTCCGTAGGGAGGTATCAGGCATCCAATAAGGTCATATGACGAAGGACTTTACTGGCTGTCTCAAGGACTAAAGGATATAACTTCTCTGCAAACGTCCTGGGCCCCGAGTCATATCAAGCAAAATCTCATTTGGTGGTCTCTGTGACATCCCCAATAACCACAACGCCCGTCTTAGAGCTGTCATAAAACTTATCTTCATCTGCTGCAATCTGAGCCGCGATCTCCGGGGAACGGACTTTTGCCACGCAAGCTTCCCACGCCGCCTGATCAGAGAATGTAAGTTCAGCTAGGCAGTCAAAGTCGTAGTCGGACTGTTGGCCGACAATCACGGTTGCTGGAGTTGTCGTGTTGCGAGAGGAGGCGCCATCAAAAGTAGTTTCGACAGAACTACGAGCGATGTAGATACGCCTATGGGAGAGCGGGAAATCATCGCCGGTTAGACGCTTGAAGAGATCAATGTGCGCTTCGTAGTGATTCTTGAAATCTTCCGGGGAAACCCCCGGCTTCCGGTAGGCGTAAACGAGGACTTTGAAAGGCATTTCGGTTGGATATTAGATAAGAAGCTATTAGCAAATGAAATAAGTGTGTAGGAAAGGGAGTTGCTGACAGGAATCAATGCCAATAAATAGTTCTTTTTATATCTACCATTGACTCACGAGTCACACGTTGATCTAGTCGTCGTAAAAGTGCATCGAAAATGCGCGAAGGTACGAGAATATGCTAGAAGGCACGAGAATATGCTAGAATGCGCAATTGAAATCCACGTTGGAGCTCAAGAAGCTCTATTAGGGGCTGATGTCAGATGGCCGCCAAGAGGAGCGGGGGATTTGACGGGCGCGTATCAGACTTCTCATTGGCCGCGCCTAATCTTTTCATGACTCAAATCGATTTCCTATGGCTGGTCAGACAGATTTCATTTACCCTGACCCGTCGCAATGAATGCAAACATGGCAGACGTCTCAGAAACCAAGCTACCCCCTCCCACTTTTTGGCCTTGGCCTCGTGCGGGTGTGCGGTCCGGTGATCTTCGCTGAAGACACGAAAGAACAATCCTACACCAGGCGTATGTAGGAAGTATCTGATATCATTAGTCATGGTTGACACTTGCTTGGGAACCTTGCTGGGTAGTGGCCAACCTGTCCGTCTGAACCAACCCTTGCTCATATCCAGACTCATCAACGTATACCGGGTGATATGACCGGAAATCATAGCTGGTACGGATAACATTCTCGCAAATCCGCATATTGCTCGCTAGCCTCTTTGCCGGGCAGTCTTTGTAAACCAACCTTTAGCGATAATGGCCTACTGGTCAGAGGGTCCGATGTGGCATTGCAGTCAATCTGCCACGCATATTCCCCTCCGCTAAAAGATACCTTGACAACCAATCGTGATGGTGGCGGTGACGATGGTAGAGGATGGTGGACTGTCGAGCGGTGGAATAGATGAGAAGTTATGACCAGATGGTGCCTGGACCCACAAGGACAAAGTGCTAGAGAAGATCATGGATTCAATTCAAAAGGGGCGAGAACGTACTAAATCCAATGACTTGATATATGTCAGGGCAAGTATTCAAAAAATCATTTGCTTTTAAATCACCCAGCAAGTACAGATCAGATCAATTCAGCAAAGCTACAAGAGCAACCACTTCACGTTCCACCCTCAGTCCTCGATCTCGTCGATGATATCTACTCCCCAGATATAAGCGCGGTATACTCGACGGCTGTATAGATCCTGCCCGTAGATGACATTGAATTTGACTGTATCTTCTTCGACCTTTACGTCAATATCCGGGATGTGGTCGGAAGGTGAAAGCCCATTCGTAGCGAGACAACAGGGGCAAAATTCAGTGCAATGGAATCGATTAGGAATTCTACCAGTCTCTCTCTTGTGCAAACAGCAGCCACAAGTTCTAGAGCAGCAGCCTCCCCGGGCTGCACAATCGTCAATCAGCGAGGTACACAGATACCACTTGCGGTTGACTCTCCAGGAGAAGAATGCTCTGTAAAAGAGACCACTAGGCATATGCCATACGAGGTCGCACTTATCACTCCGGCACTGCGCATACACGACCTCAAGACGTATTTGATGCTTTTTCGTGTCATTCAATTGTGATTCCATCTTCCGGCGATATTCCGAGTCCGATTGTTGGGTGAGAGCATGACGCGCCCATTCCAGCCTTTTCTCCAAGAAGATCAGTGCTTGAACAATGCGCCGGGTACGTCTCTCCATCTCAAGGAGACTCTGACACCAAGCCAACACAGAATGATCCGGCGGTCGTGTGTGGTACTGGAAGAAGCGAATAAGACGAGCGGCTAATCTTTTATCTTTTCGATCCAGTCCCGTTGCCAGTCTTTCTACCTCTTCTTGGTGACCGAATAGGTTGTCCGGCAAGCCTCTCTGAAGGCTGATTCTGTAAATTAACCKCGCTTTGTCAAATATGTCCATGTCTGACTGGAGGAATGGTGCATAATCCTGTGGAACCTCTGCTTTTCTAAGTTTCATCTCCCAGTACTCAAAACTGCCTTTCTCAGGCTGAGAACTCTTCAGTAGTTTGAGAACTCGACTCATTTTGCAATTAAAACTTAGAAGGGATGCTTTCGAATGTATCTCTTGAATGGCCTGTGAATACCACTACATGCGTGGAGGTGATGAACAATCAATGGACAACTGGGATCGAAGACGCTATTCTGACATCATGATTCATCCAAAATATTCACTTTTTGCATGATTTATTCACTAGCTTCATATTCTCAGTCGCACTAAGTAGTGAATAATAGATTCGCTGCATCTCTTTAGACATAAGGGTAGACCTCCCCCAGAACCAAACTTCTTACTTCCATATCTCTGCAACATAAGACCAAGGGAAAGATAGCATTCATCCCAATTCTTAAACTCCAGATTTCTATGCAATCATCCCACTTTCTTTTTGATAGTCCATCAAGCACAAGATAATCATATTATCAAGAGAATACTCATCCTATCTCATCACGCCTTCCAGAATCCCTTCTGATAGCGCTTCCGACTCCACCCAGGAGAACTCCGCCGATGCTGTGCTGGTCTATAGGCCAGTAGAAGCCCCTAAATCATGGGCAAGAGACAGCAGAAAGCACCTGCCTAAGGATAAGCAGGACCAGCTAAAGGCCATTATCAGCGAGATTGAGGCCGGGCCAGAGGCAGGAAAGCCGATGGCCATCGGTAGCCTTCGAGAGAATCAAGTCCGCGAGATATTCAAGTTGGGCAAAGATCGAGTTATGGATATCTCTATCTATAAGGCGACAATAGTGCCCGAGGCTGTCAGTAAGTCATAGTTCAGCTCCTGCTACGCAATAATTATGGCTGCAAGTAACTAATCTCCTGTGTAGAGCGGTCGCTTAACAAGGTGACCAGGGCGACCGGGGTGGGCCGTCCCCAGGTCGAGCCCTTCGCCTGGACCCTGGTCAGCCTGATGCTTATAGAAGCCATCTGTGAGCAGTCTGGATATAACGGGGATGGGGATGACGACAAACGCCTAGATGTGAGGCGAACGGCGACACATGAGGATAGGGTAGAATGGTCCGAGTGAGAGCGTCTCAGGCATACGACGAAAAACTAATATTAATGGTTTAGGCCCCCGGACAATGCTGAAGGATCTAGTGTTGCTGTCGAGAAATCCAGTAAGTTCATTCTGATCTAGGCCCCTTGCCTCTCAACATGGAGTTAAGCAGAAACGACTAACGGACCAAGATCTTTAGAAGAGGGCTGCAATCTCATGGATTTATCGTTCGCTCTGCCACTGTTAAACCGGAAAACCTGGAGAAAGGGGGAGGCCACACTGGGAAAACTCTTTGTTTCGCTTGTCCACTTCCTCAAGTTAACACTTTTTTATTTTCGGTCCCACGTCGAGCGGAGCTTCGCGGTCGATATGCGTAAGGTCAAAATTAAGCTACTCACGAACGCTTATTTTCTTCCGCGTCAGCGCTGTATATCAGAAATTCCTATGTACGCTTCCAGCTTTGTGTCTACCACCTGGTAAATGATCACTCAGTCGGTGCAAATTGTTCTCCGCAGCTCGGTCAGATTCACTAAATGGCCAAGGTTTGCTGAATGAACCGTCTAGAAGCGCGCCTGAATGACAGCTGCGTTTAGGAAGCTGCCATTTATCTTAGCAAGGCTGATGTCCCCTTGTAAAGCAAAGGAGGCGGTTGTTCTGACGCTGCGTTGGCTTGACCAGGCTGGCATGGGTGAGCAGTAGAGACTTGCATTAGCTCCTTGACTTGCCTCGTAACCTTGCTATAATTTGCCTACCTTGACAGAAATGGGATTTTTGCTCTCGATTGAACCGGGCTTCGAGGTGGAGGTGGATAAAATGCCAGAAGGTGAAAAGCATCGATTCGAGATTGTGAACTACAGTTGTTGGGCGGTTACATTGATCCGCTAGCTTGAGTCCGTCTGCAGCTATAGCAGTATTATTCACAATGTGAAGGCACTATCGTATTTACAGCTGCTTCCTGGGTGCCTTCCCACCCTTTTGTGGCAGCGGGCGTTGCGGGCCCCCTCTGTACACCCCATCATCATCCGCCACGCTTCGCATCTCGTTCACATCCGTGGTCGCAACCGAGACCGACACCGCCTGACTGTTGGCATAGGCAGCGGAGAGCCGTATACTCTCCTGCGAATCTTCAATACTGTAAACAAGGAGCAGGGTATCCTCATCCGAGGCTGTTTTCTCGTCGGCGACAAGGAACGTAGTATGATCTACTACGGTATTTGATGCGTTCTCCTGTAGGAACTGGGCGATCTTGCCTATGTCCCAGCCGAGGAATGGATACTGGAGTGACTCAACCGGCGGCTTGGTGACAGAGCCATATGTGTACCTCTGGAGTTCAGCCGGGTCGGCTGTCGTGACAAGGATAAGGCTTGGAGGTGAATCAACTTTGCTTGAAGCCTCATACGCTGTCGATAGGATAGATGTGATAACCTATCACTGTCAGTTAGAATGAGCTTCCACCCGGGTCCGACAGGGTTCCGTACAGTAGGTGACACCTCGTGGGTGCAGATGACGGGAATAAGGCTCATTGTGAGTGAACTGCCCCTTGTGATGTTTGTCGTTGAATTACAGTTGGGAGGAAACATGGAGGTGTTAGGTGGAAGACTTGGAGGTGCTGCCGGGGTGGTAAGACGCTGGCAGCCTACGTCACTTGAGCAACCGGTTGTTGTCTGCCGATCCCTAATCACACAGCCGCGGTGGAGATGCATTAGCGGTTCCAGTTATGGGGCGAAGGATAAGGCTGATCGCTAGCCTGAAAGTCTATTTTGCTTTATCCTTACGCACATATTTCCTTTTTCCTTTTTCCTTTTTTGTCTCAAGCAGAAGCTTGTTTTCCAGTTCGTCTAAGACATAATAGATTGGAAGAGGAGGGAGATATGCTGCCAGATCTCGGCCATTGGCTCGTCCAACGGTACATTTGGATGCTCTCAAACATTCTCTCTTTATGGAGAGGCAAAAAGCGCTATACGGAGCACGTTCTATATCACAGCCTTAGATAGGAGCGTATATGGTTACAGCTGTTCGCTCTGCCCCCCTGCCAGTTCCCTTTGTGCCTTTCCCTTTGTTGGTGCGCTCTTAGCTTGCGTTGGGAGTAGGATTGGCTACCCTGTCCAGATCTCGGGTACTCTGGACCTGTAGTTTCCTTGTTGTCTCGGACGTAGTCCGGTCAGCCTGTAGGCCCAGAGATCAGCAAGCCTATAGTATCTGTCATAGACTGGTAGTCGGCTTTGTTTCCTGCGGCTGTACCCTACTTGGGGGCTATCGTCTAAGTGCAATGCGACGCGATGACGAGACCACGCAGATCTAGTGCTTACAGCACGAGCATCAAGCATGGTTTGGGCAGAGTAATGCAGGATCCCTTACCGGCTCGCGACATGAACTCCAAGGATCACTTTGGGGGCCGCATGCACCTTGATCACAGCACTCCAGTTCACATAGCTAGGCTGGGGCAATGGCCAGAAAGGTATATAATGGCGCTCATCGTTTGCAGCGTCGCACTTCCTCCTCCAGGAGGGTGCTGACACGCCTCCAGATTCTCGATAAAAAAACTCGATTGTACATGCAGTCGTCAAATCACAGCATCCGGCCATTCTTGACGGACTGCAATCGGTCAGTGACCTTGAGATATCCAAGAGGCAGCACCCGTAATCCACATACAATCTTATGAGAGCAAACGCAGGTGGCTATGACTAAGTTGATTCAGTGTAATGTCTATCCTCCTCCCCCGAAGAGTCATAATACTCGTTCACGCGAAATGGTCCTCCTATTTCCTTCGTTTGTGCGATGGCAATTTTCTTCAGCTCATCTGACACACAGACGCTCAGCTCGATATGGGCCATGCTGGCAAATCTCCCGTTGTACGGGACTCCAGAATCAAAAGTCCACATTGGGGTTATCCCAGACATTTTCATAGACGTAAGTCGATGTGTGCTCGAACATCAATTTTCGTGGCAGAATCCAGTAATTCCCGTCGTTTCCGAAATCGCGGCAGCCGCGTTCTGAAATTCTCGCTTCAAGATCGCGGAGGTACTTTGGATTCGGACTCTCTCGAGCGTCATCCATCAGATTTACATCCGGGTCAGCATCAAGCACGTCCTAGAGGTCGCTGTAATCGCGCAGGATGCAGACCCTCGCAATAGCCGGTTTCATGACGGGTACACGCCGAAAGAGCTCCTTGCAAGTCGCCACATGAGGAAAGGAAGGATACCATATGCAGCATGGGAGGTTTTTGGTCTCTGGCATGATTTGAGAAAGGTCGTTATTCATGATGAAGCGTGCATAGATCGCCCTCTCAATATTTGGGTCCCACTGCCCGGGTAGAAGAGACCACCATTTGGCGAACATGGAATTGTGGTAGATGCCACGCACGACACAGCTCACCTCGCACTTTACCCACCTGCCAGGTCGACGCAGGCGAGCATAGCGTTCGATATTACCGTAATATGCTGCCATGAGGATTAAGAGGTCCTTATTCATTGTCGGCAAATCAGCTGGCAGCGGCGTATAGAGAAGGTGTGTCACGTCATCTTCTTGCAGGGGCGGCGGCTCCGATGTGAACTCATCAATCCGATCATCTTCCGTGATGTCAAAAAGGCTAGGGTCTCTGAGTGCAGAGAAGTGATCAAAATAATCATCTTCGTCCTCGTCTGTGTCACTGTCGTAGGGGGACGGGGGTGGTTTACGGAATTTTGTCTTCAAATCCAGATAGGAGCGTACCGCAGTGTCTGCGTTTAAGCATCCTGGAACCGGCTTGGAGAATACAGCCCTTGTGTAGTCGTCCATGGCATTATAGCGTAGATCTGCTGCCATGATGGCTTCATAGATTTCCCACTGTTTGCTCTCTCGCGCCTCTTCTGCAATATGCGCTTCAGGTAGGAGGTCCAACTCTCTGAAAAGATTCACATAACCAGCAACAGCGCAGGCCCGACCTATCAGGTACTTCATCTGCGGATAGCGTCTGGCAAGAGCGCGGTAAGTTTCCTCCTTCGCGGTCTCCGGGTACCAGATGCAGTAAGGGAACTCATCAGGGTCGCTCATCTCAGGGATCTTATCACTCATAATATCTCTGGCGTTCAGTGCACGAGTGAATTTGGACAATAATCCACAAAGTTCCGTGGCAAAGCCAGGATGATATCGGATTCCGCGCACGACACATAGTTGAGTGATCTTTTCTCCCAGGCCCTTCGGAATTTGTTGGCCACGAACAGCAAGCAAACAATCCTGTTCATTATATTTCTTGTTTAAGAGACTGTCACCAGAGATGAGACCCATGATGAATGGCAAAGACTGGGAGAACGGGAAAGAAATGTAAGCATGTGGGCCAGGGGTGGCCGAGGAAGAAGCGGCCCTAATATAGCAAGGCCGGCTGTGAATGTAACCTTAACGCGGGGTACAGTGGAGGGGACTCTCTAAATTGGTGGATGATCCAAAGAGTGCTATTATGGCTCTGTTTGCTGCCCTCGTTGGTTTCCGTGGTGAAATGGGCTTCGCGAAGGCGGCAGAGGTCAGAAGGGGCATGACCTCCAAGGAGATTGCAGCACTGGGCTCCTCGTTCAAGGAGAAAAGTGACCTGCTCCATTTGATTCAGAGGGGATGTAAATCTTGAGTTTGTGTGTTACTCATGTACTGTACTCTTTATAAACAGTCAACAGCGCAACTATGCTTAATACTCGTCCAGATGCAGTAAGACACCATGCGAGAATTCGGACGAAGGTCTTCACTCTCATATCAGCAGCCAATAACTTTTCTTACCATCTAATGTGTTCTAAGAGTAGCAGCGCCCGTTGTACGATTCTTCATCGTTGTCCTTGCTGAAGTCCTTCCACGCTTTCAAACTTCGAAAAAGGGGCTGCAGTCTTTCGATTCAGTCGTTATGGAACACCCACCAGTGTCTATTCAATTTTGAATTAGCTGGAATGACATTTTGCTCGCAGATTACAGTAGCTTCACATCTTCCTCTTGAGTCATTTTCTTACGATGTCACACAACAAGGTCTTTCCGTTGCTATCGATATTCTAAACAATATATTTTCATCACCGATCTAATATGCCCCGCTTCTACTTCCACCTAAGATTTTGTGATTCACATACAAAAAGCACAAATTATTCCCTTACCTTCAAACTCCTTGACGACCTCTAGAGGAAATTATAGAATAGGGCATCTAATAATGAAGATAATTCATTGACTCGTTACTTCCGCTCATAGAAGATCAAGGATCTAACCGGCCCACTCTCTGCTTTTATACGTCCTCGGACCTGTCGTGCACTTCCTACTCGCCCGTAGGTTATCGACTTGCTGTGAGCCGGAGACGACCAGCACCAGGGACATGAGCAGGGTGATCAAGGAGAGTCTTCTTGCAAACCATCGAATATATGAATCCTGTCATGGCTTATTTCTTCCTTAAGGGTCCAGGTGTTCTCAAAATGGAGAGACTCGAGGGAAGCCCAATGTCGGTTGCTCTTCAAAGCGTAATATGACCCACAGCACGAGAAGCAAGTCGGCGGATCAAAGAGCGGAGGAGTTCTAGTATTGCATGGCGTGAAAGCAGGAGCCGCGCAGATATTCATTAGCGATATCGCCGTGGGTGAAGTGAGATGGGAATGGATAGCCGTGAAGAGTAATCATAATCTGCCCCGGCGTTACATAACCATTAGAGAGCTCTACATTACTTCAAGGTGTTCTTTGTCGGGCGATCGGCATGAGCCTAAATGAGTCATTCTTCGTCATGGTAGTTTAAGCTAGGTATGTGGGTGGGACCGGGGACCTCAACCGCCCGAAAGCGGGTCCTGTAGGGCTACGCGATAGCGCCAAGAAAATCTTGCCTCCACCATGTAAAAGAAATCACTTTTAAGTAGATCCCGTCGCATCATTCTCTCTAGATGCTCATCAGCAGTTACGTGTAAACTGACACTTACGTCGCTGCTCTGCCCGTCACTTGGGGAAAAGGCATCAATTCCTGGCTTGTACGACGCCGCCACTGACCAAGACTCGACGCCTTGCCCTGATTATCAATCAGCTATCCGCTCACTGGCATGAACTTTTGGAAACGGAACAGCTCCCAGCAGAGGGAGCATACTGCCAAACGACCCGTATTTTTGGAGCTGAGATCTTCGGGTTAAAACATTTGGAAAGGTGTTCTCACTTTTGAATTTGACCTGTGTAGTATTGTACTTGATTGAACAAGATGTAGTAAATATTCATTTCTCATGATAAGTCAAAGTCCACTAGTAGTTGGCAATATGTTCTACTGTCAACGGGTACAATTTATTATTTATAAGAGCACAATACAATTAAAGCTAAGGAAGCCGTCTTGTCAGCGGAATAACCTAAGGTAGATTTCTTTCCTGCCGACTCCATCTAGTTCCCAAGGAATCCGATAACTGACGAAGCCAAGAGAATACAAAGTACATGGTAAGCAGTCAACTATTTCGCTTGAAGATTGCAAACATCAAAAGCTTCTCATTGATCGCATGAGGAGTTAGGAAACAGTGACCAAGACCCACATCTATGCAATCATAAAGACAGCCAAGTCCTCTAAATATCTCCCAAATCTACCTTGGATTTCTCACCTGCTTGCTCTAGTCCTTTTATGCTCTAGAGAGGTGGGTTAAGGATAACCTCCCTGTTCTCCTCCTCCTCTTTCTGCGTACGGCGTCTTCGAGTGTAAGCTGGGGAGCCGGGGCTCCTTTTCCTCTCGTTAGGCTCGGGTATTCCCTCCTCTATACCACGTTTGTCAACTGTCTCAGTCTCGTCGAGTAGAGCTCTCTTGGCCGGCCAGGTACAGGCTACCTCGGTCCACTGGTAATACCAAATGGCCCCCAGTCTTTGATCAGGGCCATTTCCTCTGATCCAAGCTTGTGACCTTTGTGAATAACAGTGGCGCACTCCCGAGTTTGTAAAGAGGTGAGCTCGACGTAGGCCCCAATCCATACACAACTCCGTGATGCCAGGGATTCTGCGCTGGCTGCAACCGTCATTGAAGTCTCTATCAATAAAGCCGAGATCCCCGTCATCGTGGAAAACGCCTCTGGTGTCAAAGTTCATGCTGATCAGCTCAAGCCAGGAAGCTCTGGTTGCCTGGAAGCATCCAGCAAGAAGGATGAGCGGAGTGTAGATCTTCATAGCGCCGACAGGAAAAATCTTGGAACTGTTACATAGCCTTGTTAGTATAGGAGGTCCAAGAGAAATGGAAGAATAGAACTTGGAACGTACATTAGTTCGTAGTTTTACCTGTGAATGATAGACTGAGAAATGGTTATCAATGGTTAGAACTCCCAACTTGAACTTGGCTGGAGATGAAGGGCTTTATAAACCATCAATTTTCAACCATTGGGGTAAGCTCAGCGTGTGGTTACTACCTGATTAGGAATCACAACGGAATGTCGCCGTCTTACCCTTGGATCCTGGGTGTGATTTTCGCGGTGTGATCGCGATGAAACCAATTACAGCATTGTCGAATCCGCATCAAGATGGTCGTAGCAATATAGTTAGATAAAAAAAAAATTGAGCATGATTGCAGAATAAGGTTACATTGTTGAATCAGCGAGTCAGGTTCATAGTAAATCCAGACTTGTGTTTGCTGTGAATTTGACTATAGTGTGGTTAAATTAGGACTGCTGTCAAAGCGGGACTCCCGGCAAATCAGGACTGCTGTCATGGCGATGTACCTTGGCACCAAGCACCCCAGACCGTGCGCCTCCGGCCTGGCCGATTGGCCGACTGCGGTCGTACTGGCGTCTAGACCACGTGCAGGACCCTGACGGTCATCTACCTACGGTTGTTGCGGCMCTTCCGGTCCGCATACCGGCCCAAAGTAATTGACTTTCCGAGGTCCTTCGCTTCACAATTCCAGCTCTCGTTCGATCGACCTCATCGTGTCTTCATCCATAGCAAGCTCTTCCCCAAAGTGCATAAAGATTGTATTGGCGTCGTCCTCAATGGCCGCCTCAAAACACTGTACCGGGAGCACCCGCAGATTCTTATCATAGTATTATATTGGTTGGACAAAAGGCATTTGTACTGGTGTTATGTTTACCATATACGTCACGGAGCTTATCCGCATTAGCCGATTCATCGAGAATATTTCCACAGTCATCACAGAATTGAGGAGCCATGGCTTGTTGGGTTTGAGGATCTGTAGTTGGTAGTAACTTGGAATGTGATGTCTGGTGACCTTATTTGTCATCTTTTCACAGTATGGCCCCCGAAGGATGCTGTTGATGGATGAGACATGTTGGTAGCACGATTGGACAAGAATGCACTGTACCTAGGGATGGGCTTATAATCTGCTCTCTGCCTATGAACCGCTCATACTTTCCGCATATATGAAGTCACGCGCAGAGACACCAGTAGCTACTTCAGTGCCATACTTCACACCAATAATACTTAGGCATTCACAACATCAGCGTGTACACAGTAGTTTCATTGGCCAGAACTAATCAAGCCTTGCGTTGTGCAGTTGCTTACTTGCTTACTTGCCTACTTGCCCCCTCATTCTGTAAGCACTAATGTCATCTCTCGTAATCTCGAGAAAGCTTCTAGATCTAGATAGGTATAGAGCTCACTACACAACCACATATATAAGGCCTCTGGAGTATGAGATAGATGACAGAAACAACAGCGTCTTCACTCTTCTCTCAGGCCCTTAAAGCAACTATAAGCTATACAGTCTCCCTCTCCAGCCAAGAATAGAGTCTCTATTCCAAACCCCATCTTGAATCATCAATTCACCATGAAGGCTCATCTTTTCGCATTAGCCTCCATCATTCCTTCAACCCTTGGCTGTCTTCACTATGTTGGCCAAATATACTTAGCGCCGAATGGGCCGCAGCTCAAGACCGCTTGGGCTGTTGATAATGGGGTCGATGTGTGTGACGCAGCTTGGGGCTTTTCACCTAGTATGGCAGGTTGGAAAGTAAACTGCATAAGTGGCTACTCCTTGGAGGTCGAGTCCGATGGCGCGGCAGCTTGGTACGGCACGCCACATGGCAATTTTCGTTGGAGCCAGGGCACCGACCGTAGTGATAATTTTATCGACTGGAACAATTATCAGTTTTGCTAAGGAAAGGTATGTTCGTCTCAAGACTTAAATCCCGGAATTACGAGTATGCTAATAGGGGTACTGTTTAGATCAGGACTGTTCGAGATGGCTTAAATTGGCAGATGCTTGGTCCAAAGAGCACGCGGTTGAAGAAGACCCTTTGCCTGAATATCCTCCCAAAAATGATCTTTTCGATCTGCCTAATCCCTCCTTGAGCACAAAGTCGGCGAAGAAAATCAAGAGAAAGCAGAAGAGACAGGCCACTGCAGAGGAATGGTAAAAGTCAGGGCTGAGGTTGCGCGAACGTGTCTCTCATTCTATAAGAGTATAACTGGAATATGAAGGCTTGGTCTATACCTCAGTGATATGGTGATATAACTTGATTATGATGATTTACTTCAAAGAAAAGCAGAATGGTAACTCATGTCTCATCATTGCATAAAGTATTAGAAGGTTTAGTATCAAGGAAGGAACTCCTTACCGCACCACGCGCTCAAAATTTATCGACTCAAACCTTCACTTAAAGCCACCCTATTCTTCCTCATCGTCCTCCGGAATTACCCTCTGGTATTCCTCGTTCTCAGCCTCCTCTGCACGCCGGTGTCTCATGCGCTTTCCAGCAACATCCACATACCCAACAAGTACAACATCTACCACAAACCCCGCTGCATTTAAGAAGATATGTATCAGGAGTGGATTCTCATCGAAAGGCCCGTGGGTGAGGGAGTTCAGACCACAAACATCACACTCAACCCCTCTGGCCGGCCAGGGGGGATTGATATGCTTCCGTAGAAAATGTCTGGTAAGTGAACCAGGTGTTTTGTGTTTTGCAGCCTGTTCCTTGAGCGGGAAAAAAGTCGCGCAAGAGAAGTTAATCTTAGTGCTTGATTTCTGAAAGCCGGTACGTGACGTTAGCATGTACTGCCTCGTCTGGGTATTACAATAGATCATCTTGGACTTGAAGATTGCAAATGCTTCCAATTAATCGCATGAAGAGTTAGGAAATAGTGACCCAAGTGGAGGGCAACATTTCAGCCGTTTCTCTGGGATTTGAGCAGTAGCCAGTTCAGGATTGTCTCAAGGCTTCCTGCATTTCCTCAAGCGACTCCAGATGCTGAAGTCTTTCCTTTCTTCTTGCTACACCAGCCAATTCCTCCTCTCGATCCGCGAGTGACATTTCTTCGTAGGCCTGAGACGGAATTTCTTCTTGGGTCTCTATCGGAATATCGAACCAGATATATTCGTTGGTCCGCTCATTGGTCCTTTTCAGGACTGGTCAGGTTCGCATCTAGCTCGAAAATGGGCGTCTTAGCCTTTGCGTCAGTCTCCGATTTCTGCTGGCCATCTAACTCATTGATAGCGTTCCCGTCTATCTCGAAAGGTAAGTTATTGACTACGGGCGAAGTTGGCGATATAGATGTCGGCAGGTGGGTTTCATCATGCCCCTCGCCGTGTCTCCCGTTCCTCTTTTTCCGCCGTATGTACCATAGCAGGATAGAAGCTATGCAAATCACTGCTAAGGGTATCCCGACCCCAAGCCCCGCTTTTGCTCCCGTTGAGAGACCGGTCGATTGGAGGCGCGGATCCACTGGTTCAGGTGTTGCGGTTGGCAAATATGTACTAACACTCTGAGGCGCTTATCACCCCTCCCTTGTACGACATTGTGACTGATGACTTGTTTCCGACCCGTGGAGAAACCAGCCCTCCCAGGGTTCTGGCTACTTTGCCGTGTTAGACTCTAGTTGGGTTCTCCCAATATAGTATCTCTGTAAGTACACGGAATGACCAAGTTGGGATCAGCTCAGACACAACCTATTTCTACTAAATTTGACCCGCTCTCATCGTTATATGATGCGCTTGCTTTTTCAAAATTGTTAGGCCTCTTAGAAAAATCAATTTTAGCATCATCATGGGAAACATTGTAGAGTTCTCTGCCCTTGTTGAACACTAGTAGCTCTGAGTCTGGCTATCATTATTGTCCTTATATCCCTTGTAAGCGATAAATTGAGTAATGAATTATGCTAAACTTTCTATTCCATCTTTGACTTGGTCTTCTTTACCTGAACTTTCTTTCGTCCTTTCATTGCCCATGCTTTCTTTACCCGTTTGACGAATCATGACGAACGGGGAGGGCATGGCGTGGTTAGAATTGGGAACCGCGACCTTGTCTACCGCCTCATGTCCATTCCTTGCTGGCAATGACAGCGAAGTCTGACGCTGTGTGCCCTTTCCACCTTCCCAGTCTCAAGCAGCAGCTTCACCACCGCCTTTCTCCCAAACATTGATGCCAATGACAATGGAGTCCAGTGATCAGAGTCCTTAGAGTTCACATCCACCTTCCCAGTCTCAAGCAGCAGCTTCACCACCGCCTCATTCCCATACATTGCGGCCAATGATAGCGGAGTCTGACCCTGATTATCCTTAGAGTCCACATCCACCATCTCAGTCTCAAGCAGCAGCCTCACCACCGCCTCATGTCCACACTGTGCTGCGCGTGACAGTGGAGTTCGATCTTCTAAGTCCTTGGAGTCCACATCAACCTGGCCAGTGTTAAGCAGCAGCTTCACCACAGCCTCATGCCCACACTCTGCTGCCAATGACAGTGGAGTTCGATCTTCCAAGTCCTTAGAGTCCACATCTACCTGGCCAGTGTTAAGCAGCAGCTTCACCACATCCTCATGCCCACACTCTGCTGCCCGTGACAGTGGAGTTCGATAGNCCTTAGAGTCCACATCTACCTGGCCAGTGTTAAGCAGCAGCTTCACCACATCCTCATGCCCACACTCTGCTGCCCGTGACAGTGGAGTTCGATAGTTCAAGCCCTTAGAGTCCACATCTACCTGGCCAGTGTTAAGCAGCAGCTTCACCACATCCTCATGCCCACACTCTGCAGCCAATGACAGTGGAGTCCGATTCCAAAGTTCCTCAGAGTTCACATCCACCTTCCCAGTCTCAAACAAGTAAGACATGAGTTCTGGAATACCAAAGAAAGCTACTATATGTGCAGGGAAAACCTCATCCGGTAGCACTCCATTGTAGTGATCTTCGTACATGACTTCATACAGTAAGTCAAAGCTTTCGCAACTCTTCTCAAAGCTGCTGTAGAGGTACTCTATAGCGAGCTCCATAGACACATCTGACACGCCAGGTTGTCCGCTTTTTCGAAGGTGGTGGCCCCATTTTGTAGCAGCATAGGACAAATACGTGATTGCACTGCTGCTTTGTTCCGGCGCATCTTGAATTGTTGTGAATGGAAACTTGAGAAAGGTAAGGCATGTACGTGCAATACTGCTGTGCCATTGCCCTTTAGTGAGGCCAAATATCTGGTGTTGCCGATCAAGGTATTCCTGAAGCGAGTAATGGACTAAACGGATGGTGGATGTCTCTTGGTCGATCACTGTCAAACCATAGCAGCAGTCTAGCAGTGTCCTTTTAATGGGTATTCCCCTCTGATCAAGGAAAGTATCGCCATCTCTGATTGCAAGTGAAAGTAATAGCTCATCAACGGTGAGTAGCCGTTCAGCTAAATAGACCCATGCAATAATCTTTCCTGCCTTTTCAGACAATGCCTTGGGCTGCTGCTGAATTCTAGTCATTGTTCCAGCAAATGCCTCACCAAGGTCTGATGGCAATGTTTTCAAAGCTTCCTCGCGATCCCGTATGGTTGTAGCTTGTAGGATAGAGCGGAGTTGCAAAGTAGGTAGTAGAAATCTAGTATATTGTTATATTAGCACCAAAGTACTGCAAGGCATCGCACCAGTTACTAACATTCCCTTAGCTGAGCCAACAACTTTCCTTAGAATGTCTTTTCTGAGCTTGTGATCCATTGCATCAGGTTCAATATCATCAGGTCCACCAATTGCATGTTCAATAAATAGTTGAATATCGCTTTCCCGGGCTTCAGTAAAAATACTCTGCGCCTCTTTGAAGTATTGCTGGACAGTTTCCTGAACATGGGGCCGGCCAGTAATGAATATCTTCATGGAGGAAGGCCTGTCGTGCAAGTGCTGTAAAAGGTTTTGATGGCCTCGGAGTTCATCAAGTGCATCTAGGCAAACATACACCTTGGTGAATTGCGCCCAGGCTATTCGGAGGAGATCAACTGCATCAGTCAAGCCCAGTGGTTTCCCTTGACGGAGCCTTTCTCCATATAGATTCCAAACAGTCTCAGGGATTTCTGGTAGAATGCGTAATAGTTGCTCCAGAATTGATCCAAGGATATTTTCTGTTGTTTGTCCTTTCTGATCACGATAATCGCAGTAAATATATGCCAGCCCTATTTTCTCAGTCGTGAGTTTTTCCAATTCGTCAATCACACTTGACCTATTCTAGACTGTCAGCGTATCTGGTAAGAGGCAAGAACCGTCATACATACGTGATGATGGTTTTTCCTGCGCCTGGAGGTCCGTAGCAGCACAGTGTTTGACAGTGGCCTGTATTCGAGGACCAATCAAGGAATCTGGGGTCCTTATGCAGCCATATACCCGTGCCGTCAACCCTTTTTTTTTGATTCTCGACGTGTCGAGCCGACGGGTTGAGTGAAGACATCCATTTGAAGATATCTTGCTGCTTTTGATCTAAATGTTGTTTTTTTTGGCTCATGACAATTTCTTTTGCGATCGATTCGATTCCCTGCACTATATCTCTGAATCAGTCAGGGAGGGTTTCGCAAACTGATGAATAAAGGACCATTGGTAGTGATAACCGAAAAGTACAACATTTAGCTTGGTAGTTCACCAGCAACCAAGTGTCTCCAGCTACCTAGGCAAAAAGCTTTGTGATGGACGATAACGTAAAATGAAGGGTCATGGCTAACACTTATGTATAACCTCTCGCACCTCCGGCGTGCTTTTGATATCTGCAGCGTCCGTAATCTGCAGAAGCTCCTTCGTGTACGCGGCTGCTGTAGCTGCCGCGTACTTCTGCCACTGATCGTTCTTATGGGTATCACAGTAGTCGCAGATGCCGCGAATGACGAGACATGGGAAGTCATTCAACAAGCCGGCAGCTTCTGTTTCAAAACAAAGACAGTTTTTCGACATCTGATCCCGTTTTCGCGCATCCTTGATGACCTGATTGCCTGATGCAATCGTGCCGTAGTGGATATAGGGGTCCTGGTCAGGTCTCTCGGGGCGTACCACCTCATTCTCAGAATCGCAATCACTACAATCCTTCTTAGTGGCTGCATGCTCATATTGCGGTTGGAATAGCCGATCACAATTTGTCCCTTGGTAGTTGTAACCCGGCCCCTGTCGCGGTTTTGCCATTAACGGATAATCCTTGTACATGGCCTCCAATATTACAGGTATGGTGCTCCCTCCCTTTTCATGTTTTGCTTGAAGTGCGCCCATAGCATTAAGTAGAACCCGTGGCGGGGAGTTTAATGCACCACGCTCTTCAAAGCCATGCGCTGTGGCTTTCCCACAGTTATACTATCTAACACCTCCAAAAGTGCCTTCGGGTTTGCTAACCACAATGTCGCCCAGTTATATATTATTATTAGCGCTGGGTATAGCACCACCAATCCCGACCATTAATCTGAATTTGATGGCAGTGAAGCTGGAGAGCATCTGTGTGGCAACTGTGGCAGCAGGCGTTGTCCTATATCAACCATACAGAAGGCTGGCAATAACCAGATTGTGCACGCCATTTGGACCACTTATGGAGCCTAGCGTGTAGATATTGTCGTCATTTATATGTTTGTGCTGCGGTGGTGCATGCTCCTGGTCTAGTATTACCTCAGCAGCCGCCCTTTCATGGGGTAGGGCAGCGATCCATCCAACAGCGTATTCGGAATTGTCGAACTGCGGCAATATAGAAGCCATGGTGCTTGCGACTTCTGGTGAGGACACTTGCAGGAACCAGGCACCACCAGAAATTACGGAATCTTGGGCAAGGAGGTGGCTGGCAGCAGGAGAGTCTACAGAGAATGGCGACATATATGTTGCTAATTTATCCGCTAAGCTTCACCCTGGGCGTGGCTGCAGCCTTCACACAGTCCTCTCACGCACTTGTAGCAGACGCAGAGTATTGTGCAGCTGGGCAACCCTGGTGCAACGTGGCACGAACCAAACCCCTCTTATCGGTAAGTTTGATGTCGGTATTGGCCAGACTGATTTCAGAGTATGACCCCGCGCGCAAGGCTGAAACTCAAGGTCTTGCATTTTTTTAAGAATGCCTAACTAAACACTCAGCCCCGGGAAGTCAGACTATCTTTCCGAGCTATTTTATCTAAAATCATCCAAAAAGGTACCAAATACTTCATCCCTGTGCTGCAGTCATCGAAGACTTTTGCCGCTAATTGGAGAGCAGTGCACTTCCAACAGCTATTCATATATATGTTGTAGAGTAGTTATCATAAATGAAGGGGTTACGAGCTTTTACTGCAGGTTTCGTTGAGATAGTGGTTCAGGGTCTTCAGTGTGCCGGTACATTCGATGTGAAGAAGGAAATTAGCACGGTAAATAGCTTTATTGTACTTCTAAATAGGGGCATCCATCAATCGCGATAAAAGCTTGATGCGGACTTCAGAATCAGGACACGCAATTTCGAGGGCTCGAACCACAAAGGTATGGATGATGGATATCACGTCGCTAATGTATCCCTGGCTGATGAGCGGCCATTTTGAGGACTGCGTTTTCATCAAGTCCGACAGCAAGCTCGCATTGAATGTTCCAATCTCAACGCCTCTGGAGTGCCTGTAAACCCATTCGCGAGAAGCTCACTACTGTGTGGTAATTCAGCATAGGGATAATCCCTTCTGTCAGTAGTCTATCTCAGAAAGGCCAAAATAATTATAAATATTCACAACTTTCTTGCTCGGTTCATACTGATACCGTGATTTTAGCCTATGAAACAGCCACTCGCTAGCCAAAGGACACCCACGCACTTATGTATTGTCTGACGGGGAATCTAGTAAAATCTGAAAACTGAATATTACAAAGGAAATGACGCTTCTGGGACTGCATGTCTGGTTTAACCTTTTCTAACTATTTAGACTATTTACACTGGGAATCCTTGCAGGTGTAAAGACTTAAGGATAGAGAATTCTTCTATATTACTACTATATTTCTTAACTATAGTTAAATTAGTAATTAAGCATTCCCTAACATTATTTTAGGAAATATCTAGCTTGCACTGAGGTATTATTAAAGCCCTTAAGCTTATAGTATATAACTACCCTTTAATTATACCTACTTAAGTCTTAGAGTGTTAGTTACTTATTATTTAAGGAATTTTGGGTTACTACTAGTTAGGTACTTTAAGATATTTTATAAATTTAGGGAAAGATTATAAGATATAGCTATATAAAACCTAAATAGAGATTGTAATCATGCACTGAATAGTAGTAAGAATACTATATATAATGGTAGTTTAGTAATTATTAATGCTAATAAAATTTTCTAGTAAGAGGAACTAGAGTATTAATTAACTTACTACTATAATATACTGAACTAAATCAGACTTATTTAGAGACTGAGAGCTTTCTGCAGAAAGAGGGCGCGATATGCTTAGCCATGAATCTGATAAAGATGTTATTTTCATCATACCACAGGCTGTCGCCAAGGACATTGGGATGATTCTCGTTTTCCGTTTCCTTGACGGCTTTGCTAGGTTCTCCCAGAGTTGATCTAGTTCGCCCTGTCTTCCCAAGAAATTTTTAATTGCTGGCACAGTTGTCAGGTCTAATAGGATGTCAAAGCAGTGAACTACATATACGTGTGACAATCTAGTAACTCTTCCAAAAAAGTCGAAACGTGCTGTGAACATTAAGTATCTCACCAGAGTTTGCCAGAGTATTCCGTGCTATTGAAGTATTGTTATCTTCATCGACCGGAATGACCATGAGGAGCTCTTTCGCATAAGCCGCCGCCACGATTGCCGCATATCCTTGCCATCCCATGTTCTTATTGTGAGTCAGCGTAGTCGCAGATTCCCTGAATGACCAGACATGGAAAATTATTCATGAGTCCTGCCGCTTCCATCTCCACACAGTATACACCCAGGTCCCGAGCTAGCTGATCTCGCCGCCTGCCGTCTTTTACTACTAGATATGGCCGAGCCAACGAGTCTTAGTGGATGACTGGTTCTTCGATTTTCCCACAGTGGATAAAAGTTTCCCTGACTAGCCATCAGTGGCGACAAGCCGCAAGGAACATCTGACTAGCAGACTCAGCATCCCATTGCTGACGTGTAGTAGTCCCATGGATCCCAATTACTAGTAAATTCGTCCAGAATCATGGGCAGGTAGGCGGTGGACCATGGCTCAGTTCTATCAGCGGTATATTGCGCCTTGTGAGACTGCCAGTACTCAGGCAGCCAACCAGATTGCTCCCAGTCGACAACAGCAGAATACGGTATGGGGATGTGGGTGCGACGATGATGTTACTGCGATGGAGATCGCCATGAGTGAATTGCACAGTCGTCCAGGAGGTCATGGCGGAATGGTTCCACTGGAATTGAGAACAGATCTGACATCGGTCTTCGGTCAAGAAATGCCAACCAGTTGTGGAAGTTGCGAACTGTAGCGGAAGAGCCTGCTTCATGCATATAGTTCACATGAGATGCCCTATCGTAAAGTGGTCCTTTCGTAATGTTGCCTACTAAAGAAAGACTAGCTGACGGCAATCAGCTATCAAAGGGTAAGCGGGATATGCGCACCTACAAATGAGACCTCTGGGTCCTGTTCGACCTGTCGTAGGCGCTGATAGATTGTCCTGAGTTCGCGAGACATGCCAGCTTTGTCCTCATATCCCATGATTGGCCATACTTGCTCAAGGGATGTTCCGTTCACATACTCCATGTGAATGTATTTCTCGTTTCCCTCGGTGCGCCAACCATACACTTCAGAGACAGGAACATACGTCCTTGAGGAATTGACGGACGGCATATAGGCACTGAGCTTCGGATATTTGGATAGAGGTTCCCCACTTGAACAAAAAAGCCTATCTCTTCGACAATGACAGGTGGCGGTCGCACATATGAGGCTGCCATCGAATGAATCTCTCTTTGGTCTGGTACACTCCAGCAACATGTTGCGCCTTAGCGCGCGCCTGTACTTCATTTGGTGAAGGTAATTGACCCCATTTTCGGCAAAATGACGATTCTTTAACAACAAAACTGAGAGAAATAGGAATCTTCGATCTCGTAAGCTGCACCAATTCTCCTTCACGGGTCATGATGCCTGAGACTCCGACAGTTGTGCCCTGAGCTGCAGCAGCTATACCGCGTTGTATAAATTATGGCGTCAGTTGATCACATGACTATTAAGGGCCTCAGACACCAACTTAGCAACTGCCACGGATGTCAGGTTGACCATGCAAGAGCTCCTTCACCAGACCTCTACTTCTCAGACAGCGTAGCCATAGTAGTGCCCTTCGAAACTTATCTACATCCACCTATGCGCCTTCTTTGGATGCTGGGCATTACCGGAAGGTATTTGCAACTATCTGTCGGAGACCCTCTGACACCTTAGACCAACCTCTTTTGCCTGCCAGCCTATATCGGGCCCCGTCTCGTAAAATTAGCTATTTCTCGCTCTCTCCATGGTGTTTCCTTCCAACCTCGGGCTGTTGTTCGGGCCAACACCCGTCTCGTGACCTACCGAACTTCATCGATAACTCCGACCATCCTCTCTCACGGCAATCCAATCCCCTCATCTTCCATTTCCACAAATCCTGCGGCTGACCCGCTAGAAAGCGCTTTGTTACCAGAGATATGGGTGACTCAATTGTGTAGACAATAGGACGAGGGCTTCGGATCGGATCTTGGCGGGTCTTGCCCCAATCGAGTTAGAAGACGAGGCCGCTTTATCATCTCAGCGGCAAAAGGGGACCTTACCTCGGTCACATCGCGACAATCCAACATGGTTCATGGAAGCATGCAGTACAACAGCTATGTCCAGCCAAGGTCCAAAAGCCACATCAAAACGGTTCCGTCCCCGGGTTCCCTTAGATCAGCGCAAACGAACTGTCAAAGCCTGCACTTCCTGTCGCTTACGCAAGCGACGATGTGTGCTGGTATCCCCTGACAGATGCCAGAATTGCAACAAGATCAATTCAAGCTGTACTTTTGAAGAAGAGAAAGAGGATGCACCGGTCGCCTCCACAACTAGGTCAGGCTTCAGAGCTACTGTCCTGTGAATCCGAACTAACCGAAATATCCCCAGTCATTCCTCCCGAGATGGCGTCAACCACGAAGATGCCGTGGCAAAGTTCAAGCGACTGCATCCGGAGATTGATCTCAAGCCAAATCATTCCGTTGTCTTAATGGAAATCTTCAAGGACTCAAACCAAGGGTCTGGCGCTGAACAGTTCTCAAGGAAAAAGCGTATAGCCACGGCAACACGCAGTAACCCAAGAACTTTGGGTATGTTCCAACATAGGCATTTGCCTACGATACGCTAACAGCTTTTTCAGAAAGATATGATGCGCTAGCTCATGGAGATTTCCTGGCTTCGGCTACTGAGGCAGTTTCCCAAACGGAAAGACCTGACTTCTTTGATTACATCGTACGTCCCCAATGAATGTTTTTAGCGTTGGTCTGACTGCCCTGACTGCCTTATTTCTAGTCCTCCTTTTACCCTACTCTTGAAGCATCTACAGAATATGACGATTTTCTCATCGCCCAAATATTAAAAGATTTTCCAACTCATGAAGAGGCTGAAGTCCTCATTTCGGCCTTTTTTACATATGCCGAAGCAAACTGGTACTACTTTGATAGGACTACATTTTGCAGTCAACTGTCCGCACTATTTGCCAGTGGGCTTGCCGTATCTGTCGCAGATCCCAAATTCATATGCCTTGCGACAGCCGTATTTGCCCTGGGAAGCCAGTTCGCTCATCTGCACGATGATCATTCCAGCGGTGCAGAAAAACCAAATATAGAGCAGACTGGGATCCCTGGGGCTCGGTTCTTCTCACATGCGCAGCGCCTTATTCCACGGATCATAACATGTCCAGCTTTGGAGGGGGTGCTAAGCTGTCTATTGATAGCCCTATACGCTCTACCAATCCACAACCCCAATATATGTTACACGTACCTTGGCCTAGCCTTGCGAGTCGCCATCTGTCTCGGTCTACATCGAAGATCTGTCGACAACGGTCTACCCCCGCCAGTGTTGGAGACCCGGAACCGCGCATTTTGGACAACCTATAGTATTGAACGGTATGTCCAATCTGGCTTCTCAAGTCCCTCTTTCTTACGGTAGTAGGCGGATAGCTATCTCTCTCGGGTATCCGGAGATGTTGCAAGAAAAGGATATCGATTGCGCCCTGCCCAGGTGGCAAGCAGATCTAGATCCTCCCGGTTCGTGGCAAGCCGAGAGACTCCTGGCGTATACCAAGTTGACTCTACTACTGAATAAGTCAGCTCAATCTAGGTGAGATTTCTATGGCGCTATGCCATAACATTGGCAGCCCCTAGAGCTGGCTTCATATCACTAACACCGCCCACAGACCATTGGACAAACATGCCACAGAAGAAATCCGAAGTCAACTTCTGGCCTGGAAAAACGAGCTCCCAGCCCAACTAACAACACTGGACACCACCACCGTAAGAGTGAATGCGCACCTGCAGCTCCACTACTGCATGGTTTGGACCCAGATCAGCCGGGGGAGTCTCATCAGCAGGGTGCGCAGCGTGCTTTCCAAGGAGAGAGCCCACACAGAAGACATCTCCACCAGCCCAGAAGCCGAAGAACTGTCAAGGCTCTGCGTCGGACATGCAGAGCGAATAATCGACCTCATTGATCTGCTCCGCAATCGCCGACTCCTCAGTCGGTTCTCCCACACTGATTTCCACTCCTGCAGCTCGGCCACGATGATTATTCTCTTGGAGAGTATCTTGCACCCCCGGCTGACGTCCCACACTAGAGTCAGTAGGGCTATGGATGCCCTGCATTTCATGGCCTGTGGCAGCGATTTTGCGAGAAGTATCCTCAAGCATGTGGACATGTTTCAAGCCGCTGTTAACAAAGCTTTGGCAACCATGTTACATCAAGGAGGGTCATATATTGACGACCATGGCGGTATCGATGGCACGAAAATGCCTATTTCAACTTCACGGTTTGAGCAGCTGCAAGCCAGAGATGAAGGCTTACAATGCCTAGGGAACACTCATCCGCGGTATGATACCCCACCCATCGACCGACATTCACAGGAGCCAGATAGAGAACTCGCCAATTACCAAGGGTTTGGTGGGGTCTTTCTCGAAGATATTGGGGCTCTGATAGAAGAGTGTTCGTCGACCGACCTACATATACTAGGGTTCGACGGGCTTTTTGGGTGAAAATAGCACATTAGACTACCACGACGGATGACAGAATCATTAGAATGCCACAAACCGTATTTTAGGCAGATCAACGTGCACTATTGGAACCACTAATAAGTTAACACAGTGCCAGAAAGCCTATTCCGATGCCAATGATACTATATATCAAATCAAGTGGTGTAGTGGAACGGCTTGTCTACCTTATCGGTCACATCCCTCCCAGCCGTCTCAGCTACATGCGAATTGCGGTATTGGGGTGCATAGTCGGTATCCCAGAGCAGCGGCCCGCAAATAGCGCCGACGGCGTAGCCGACGAAGAAGAGGGCATTCGCAATTGCCCGCTTTGTGTTACCTCGTGTGTTCGACGCATTGAGACTGAGGAGGATGGAGAAAACGTTTGAGATGACCGAGGCCTGTTTTTTAACGTGTCAGTTCGGCAAGGTTCTTGCTCAGGGGCCAGAGTGCAGGCCATGCCAGCCAAGACGCAACAATCATCCCCCAGCCTGCTGACAGCGGAAGGACAAAGAGGAGAATGATTCCAGTGAGAGGGACAATGGTCAGTCCGATGATGATGGCACATCGGCGGTTGGGCCAGATCTGGCATAGGACGATTCCAGCCCATATGAAACATGATTTGAGCCGCACCCGACGGGCGAGATATACAGCATTGAATCCAGATTGGCACTGTTGAAAACTGTGTACCGTGGAGTCCAAGCTCCTCGATTATCCCAAAGACGCCAGCATAGCTCAGGCTCTGCTTGTCGAGGTCTAAAGGGGCAGTATCAGGATGTGTGGGCTTCCTAGCGATGGGGATGGAATATTTTGAGAGAAGAATATCAGGCACATCTTGATCGCAGCGCTGTCAGCATTTTATCCCGTTGTGGTGGACAAGTCATTCTGAGGGACTGGCCTACCAGCGGCAGAACAAAACAGTCGACCTTCCTTTTAACACGCTGTCGTCCTCCAGGTCGGTAGCTGGGCGAATATCAGCCTGCGGAGCTTTCTCTTCATTGCATTCTTTCGACATATTAGTGTTTCCGTAAGCGTAGAGGGCGGATTGCATTGTCAACGATGCATTTCCACTCTGAAAGTAATACCGACAAGTTGACGACTTTTATATCCTTCCAGTCCTTGACGAGATATTCCTATATCTAAGAATTGCACCATACCCCGCACTCCAGATTCCTTGAAGACAGTAGGTATCTGCATTGGATGGCATCCCCCGAGCGCCAGACCGTAGTAACCGAGCAGAAGTCCCGTCCAACTATCTTGGCCCGTCTAACATCCTTCGGAACGGACACCATCCTGGCCGATCTCAGTAATTTCCAGCTGTTAACGAGTCCGGCTTTTTGAAGATACCTCCATAACCCGATGATAAGGGTGCGACCGTGCGCATGAGGAAGGCTTTGGATTGGTGCGGGTACAAGGACCCGCACACTAAATGCTGCATGCGGGTACATGTACCCGCATGTATGTCAACGGAGTATAACGGAGACAAGGGCAGAGAGTATGATTCCCTCAACTTATAAAGGAGAACGAAAAGGATCCTTTAGTACTCGTATCACCATCAAGTCATAAAGCACCTTTGCTACTTGATTCCTTGCATCTACATCATGGCAACATCTTCACCTTCCACCCACCCAGATCTCGGCCGCATTATTAAACCATGGCAAGCCGGGCCTCAAAAAACATACATCCTCACGAACGCCAACGTAGTCGACCCTGTCAGTGGAGAGATCACCAAAAATGCCACCGTCACCCTCTCCGGCGGCCTCATTTCCTCCGTCGGCGCCGAACGACCCAATACTGACGACGCCAACGGCATCCGCATCGACCTCCAGGGCAATTATCTATGCCCTGGCCTCATCGATAGCCATGTGCACATAGCTGCTGTGCCCGGATCAGCCAGCCTGCGCGACATGAAAGACCTTAGTCCCAGTCTCAGCCTTCTCCGCCAGCCAACCGTCTGCCAGTCCATGCTGGACCGAGGCTTCACCACCGTCCGCGATTGCGGCGGGGCGTCTCTCGCACTGAAGGAGTCGATTGCGGACGGCGTTTTCCCCGGCCCACGACTCTTCATCGCCGGTCATGCACTGTCGCAGACGGGGGGGCACGGCGATCGGCGCGGCCAGCACGATCCCAACGAATGCTGCGCGGGGCATGTCAACGGCATCGGACGGGTCGTCGACGGGGTCGAGCAGTGTCTGAAGTACGCCCGGGAAGAGATCCGACAAGGCTCCGACTTTCTGAAGATCATGGGCGGCGGCGGTGTCGCCAGCCCGTCGGATCAGATCCAGCATCTCCAGTTCTCGAACGAGGAGATCCGAGCCATTGTCACGGTGGCCGAGAACATCGGCACGTATGTCACATCGCACGCGTATACCCCGCAGGCCATCCAGCAGGCCGTCCGCGAGGGCGTCAAGGGCATCGAGCATGGGAATCTGCTCGACGAAGAGACAGCCCGGCTGATGAAGGAGAAGGGCGTCTTCCTCACGCCGACGCTGGTGACGTACGCGACGATGGACTCACCCGAGTTCCGCGGGTTCCTGCCCCCGGCCTCTGCGGAGAAGAACAGGGAGGTGCTGCATAAGGGGCTGCAGGCGCTGAAGCTGGCGAGCGACGTCGGCGTGGATGTGTGTTTTGGAACGGATCTCCTGGGCCCGCTCCACTTTGCGCAGAGTAGGGAGTTCTCGATCCGGAGTACTGTGCAGACGCCCCTTCAGATCTTGCAGTGTGCTACTGTGACGCCTGCGCGAATGCTGCGACAGGAGGGCTTTCTTGGTCGGGTGGAGGTGGGGTTTGCGGCGGATTTGGTGGTCTTGAATGAAAATCCGTTGCATGATATTACGGTGTTGGATCGGTTCGATCGCCATCTTCTGGCGACGATCAAGGACGGAAGGGTGGTGGCTTCGAGGTGGAGTCAACTTCCTGTCGAGGGACGATGAACTTTCTCCAGGTGCTAGCGCCTCAGATGATATTTAGAACAGTGTAATTGGAATCAGTGCCGTCATCTTGGTTGGCTCGCAAGCTCCTGCGGATGCGAGGGTTCCGCAGAGACCAGGATTGGTTGACACTACAGAATGCCTTCCGCAAGACTAATAGTATCGATTCTCCAATCCGATACGCGTGTCGAGTACTGCCTTAGAATGAAATGATGAGGATCTGGGTCTCATAATTATTGTAMTTTCCTTTGTCGTAGAATAGTTTGATGCTATTTACTTGACTCCTGTTGCTATAAGGCAAACCATAACTATAACTGAGAGCCATGGAGAGTCTGTTGTGGTGCCAGGGAGGTTGCCTTGGCAGAGTCTCTGGCGCATGCAGCACATCAGTCCGTCAGATCAAGATGACCACCTTGCTGCTACGTATCAGAGACTTGAGTGCCTTCCTTGCATCAACGTTTTCACATCATGGGTGGGATCACCTTTCGGGGCCTAGAATCATGCCCTGTCAGATTGAAAATCCACGATGAGTTTATATTTTGCTTTCTTTGGTGATGAAATAAACACAGAAAATAAGTCGATAAGCTGAAATATTCTATATTTCTCTCCATGTCTCTGCAATTTGTTTGCCCTCGTAACACAAGACCGCCATCATCTATGCGATGAGCAGCCTAGGGAATGCTCCACCTCCTGGTCCCCTGTCCTCTATACCCAAATCGTAGACCCTTATAGATTGATACCAATTTTCCGAGAAGATCTAGGTAATGCAGCGTAGAAACTCCGTTGAAATAGTATGATAATGAGGCAAAACGCGGCATCATATCTTCACATATGTATGAGTAGCAACAGTCAGAACAGAAGGAATAAATAAAAGGCCGGCCCTATGTGAATTAGTTGTTTTTCATACCACTGGGCAGGAACCCTGAGTTATAAATGTACTGCTGTAGGCAGTCTTTTTGCCAACCCTTCCAAAAAAAACCCAGAGGAAGGCCGAATGGTGTTACAGGAAATGTGGTCCATGACCAGCAGGCCAGTAAACGACCTAATTATTCCCAGGGCAACAGATCTTCTGCAGAGAGCAAGCTGAGCTCCTAGGAGCATTTTATGCACTCCTGAGAATAAGGTAGATAATTCTAAGCATACCACTGCTTGTATGATACCGAAACCCATTCGCGAGAAGCTCACTACCGTGCGGTAATTCAACATAATGATAATCCTTTCTCTCAGTAGTCTATCCCAGATAAACACAAAATAATTATAAATATTCGCAACTGTCTTGCTCGGTTCATACTGATACCGTGATTTTAACCTACCATAACTCAGAAGAGTTCTCCAGAAGTCCACAGCAGAACAGCCACTGGCTAGCCAAAGGACACCCACGCACTTATGTATATTGTCTGACGGCGAATTTAGTAGAATCTGAAAACTGAATATAGCAAAGGAAATGACGGTTCTCGGCCTGCATGTCCAGTTTAACCTTTTCTAACTGGTTGGAACATTACGCTGGGAATCATTGCAGGTGCAGATGCTCGTGGATAGAGAATCCTTTTGCATTGCTACTGCATTTCTCAACTGCGGCCAAACCGGTAATTACGCATGCCCTGACATTATTTTCGGAACATATCTAGCTTGCAAACAGGCGTTGTTGAGCCTTGAGATTGCAGTATACAACCGCCCTTTGATTATGCCTATCTAGTCTTGAAGTCTTGGAGTATTGGCACCTCAATTATTATTGAAGGAATTTTAGGTTACCGCTAGTTAGATACTTCAAGACGTTTTATAAATCTAGGGAAAGATCATAAGATCAGCTATAGGAAACCTAGATAAAGCTTGCAATTATGCACTGAACAGTGGTAAGAATGCTGTGTGTAGTGGTGGTTCAGTGATTATTGATGTCAATGTAATTCTCTAGTAAGAGGAACTAAAGCTTGATTAACTCGCTACTACAACACGCCGAACAAATCAGACTTTTTTAGAAATTGAGAGCTTTCCGTTGCAAGAAGGTGCGACATGCTTAGCCATGAATCTGATAATGATTGTCCTGTGGTCAGAGTATTACCCGATGGTGACCAGTTACAAGACTGGGTTAATCCTAGCAACCACTGGATGCTCCGCCCCGAACCGTGTCTCCATGACCACCTGCATTGGCACGATCGAAGACCGAGCGAGTACCAGAGCCGTAGTGCGAGGAGTACGAGGTGCCAGATGTACACCCTCCTGTGTGCCAACCGCCAATGTTACCCACCACATTGCCGTGTTTGGAGTGAGAGTCATAGTTGGCAATCCATGGAGACCCGCTGGTGCCGCCTTTGAACGGACCACAATTGAAACCTAGCTGGCCAGCCTTAGCCTCATACGTGTCCACGCGACACTGTACAGGCTTTTGTTCCTTGTCATTGTAGCCCACGACTTCGACATTATACTTGTAGCCCCCGTCGGTGATCAATTTGTTACCGCCGACGACCGACTGGACATTGACAGACTTGCCATCATGTTTGCCTTCGCCGAGAGTCAGAAATGCGAAATCGTACTCAATATCGTGGTCCTTGTTCCAGTTGGGGTGGACGTAGGCCGCGGTGACGGGGTATATCCCATAAGGGGCTTCGCCGTCATGGTAACCGGGGGCAAAGTGGAGGTTTGTGCCCGTGCCGCTAATGCAATGACCAGCGGTCAGAATCACATTGCCATGCGTACTTTGAATGACGCTGGCCGTGCAGTAATGGTCTTGGATGTTGCCGCTGAACAGGACGCCGACTGAGGGAATGCCGTTGGAATGAGTAGCCTGGCCAAGGACATGGGCCGCGAGTGAAAGGAGCAGAATCGCTGAGGTCGACATTTGGAGAGACAGTGTCAAGGATAGTAGGAATGACGAGATCAAGGGTAAGAGGAACTCGAGGTATGAGCAATACTAGAATATTCAAGGAGATTGAGGGCTATGAGGGTCTATTTATGTCTTTGTCTGAGTTCAGTTGAAGCGATGGTAGGATCAGATCAGGAATGAAAGCCATGGGACATAATGACCAGGGAGAATGCAACTGTGGCATCGAGCATCCATGCATTTCCTATTTCAGCAAGTATCGTATTCGTCCTCAATAGCGGCAATACGAGGATGCTCCGAGAACAACCCCAATACGAATGACCCTACAAGGAAGATGACCATTTATAGCAATGCAGAAGCGGCAAAGTTCTAGGATCATCGTGTTTGACCCAGTAGAATATGAGCATGGGACCTAGTGCAGAAGAACCCCTGTTAAGAGCGACGACAAGGAAGCTTGCCAGAACACAACAGTCAGCACTAAGCAAGTAGGGCTCGTATAGGCGGAGATTGAGTCGTATGGAAAAGCTTCCACTGTCTGGTGTGAGCTTAGAAGCCACGCTTTGATGGCCAAGCGTGAGCTCCAAAAACGAAAACAAACAAATGGTAGCGTGATCTTTCTGTGGCTACATATTACCGCATAACTGCAGTCTCTGAGCTTTTTGCATGAAACTGAAGAATACAATGTCAAGCAGATTTAGCTCCACTGTACCTCTTGAGAATGGCTCCAAAAAAAGGGACAGAAGGAAGACTTGTCGTATCCATCTGCTACCATGATATTAATTTAGCAATACTACTGTGCAAAAGATATTATCAACACGAGGAGGAGACACAGGTGGACCCACTTGCGAGGTTGTGATATGATGTCGCTTGTGCTTCAGGGATGGGACGCCATCAACGGCAGGCTTCAACACAGTTGACTCCCATGGAAATTGAGCTTTCCGCACCAGAGGCTCGGCCTGTCAGTCGAAGTGTTGCGACAAAAACAAATTCCGCTTTGAGGTGCTTTCCAAATGAAATGCTCCTGTTTATTGCCGAGAGCCTCGGCTGTGCCCACGACATTTTGTCCTTTGCTCAGGTCACTAGGAGAAGATATGGCCCGCTGCTGTCGACGCTCTCTCTAGAGATAGAAAACGCAGTACATGTGGAATCAACGCTGAAATGACCACACTTGTGGCTACATACAACGTTTCCGCCTCGGCAAGATGTGAGCCGCTCCTTCAACATAGCCTAGACGACGCGGATGAGAGGCTAGTTGATATGGCATTTCCTGATTCCTTCTAAATTGCATACACCATATATGATGGTTCTGTAATCAATAATACTTGGCTGCGCTAAAATTGATGCTTGTCTCACCAATAGTCTGCCCCTGGCTAAGGGCTTCGAACTTGAGCACACCCTCACGCGCACCAAAGGTGACTTTAAGCTCATAGCTGAGTTTATACACGCGCTCGTCCTTGATCACTTTCGATGGAAACATCGCCAAGTCCACATTGGAAAAGTCCACAATGATGTCGCCAACCGTATACACAGCTGTGGCCTCGTTAGATGGGAGGATACGCTTCGAAGTCTATGAGACCAACCTCTGTCTTCCTGCCGCTCCGGAGCTTCCGCCATATCGCATGCGTAAAATGTGTCGAATTTCCTCAGCGTCGAATCTTCATAGTGCGTACGGTATACTGTTACGGTGTTCGTGTAATTATCCGTGTATGTGGCTCCCTATTCAATGACTATATCAGCACGTTCCGCAACCTGTGGTCCAATAGGGCCGATTCAAGAGCACCCACCTTAGCAATCATCCATTTCATGATGCCAGACACCATCTTTTTGCCACTATAGGAATCATAGTAGGCATTACGTTCACTGTCGATTCCAGCACGGAAGCGGTTGCCCCAACTGAAGCCGTAGTGTCGACGGCATCGCTTCGTCGTTGATTGGAGACCCTCCAAACCACGTAGTGCAGCTCCTTGGACAATGGCAGCTTGTCTAKATTATGTAACAATTTAGGTGTCTCGAAGTACATCATTTTCGAAAGAGGACAATGCTTACGGACTATCAGGGACGGTGATAGTGATCTTGCCCGTAGACCCAAACGAAGTTCTGAAGGCTTTGCGAAGATACTCGGAGTCGCCAAATCCGCCAACCAAAACTATTCTCTATTCTTCGTTAGTACCTGTGTTATCAAATCAATGGAAAGATGAACTGAGGGATGTTCATGGATGCAAAGCCAAGGAGTGGCTGTCTACTTGCGGAAGGGCAGAGGGAAGAGATCGGTCACAAGCATACATTAATGATATCTTTGCCAGTCTCCTTTCTAGCATCAGCGATCTGCTGTCGGACTAGACTGACGATTTGCTCTATGACAGGATCAAAGATGGAACGCAAGTCAGCACTAAGACGAGTCAGCAGCACATTGATCGAGTTGAGCAAGGGTTCTTAACCTGGAAATAAGGACTAATCGCTCCTCTTCATCGAAGAACTCTGGATCTGGGTTAGCCACTGTCATATTCAGAGGCAACTCGAAAGTGGTCTCTTCGTCAGAATTTCCAAAGTCTCTCTTGATGATCTCAAATTTTTTCATAAATTCACTGCCAGGGCCCTTTCGTTTCGTGGGTAAGTTGTCGAATGCATCGCCGAAACGGTCCGACATCAGCTTGTAGAAGTTGCGGTCGACTGCGGTTGACCCGCACTTGCCTCCTAAAGTTCATTTAGAGATAGGCCTGCAAAGACCAAAAAGCTAATGGAGGAGATATACCGATTCCTGTGCACAGTTCCTCGAACTTCAGTTTTGGGAAGACCTCCAGGACCAAATATGTAGTAATGTCCTGACAAGTGAGCATCTGAGTAATTCAGCGCCTCCATCAATAGCCCTTACCACAGTGCCACCGCCACAGTCGCAGACAAGAACTCCATCTCCTGCCTGAAAACGGTAATGAGATACTAATCTCGAACAAAGTAACAAAGACTTGCGCTGACCTTGACAGATCCTCCCATACTACTGGTTGTGTACTTCTTCAGCGCTGTGACCGCCGCTGCTTCCGGCTCGCTGATCAGAAATATCTGGTCCATTGGCCGCAGGGAAGTTTTCCCAAAGCCAGCCCGTTGAGCAGCAGTCCTTGTAGCATCCAGTGCCCGATCAGACCAAATGGCAGGGACAGTGAACCAAAACTCGAGTGGAGTGATAAGCAGGTCTGCCTCTGTGATATTTTTGGAGATAGTTTTGAGTATATGCTGATAAACTTCGGATAAATAGTCAGCAACGACATCAACCGCTGATTTCCCTTCTGGCAGTTTCAGAATGCCAGTCTTGGAAGCGGTTTCAAGGGTACTATCATCATATTGAGTTAGAGGGGCGCCCTGGTCCAGCAGCAATTTTGTCCAAGAGTATGATGACATCCCAGGCTCGACCTGGTAACCCCAGCGATTCGTTGTAACACGTGAATTGTTTTCGGCGGCATATGCAATCCGGGACGGCGCCTTGAAGACGGTCTCGGTATCCCTCGAGGGACCGGGCCAGGTGCTGATAAGTATGATATCGCTTAAACCGCTTCCTTTGGAGCTCACGTAGCTCGCTCCTTTGCAGCCCTTTGTTAGTTATATGTTCGGTGGAGGCAGATTATAAAAATAATAGTACCTGTGAACGTGGTGCCATAGTCGACCCCCACGATTATCTTGTGCTTGGAGTCGAGGGCAAGCGAGCTAAGCTTGCTGACGATTGCTCTATCGTAAGACATCCTAATGCTTCAGCTCGGAGTGAAGGTTGGAATAGGCGATGAAAAAGAGCTGCTCTTTGCTAAGCGGGAAATGGGGAAATCCCTTTCCCCTCCTACTACCCCTTGAGTATTATCGTATTCTAGTTCTGCGACCCACGCATTGCTGCGGGTAAGCCTTTACTATTTTGGGCAGGAGACAGGGTTAGATAATTCGCGCCAATTGTTTAGAGCGATCCCGGTGGCTTAGCGGATGGTCGAGCACTTCCTCAGCGCCCGCCATGAGCATGCCCAGTGGAGGAAGTCCTGCGACCAATTTTCCAGTCAACTTAGCGTATCCTTTGGGATAAAATTCCCCAAGGTCCCGCACAAGATAATCTTTTCAAAGATTCTCAAGACGAATCACGATCAGACTTTACGACCAAGCCAGTTGTTTTAAGGCGAGAAATGGACGTGACCGGTAACACGACGGAAGGCAAGGGAGTTTCCGCAAATAGACGAACCCGCCGAATGGTGAGATACAATACTTCTCACTCGCTCAACTTTCGCAATCTCATCGCTCATGGTACAGGTACCTACCCAAGGCGCGCGACGAGTTCATGATAGGGACCTCTCTCCGAGAGAAAGGGATATTCGGAAGGATCACCATTCAACATCTCCTTCTCAGAAAGGGGGAAGTAACTGGGGAATGCCAAGTGCTTGGAAAAAGGTGGGCTAGCGACTAGCCACTCAGTACAGGATTGTTGCTTATTATAGGGCAGATAGGGCAGGTCTTGTCGCCGTGGGGATCAGATTCTCCGAAAGATCCGTTACCATCTTCTACGGAGCAACTAAGTGCTGAACACAGAGCCTTGCCACAGCCTGCTCAAGAGGTTCCGTTGTCTCCAGTCACGCTGAATGAAGATGGCGATAACTTAAAATATGAAATCCATCCAAGCGATGCCGAATACCATCTTCAAACATGCCAGCTGAAGGCTCAAATTGACCAGATGGACGCGGAAACAGCCGATTGTTTCAGAAAAGCGAGGCTGCGATCCGACGGCTGGAGGATGAGTTAACCACATACAGGACACATATTAGCCAGCAAGAAGTTGAACTGGCCCACCGGGATGCGGTTATTCAGAAACTCCAAAACAACCTAGCTCAGATAGAGGATAAGCACCAAAAGCTGGAGGACATAGTTGTTGCACGGCAAGAAAATGCTCTCCAGTCAATGGCAGCAAACAATGGATACATTCCTAAGGAAGACCAGTCCATTAGGGATGAGCTGTCCAAATTGACAGAGAGCATACGGTCCTGGGCCAAGAAACACTGTTTGCCTTCCCTTGCAGATTTTGAGGATGTCGCCGAAATCGAGAAGGATATGGTCATCCATCAATTGACCGAATGCTGCTCTCAACAAGATTGGAATTCAATGATGAAGGATATCTCTATCCCACAGAATAAAATCCCAATGGTCCTCTTACACGCCTTGTTAGCGAAAGACTTGTTCGGAAGAATGTTTACAGATCCCTTTTTTGCGTTCCCAAAGATTGACGGAGATCACAAAATCTCTGCAGCAGGGTACTTTCAAAGAATATACCACATCATGATCAAAGGTACGTAGGATATATCAATGCTATGGCCTCAGATGGAAGCTAACAGGAACTGGCTAAGCAGCTGATGAGCAAAAAGCGCACATTTGGCGCTCGCAGACATTGCAAAACCTTTCCACCACAAGGGATCCCAACGCAGAGGCCTTTTTACAGGGCATGACCAAGAAGCTAGTGTATGGGCTTGTAAACACATTCCTGACCAGTCCCGCTCGCACTCTTCTTCGTAAGGTTGGAAATAATGATGCTGTCAACCAAAGGGGCCGAGAGCTCCTGTCATTGTATGATGGGGCGGCACAGCTGGCACTCTCCCTCTGGACCCAACGGGCTTTCATGAGCTGCCCAAACCTGCGAGAGCTACCAAGGTTTACAGTTTCAAACCCAATGATGCGCGCCCATCGGCTCCATCGTCTCGACGAAGATGATACAAGGCTGGACGGGAAAAGGATACTTCTTTGTGTTCAGCCTGCCGTCCTAGCCTTTGGTTCCGAAAATGCCGAGGACTACAACCAGCACAAGGTATGGTCTCCAGCAGTTGTGGTAATGCATGAGAAATAATCCTTAGGATGTCGTACTATTTATTATTAGCTTGGCGCGACGACCGCCCTAGTATTAGTGCATCTCGTCAGGTTAATATGATTGGGTTACTCACTCAGCGGTTCCATTGGCAAACAAAACATGCCCGCCTTCTTGTCCAATGATTTATTCTAAAGAATATCCCCTAAAAATGAACCTGGTCGATTTAGTTCTGGTATGTAACATGTTGCCGTGGAAGGAAATGCAAGTTGACTGCGCCGCAAACCAACTTTGGAGCCACCAAGGCAGATTTTGTCGGAGACAAGTGACACTAGCTCACCAGAGTGGGCGAGAGACCCAGAGGCCGTTATGGTCACACGATGTCTCCTATTGTATCTCAACGTTTCGGCGAGCTGCGATACCACCCTGCATCCACGCAACTAAAGCTTGCGAAAGGGAATCATCATTACTCAGTAAACCGTTATTGTGGTACCTTACATCCACGACTCCCCAATGGCACCATTGTCCCTTGAGCAGGCGCAGGCGATTGTGGACGACATCCGGGTGACAAACGGTGGCTTCCGTCCCGAGGTTCAGAAAGCGCTGTCCGAAGAGGCACTGAAGGCCTTCAAGAATCTGCAGACTATAGCTGGAAGTGCGATTGTACACGTGGCAGAAGACCTGTACGACGCGGACACACGGTTCATCTTCGAGCTTATCCAAAACGCGGAAGATAATTGTTATGGCCATGCTGCTAGTCAAGCGGAGGAGCCATTTCTTCAGTTCACTCTACATAAAGATCATATAACTGTGGACTCAAACGAGGACGGCTTTACTGAGAATGACGTGCGGGCCATATGCAGCATTCACCGGAGTTCAAAGAAACAAACAGGCGGCTATATCGGCCACAAAGGCATTGGCTTCAAATCTGTGTTCAAGGTTGCATACAAAGTATCTATCCAGTCAGGGCCATTTTGCTTCTTCTTTGAGCACCGCCAGGGGGAGAGTGGGTTAGGCATGATCACTCCGTTCAACGAGAAGCCTCGGGAACTACCTCCTAGTGTGAAAACCCGAATAACCCTCTTTCTTACAGACGGAGGCGACTTTGAGCGTCGTGCTTCGGAGCTAAGGGAGATCCCGGACACGATGCTGCTCTTTCTCCGTAAACTGCAGAAGCTCACGATTGAGATTCCCCCCCTGCAGACACTGATATCTTTCAGGCGCAACGAGGACTTATCAAAGCACTTGGTTACACTTACCAAAGAGATGAATGGCGAACGACTGAGGAAATTTTACCATCTTGAAAAGACCACCCTTTCCAATCTCCCACAGCATCCCAGTCGCCCTGGGCAACCCGAGGTTGACCTAATCCTGGCCTTCCCAGTGAAGGAGGACTTCAGTCCTCTCATTGAGGCCCAGTATGTGTATTCCTTCCTCCCGATGCGTCATGAGGGATTCAATGTGAGTAATTTCTTTTGCCCAGGACTCTGATCAAAGACGGTCCGCTAATATCCAAATAGTTTCTCATCCAATCGGACTTTATCACACAAGCTAATCGACAAGGGGTCCATCGTTGCGATAGAAATTATGCTATCCGCGACGGTATTAGCGAATTGTTTCTCCAGGCCGTCGCCTACTTCTGTAAGCACACGTCGCTCAGATATGAATGGCTACAGTATCTTCCGGGGACGAACATACACGACCCCTTCTGGGCTGACCTTCGAGAGATGATTTTCGACCGCCTAAAGGAATCCAGAATTCTAATTTCCCGAAGAGGTGTTTTGAAATACCCAAGGAAGCTTCAGCACCTGTCATCACAGCACTGCGATCATCATGGTCAACCTCTGTTGGACGATATCGAGCCTGAGGTTTACCTGGCGCAGTCATACATTTGGACTAAACATGCTGAGAATTTGACCGATCTTGGTGTGACAAATCTGTCTTACGAATCCATCTTGGATCGTTTGGAACCATACCTCGAGGGCCCATCACCAAGGTTCCTAGATTCGAGTTTAGACGACGATTGGCATACCAAAGTTGCAACTTTGCTTCTGCGCGCTTTAAAACGGCAGCCAGCACGCTCCTCTCTGACTGAACGAATAAGAAAAATGCCCCTCATCCCCACTTCAGACGGGTCCCTGTTGCCAGCTCGGTCTTCTGCAGTCTATTTCCCAGATGATATGAGAGGGATTCCTATACCCGAGGGCCTGAAAGACATACGAATCGTTCAACGGAGTGTGCTCGAAAACAAAGCAAGACGAGAACTCATTGAAACATTGGGAGTAGCACATTGCGAGCCAAGCAGAGTAGTGAGGTCTATTCTGAAGCTGTACGATGTACGCCATGGGGTCACGCTAGAGAAATCAGTCAGCCACTTGAGGTACCTCTTCAGGACCCTGGGGAAAGATGAAACCCTAGACAATCGCATCTTCATCATGGACAAGACTGGAAAACGGGTTTACCGTGCTTTTGTCACTTTGGGTGCCGAGATTATCAAGGACGACTTATACTTCGAGACTCTGGGAGAATATGGCACCAAACACCTCGCTCAGGACTTGCAGTGCGGGGTCGACCAGCAGAGTTGTCCTCCCTTTGAAATGCATATTATCCACCGCGCATATATTGAGGCTGTACCACCCGGGACCGTCAGTAATGGGCGCACTTGGGAGCAGTGGCTGGAAGAAGTGGCATTGGTTCGCCGCATCCCAAGGCTAAAAAGTCCCCGGACAGATGGATTATCCACGCTGTGTCAGCACATGGCAAAATATCGCCCCATGACCCTGATAGGAATATTGAGAACATACTGGAGCAGCTTCCAATCAGATCTCTCACCGGGCGTGATCAAGGCCTTGAAAAACATGCAAGTTCCTTGTCGGAATCACTCCCAGGCCCGTCTCCAATATACTTATTATCCATCCAAGGAGATGCAGCAGTTATGTTCCGACGCAACTGTCGAGGAGATTTTCGACAGATTCATTGATATCCCTGCTAACTTAGCAACCGATGGTATCGAGGGATGGGAGTTCTTAGCCTCATTTGAGGTGCATCTAGAGGAAGATATTGACTTTTTTTGGACAATTCTCTGCTACCTAGAAGAAAAAGCCACTCATAACATCCAGACACAGGCCGCCTTCTTCAGAGTGTATAAGGAGCTCTTCATTCGGTTTCCCGATGATCCCGTCAGATTGCGGGAGTAAGTATTTCCCTCAACCGCTGAGATTACCAATGTTAACCAACTTCATGTAGGATTTTCACGGGTCGTGAATATGTCTGCATTCCCGCATGTCCAGGGGAGATTCTAAAGTTAGCATCTCTCGAAGAGTGTGTCTGGAACGGACATCCCTCTCTTCGGACGAAGCATCCTCTTGCTACTCACCCGGAATACTCCAACGACCCACATGTATCATGTTTTTTCAAGGATATACTCTCTGTTCGTGATGCGGACGTCGGCACGTACATCGAGGAGCTTCAGTGGCGCAAAGAGAACGCGGATGTTGCTCTGGATGACCTGAAGACAATTTACAGCTGTATCTCGCAGAATATACAGAAACCTGATGATGACGCTATGATACTGTACGAGTTATGCATATGACATGAAAGTCGGTACGGGGCTAATTGAATCCTAGGCGCAAATTCACTGAACAGAAACTGGTCTATCTTCCGACAGAACAATCTTGGGTGACGCCTGAATCCTGCGTATGGGCAGACGCTCCAAAAATTGGAGTACAGTATGGCATCAGCGCTGTATACCTGGAGCTGGAGAGCTTCTTCCGCGGTCCTCTGAATGTGCAGACTCCGAGAACAGCGACCTACATCGAGCAACTCAGGAGGTTAGCATCTAGTGAGGTTGTGGATATTGGTGCGGTCAAAACTGCCATCTATAACCTCAATGCGCTGCGGCCAGGGGCAGATGAGCTCATGGGTCTTTCACACCTTAAGTTTTTGCCGGTAGCATTGCCCAGTGGAACTGTGGAGATACTAAAACCCACCGATACATTTTTCATTGCAGACAGAGTCGAATATCTTGCTGCTTTTCGGGACAAAGTTCCCATTCTGGACTTTGCTCTTGAAGAAGGCAGGCGGTTGCGCCACCTCCTGGGAAGTATCGGTCTGCAGAACCGATACATGTCAACAGCAGTCCAGGAGCAGACTGATGTCGATCAGCCATCCCACGAGCACTGCTCCAGGGAAACACGGGAGTTCCGCAAAAAGGCGGCACACATTTACCGGTAAGTTTAGTAGCCGGAGTTGCCCGAGACGTTTGCTAAAAAGACTATAGTTGCATCTTACATTACAGTGAGGAAGGACAAGAAACTGTCGGCCAGAGGCTCCGGCAATTGCAAAATGTACTTGTCTATGAAAGCGCTGGTTTTAGAAAGACACTTGTTCTTCAGTTAAACGAAGTGACGGCGAGAGTACAGAGTGATAGGGGCTCGGTGCATATCGAGGACGTTAATGCTGTCTTACACATTTACATTCCCAGAGACCAGAGTGACCGTCGACGCTGCTACAGCCGTGACCTTCCCCAAACCCTGGGGCGTTATTTTGGACTTAAGAGGGACTCCGCAGCATATTTCGCATTGATTTTTCTCGCTCCGGAGGACTTGATTGGTGAATGTCTAGATGGCTATGGGATTGTTCGGGTTTCTCCCGACATCGCTATACAACCAGAATCTGAACCTACAGACACGACAATCTCAGACGGTCGTATTGAAGGGGGCGACGTTTTCTCTGGATCGGACGATGCTCAGGAGAGTGAGGAGGGTATGTACACACCACGGGATACACCACGCGCAAGCCCTGAAGCCGCAGTAGAGCTACCGAGGACAATAGTCACTCACAACAGGACGTCAGCTCCACCCCCGCGGCCTTTCACTGTTCCTTATCCCGACTGGCCGTCCCCGGATGGAGTTCCCAGGCCTTTCACTGAGCATCATCCGTATATTCAGCTTTTAGACAAAGTCATCAGACTGGCTCGTCCGCTCACACTTTCTGAAGTTCTGCAACGCCCAATGAACACAGTGGGGGGTGGTGCAAATACTTCACATGAATCAGCCTTCGGGGTCCGATCTGAGAATCAACTTGCACACGATATCAAGATCGGTGCTGCTGGAGAGTTATTTGTCAGACTCGCCCTCCTACATCCCTTCCGTTGCAATCAGAAGTAGCTAACTCGTAATATTCTAGGTATTTGAGCTCTTGTCGTCGTCAGATCTTCCAGGGTTTAGCCGTGACAACTGGCGCAGCACCATTCGCAAGCATATCTGCGTCCATCCCGACTACCACGACCTTGCACCTTGGTATGGCTTTGAGACTGCCGACATAGTCTACCGCGACACAAGCTCAGTCTTAACCACAACCTTGATTGACGCTGGGTACTTGCCTCACGCACGGTGGCATGGTTCAAATCCAACGTACTATATAGAAGTGAAGACGACTACTGAGGAGTGCGACAGTGCTTTCTTCATGAGTAAGAGCCAGTACAGACGAGTAAGTTTCGGCACCCTAGGTCCTTTATCGTGCCCTTCAATAGTCTTTACTAACAGTCACCCATAGATGCAGACAATGTGGACTGATCTTAACGTGGGACTGGAAGAGCCAGATATCTACGTCGTTTTCAGAGTTTACTACTTGGGCAAGGAGAGCATGGGGTTGAAAATATACGTCGATCCGGAAAGTCTACGACAAGAGCAGAGGTTGATTTTCTCGACGGAGTCATACAGTGTTTATCCTAGTCTGGCTGCATAGTTGTGAGCAACCTAGCATCTGGGAAGATTAGCTTAACTATGTGTGTCCGTTCTGACATAGGCGACCAGTCAAACCTTAATGAATTAGCAAAAGACAGTCGACAAAATATACGTTCAGCCTCAGCGGCTGTTGCCGTTCAAAGTGGTTCTCTGGGAAGCAGGAGTTAGATAAATGTAATCTCTTACCAAGTACGGTAGTACAGTACTCTAGATCATTTAGTTAATGAAACCTGGCACTCCGTCCACACATCTTTGGCATCACCAACAGTCTGATTCGACCCTCGTAAGTTTGTGCGCAAGCATGAGTTCACTCCTACTGGCTACTTCTTGCCGGCGGAGCATCATTCCACAACATCTCCATTTTCCATACAGGTATCTAGGTATTTGTTCACACCATTTGTCACGAATCCTACTTTCCCTAGTCAGGCTTCAAACTAATTCAGCACGCAGACCTTCCCTAGTATATTCTATTACTAATCTCATGATATTGCGACGGCTAAGCCCTAGAACCGTGGGGATCGAACAAGATCCTCACCAATCATCTGCTCAATGACAGTCGTTGGTGTATGGGAGAAACAGCTAATCTCATGGCAGATCTGGAGATCGATGGCCTCTATTACGTCGGAGGCTTGTGTGTCCTCGGCGGGATCAAGACCTGAGGCCTGGACCGAAATGGGTTGTTCAGGCCAGGGTATCAAGAACAAGTCATACCAGACCCAGCATGTTCGACCTGATTGCACTTGCTCTTTCGCTGGAGTTTCCATTTCTGAGCTTATCGCTGTGATTTCCAAGGGTGAGACTTCCTTGGTTTCATGGACCCCAGACGCCGGACTAAAACTGGTTGCATATAACCCCCAATCCAAACAGAAATACGTGGCAATCTCACACATGTAAGGCAACCTACTTTTTTCTGCCTGAAATCTCTGTTACTGACAACCCACCACTTCAGATGGTCGGATGGTATGGGCAACGAGAATGATAATGCACTACCCGAGTGCCAGCTCTCTAGGATTCAAGGCCTCCTCGACGAGTTGGACTCTACCACACGGCCCGATGAGCCCCGAAATCGAGTTTTCGGCCCCCAAGTCTTTTCTGAGAGCAGGAGTCCAGTGGATCGATCAGTTGGATTCTGGATGGACACCCTCTGTATTCTGTCGGATGAGAGAAGCAACGAGAAGCCAGAGTACAAGGATATCCGTGATAGTTCCATCAGCAACATGCGGAATATCTATAAGGGCGCGCATCGTGCCCTCGTCCTTGACAAGTGGATTCAGGAGATCGACCTATCAGCCGACGTCATCGAGAAAGTTGCGCGGCTCTACTTATCAAACTGGCAACATCGGCTGTGGACTTTACAAGAGGGTGTCCTGGCGCAGAACCTTTTCTTCCAGTTCAACGATGGTCAACTGGAGCTCGACGACCTGTGGCGCGAGGAAGTACACTACAAGGAGAAAGTTCCTGGCGTCTACAGCGGGATCGTTCGGACAATGTTGCCCTTAATTCCTATCTCTAATCCGATATTGAAGGACGGCGAGGAAGGCGATAACTTGGCACAGAAATTTACACGTCTCCTGGGAGGCATGGCCAACCGCAAAACCAGTAAAACAAAGGACGAGCCTGGTTGCATTGCGACTTTCCCTGGGGAGAATCCGGGACCCATCCTCCAATTTCGGACTGGCGATGAGCGAATGCAGTGTCTTATCCGAATGATCGGTTCATTCCCTCGGGAGCTGGTTTTCAATGAATTGCCCCGGCTACCGTTCGAAGGGTTTCGGTGGGCACCGAGGTCTTTCATCGGGCAATCGAAATCCATCTGGGCGAGAAACGAAGGGTTGTCCGAAAATACTAAATCACACAAGCTCTCCACATATGGTAGCTTACGCCATCATAAACGGGGAGGATTTCTTGCGCAATTCCCAGGTATCATTTTGCATCAAGGCAGAACCGCTCCCGAGTGATTTTTTGCAATCAGACCCACCACGGAGCAAACTGTCCGGTACGGTGTCCTCCTGGCGCTAGATGACAGGGATGACCATCCGGAGTGGAATTCCTCTCAAACATCTGCAATTGTCCTGAGCGGAGAGGTTCCAAATAACGGCCAAGAAGTGGCAGCCATCTTTGGCATTGTGAGACCCCGCGACGAGGGGGTTCGAATCCTACAGCAATTGTGTGTGGCAAGGCTCAAACGACTGATTACCTCTCCACTAGGGAAGACCCCGTACGTTCTCCACACTTTGGCTGAGTAGTATGGTGACTACTTTGAAGGGGACGCCGATCAGTATGACTCACACATTGCAGGAGAGTGGATTGGAGAGGACGAGGAATGGTGCATTGTATGGAATCCAAAGAAGTGTCGTAAAATAGCTAGCAGAGACACCAACTAGGACTGACGCCTTTGTTCATCTGGATTCTCCTTACTAAATTGTCAAGTTGACACCCTACTTTTTGAGAGAACCACGGATTTGATATTTCTTCCAGCATATTTTACCTTCGCCTATTTTCACAGCTTTATTAAAATGTACGCCCTTTTTATATGCAGAGCATAGCGTGGGCTGGGAGGGATCTCGATTCCATGAATGGGAAGATCAAACGAGATTCATGCTACTGCCAAAGCAGGTGGGAGAGCTTGTCAAGGTTATGCGGTCTAGAAATCCTGCGACAGATCTGAGGAACTGAGCATCCCGAATTCCGATAGCGCTATAAATAGATCTCAAAAGACCCTGGCCCCTCAATGATCTTATAGGCTGGCGGACACGAGATGAAGCCTTGGCTAAGACATCCTGACGTAGTGATGTGGGTTGAAACTGACATTTAAGAAGCCCTGAATCATCAATCATGGTCCTTATAGAAGTCACCATTCTTTCTGAAGAGAGACATATGCGCCGTGATTTTGAACAGTGAGCCAGTAATATACCTAGTCATCAAAGGATGGGTTCCATCACCGCAAGCCCCGTTGCCTCCGATCTTGAGCTGGCAGATTTAATAGACATTGAGATCGACCAGGATATTCCATCGGATGCCCTCACTCGTGTTCTTAGCGAGCCACCGTTCCGGATCGTTGAAGGGGGTTTCAATCTCCGCGATTTAGGTCATATCGGCCACCCGGGAATCCAGCGCGGCCTGATCTACCGCTCTGGACTCCTCACCAATCTCACAGAAGTCGGAAAATCCCAACTCGTGTCAGAGTTGTCGCTGGGTGCTATTTTCGACCTTCGAAGTCACAGGGAAAGATTGCTTTTTCCCCCTCCACAATTACATGAGCAGATCAAGCTTTTTTGGCAGCCCCAAATAGGGACACCCCCACCAGTCAACCTGAGCGACTTCACCACCAACAACGGCAACGATGCATATAGGGATATGTATTTATATATCATGGAGTCCCATGTACCAAGCCTCAAGGATCTACTAACCTACATCCGAGATGAATTGAATGCTGGATCTACAGGGGAGAGGAAAGCTATACTCTTTCATTGCCATTGTATGTTGAACCAGGCCATTAAGCCCCAACACTAAGCAAGACGTTACTGATTAGCACTTGCACAATGTTAGCGGGTAAAGACCGTACCGGCGTTGCTTCGGCACTGCTGCTGAGCCTTGCAGGTGTTCCGAACGAACTTATCGCGCGAGATTACGCCCTGACGAGAGTCGGCCTTGAGCCAGAGAAAGAGTATCTTCTGCGCTCATTGCAACAGGCATGGCCCGAGTGCTCTCCCGGAGCCGCGGGTTTCAAGGAATTTGCTTCCGTTAAGGCTTCATACATGACGGCGTTTCTGGAAGCTGTCCAGGAGAAGTATGGCGGAATGGAGAAGTTCGTGGTGGATGTTATTGGTATGAGCAAAGCTGATGTTGAGGCTGTTCGGGCTGTGTTGAGAGGGGAATCATGAAGTGGTGCTTATCCGCTTTAGATCTGGTGGTAGAGGTTGGCTGTATACTCTACTTCTGAAGTAAATAGATTCTTGCAATAAGGTTGTGAATGCTATGCCATCTAGCAGTATCATGCAGTACATTTTCTTCGCCTTCAACGAAGGCATAAAGTTCCACTGATGTCGGAAGTCTGTTGATCGCTATGTGATATTTGCAATTACAGACAGTATCCATGTATCTAGTGAGAGCGATTCTGTCTTGATGAATGAATGATTTGAATGTACTTACTCTCCGAGTCCGCATATGCCTCCGACTCTCTTGTATACGCGATTTCTAGGCAACAAAGAGTATATCCCTCTTTGTGATATTCCGAACAATTTTCTTCAGGGTTGCAAGTGATTAATGACAGCGAAATGACCGGTATACAACGATATACATGATCTCAATGCAGGGGGCTAGTTAATGCAGGGAGCTAGTATTGATTCATGATGAGTACAACATAGAAAATTATATGCACTATATGCGGGTATACATCGCTGGTAAGTCTTCAAGCACAGATGATTATATATTAGAATTATCCCAGATCAAACTGGTGTCTGGGTCCCCGAAGTTCCTTCGATCGTGTTCGTGCCACTAAAACGACCTCCTCGCTTGGACCTCGGGCGAAAGGGAGTCCACCACGTGCCCGAGTTTGTCAGAAGCTCCTCGGTTTGCTCAATCAGAATCGACGACTTCCATTTCTCCTTGAAAATCCTGCTGGAGTTACTCGACGAACCGGGGCCTCGAGCAACGTAGCTGCGGCTCTGGTACTTGCCCAGCCAGAGCATTTGTTCATGTTCCCGGAGGTACCGATCACTCGAGAAATTGTTGTAGACGTTCGATCGACCCAGCATTCCAAGCTTGCGACGTTGCTCGGCCTTTTCGTACATACGCCGTGTGATCTGTTCTACCTCTTCACGCGAAGGGTGCAGCGATAAGCTTGGGGGCGCATAGCCCTCCTCGTCCTCGGCAAAAGCGCTCCATTGGCCCAGTAGCGCCAGCACCCTTATCTGAGCGCTGGCCAGGGATATAGCATCGTTGGGTGCAACCACTTCGCTGAACTTCTTACCCGTGGTGCGGTCGGTGACCACACAAAACGATGCACCAACGTCGGTGCAAACCACAGGGACACCAGTCAATGCGGCCTCGCCCATGGCTAATGGGAGACCTTCGGAAATGGACGAGTTCATGAACAGCCACTGTATTGGATTAGCCACATCGTCAAGAAAAGGAAGGCGGAATATAACTTACAGCGTCTTGAAGGACTACGGATGGATTTCCCAATCCTTTCAGGACAACGTGCTCACGCAGGCCCTTCGAGGCGATGATTTCCTGACATTCCGAGGCGTAGGCCGGCGCACGCTCCATGTCTCCGTAGATGTGTAGCCGATAATCCTTGAAGCCCCAAATATTGACAATGAGGTCAGTTGCCATGATCGCTGTCTTGATGTCTTTGACATATCTGCAAGAGGTTAGTTAACTCAGTCCGGCAAATTCAAGTCTTAAGTGGCATACCGAATATGTGACAACATGACTACTGTCGGAGTAGCAGTCTTGATGGTCTCAATTGGCTTGTATTTGTCCATGTTTGTGATGCCGTTCACAACTGGGTCAATCTTTCGACGGAAGGTCCGGCGATGTTCGAGGGCGCCTTCGCAGGTTCCTAGTTCGATTTCCCATCCCGGATTGAAGTACTCGGCACATGGAAGGACAACATCTGCGTGGTGCTGGATCAGAACGCACGAAAGATGCCCTAAGCCAATGAGAGAGCTATTGACGAAGGTCGAATCGAAGGACACAGCGGACGACAAGAATGTGGTCATCTCACGGAAAGAGACGCAATGGTCCCAGACATGCAAGGCGCATTGACGCTTTACCTTGCACAGGACACCGTACGTAGCGCCCGTGAAATGGTGCGAAACCTGGAAAACATCGGGAATCTTGTCGGGAACGGGGATGGAGAAGATGAAGAGATCTATCGCAGTCAGTGATCATGAATACAGCACCGGCCAGGAATGATTAAGAACTTACAGCGGTGCCACATGTCCAATGCCGAGTCAAGCTGCAGTAGCGTGGGTTTTTCCGAATTCAGCCACTGTGATACAGGGACAGCGCCGGGCGTGTCTTCGCTGAGCCACATTTCTCTCCACGCCTGTTTGACGGTGTCACTCATCCAAACATCGTTCCAACTGCGAGACGACTCAAAGTACGTGTTCAAGTCTACTAGGGCACGCGTCGCTTCTTCGATATGTGAGCGCGTGAGCTGCACGGCTCGTGAACACCGAACTATGCGGGATAGGATGGGGAGGAAGTTGCGTCGGATATCTGCAACAGTGGTGTCGTATGACTTCTCGACCACTGCGGAGTCTAAAAAGTTTTGGAAGACACCGTGTGTCGGGTTAAGGAAGTCCAAACCCCATTGCGGCAGAACAGTCAGCGACTGCACATTACGCTCAATCTGGAATTTGGGGACGCCAAAGTCGTTCGCCGCCTCAGCGAGGATGTGCCACCGGATATGCTTCAGATCGTTGACCATGTCCCTTCGGCATGCAGAGACACCGCCTGGCTCATTGGGCCATGTGCCAGTGTCCATCGCCAAAACATGCAGTTCGCTGTCGGTATCTTGCAGCTGCGTCGACAGTGTGCGTGTATTGATCCTTGCGTCACCTCCTTGGCCGAAACTGTACAGGTCGCTGATCTTGAAGGCCAGTTGAGTCCATGAACTGATTTCGGGATCAATATCGACACGAGCGAGAATGGTGTCTACCTGGGCGTCGAGATAGTCCGCTGCTGAATCCAGGCGACCAAAGTCACGCCGCCTCCAGTACGGACGGAGAATACGATCGGATCGAAGCAGAATCTCGTCTAGCCACCGGGCAGTAATCGCATCAAACTCCTTGGACGCTTTCCAGGACTTCCAGAGATGTGTTCGAGCACGCGAGGTTGGAATCGGATATTGCTTGATATTCAATCCGAGATAACGGGCAATAATGTTCGTTTTAGTCGAGGAGAACGACACAAGCGGATTGTCATGCAAGAAGCTGCACCCTGTTGGCTTTTCAAGGACATGGAACCAGTCGTCGCTGATCATGGGCGGCGTGGGAATGTGTTCGCCGTTCAGAGTAGTCGCAATGATCGGATGGAACTTGTGATCATATGTCCATTGAGCATTGTAGACATCGCCCTCCTGAATAAACACAGCCTCAGTGACCCGCGGATAGGGGATCCATTTATCCAGACGCTCCGGACGTGCGGGTGGCGGCATACTCCATGCGACCTTGATTTTGATATGCGGAAACACATACTCGGCACGAAGCAGCTCGTCGTCGAACTTGGCATGCTTGCGGTACCAGTACTGGAACTGAACGGGATTGACTCCTCTCATGGCGGAGCCGGTGGTGATGTACCCTCGCTGGTCGTACTGGACTACTTGTCCCTCCAGCTCACCAGCAAGGCATTGTCGTTGCATGGGAAGCTTTGCCCTGGAAGTCTCAGGATAATCATATACGAACTCATTCCGCAGTGTTCCCTTGCCATCATACTCTTCCCGATTGCGAAGGATGAGCTTGTCAGTGTATGTGTTGATGGCCACCAGACTCTGCCGTTGATCTGGTTCTTGCTCCTGGCGACCGGAGTATTGGTAAAGTCGAGAAGACCCGTCTGTCTCGATATGCATGAAACATGTGGTGACACCGTTCAAACTTTCAAGGACGATACGGTTCTTTTCCAACACTGTCTTCTGTCCTTTCATGTTCTTATACAGCGCAGAAACCTTGTCTCGACCATGTAACTGCAGAGTATTAGCTCAGACTGTGGATAGAGAAAGGATGACATACCAGAACAAGGGGGAGGATAAGGCCCTGCAGGGCCTTGCAGAAAGACCAAATAGCAGTCAGAATCCATGTGATGGGCCACGAGAAGACCAGCGACTGCCCACGAAGGATATAGTTCAATTCTCGTTGATACTCAGGATCTGCGACCAAGGAGATCACAGTGAACTTGATACAGGTTCGAATCTTCTGAAGAAACCTCATGACTGTGACTCGGATAAGCTCGATAAGCCCCCGGTTCTTGAGCTCGGCTTCGGATGTCGCCGTGGTAATCAGTTGATCATAGCTTGAGTCCCGGAAATCTGATCTGGGTCCAAAGTCCTCATCATGGGCAGCGATGGCTCCAGCGTACTGGCCTACAAGTACCGCTAGGGAAGTACTCAAGCTATACCTCGCAACGAGACAGTAAAGGTCCACTGCGTCGGTTTGGTTGGCTCGGGAACGAATCCACTCCACATCGGCTGGAGAAAGATGAGTCGTTCGGCCGCATGCTCTTTCTAACAAGAAGACATGGACGTGCCGAGGCATGAGATCCCATTCCCTCTCAGGGTCCATCCCCAGGAGCAGATGGCGGAGCATTGACTTTTGAGCGTTGGCGATCACCCGTTTCCTTTCAGGGGAAGAGCTCTCGAGCTGGCGCTTGATGCCTTCAGGAACAACAAGCGAACCACTGTCATGATCCTGAGCTACCAAGAACTCTGCTAGCATTGCATGATCGCGAGAAAGCTGCAGTCGGCTTTCAGCCGTAACTTGAACGAGAGTCTCAGCGATGGCTCGGCAATTGCGACGAATGTTCACGACCCACTCGTCCCCAACAAGGTCCAGGCTGATCAGAATGAAGATGTGAAGACGGTCTCCTGTTCTTTGTGTAATGGCGCGCATGGTAGGGTCGTGCGGTGGCAGCATGAGATGGCGTGCTGAAACAAGCTCGACAACTGTTTCTCCTGATTGCCATAGTTCGGCGGTGCGATGCAATATTGTCTCTGCTTGAGGGAAGGCTTGTTGCAAGCTGGCGGATGTCTTGGTCTCCCCCTTCGAACGAAGGATTTGCATCACCTCCGCGCCAGGGTGTTGAGAAGGGTCCAACTTGTACCGGAGCTCGGAAGAAAGAGCACGGATTGCATCAAAGGTATTTGATAATGTCGTTTGCG